TAGTATAATATTATTACATTTCCTGTGCATAGAATGATGGTGTGCTTTTTTGAAGCTATTTTTGAATATAAATATAGTACCTTCCTCATGTTAATTTTAATTCATTATTTAAATTTTTTCAGAATGAATAATAATGACATTATATATTAACAGCAATAGGAGCAAAATGAGAAAAAACCTTCGCTTATTGAATAATTGTGCTCTTGCATATATTTCTTTCGAAAGAAAAATGTCAAAATAAATGAAAGATATTAATTAGGAATTGATACTCCCAAATCTCATGTAAGTAGAGTTAAATTAAATATGAGACTAGAAAAGTCTGTGTTTTAGATTTAGATGAAACATTAGTTCACAGTTAATTCAAGGCAGAAGACGGTTATGACTTTTTACTTAATGTAATGAATACTCATTATGTTAGGTATTTGTCCAAAGTCAATTATTCAAAGTGTTTGTCACAGTTAGGCCAGGTGTAGAAGCTTTTATAGAATCCTTAAGTGAGTATTTTGACGTTGTATTGTGGACTGCTAGTTTAAAAGAGTACGCCGATCCAGTAATGGACATAATTGATCCTTAAAAAAGGATTCAAACAAGGCTTTATAGAGAAAGTTGCACTCCAATTAAAGGAGGATTAACGAAGAACCTAAAAAAATTAGGAAGAAGTTTGAAGGATGTAATAATAATAGATGTAACGCATTTTGATTTATTAGAACTCCTAAATGTCATTTCTATTTTAACCAGAAAATGGTTTTTTGATCAAAGACTTTATTTCGGATAAAGAAGACAAAGAATTGGATTTATTGTTACCATTCTTAATTTGGCTTAGTCAAGTAATTTATTTATCTATAAAGTAATCCGATGTTCGACCTGTTTCCTAACTATATTAATAGTATTTACTAAATAACTTAAATCCTCGTAAAAGTTCAAAAAAATCTATTCTTTCCTAATCTATGGTTTTGAATCAAGATAACATCTTAAAATCACTCTAAATTCCTAGAACCCATACACTGAATCATCATGACTTTGAGGATATAGAATTGAGATAAGAGGCTGGTCTTAATTCCCCTCATGTTGAACTTAAAATGCAAGATTAGACAGATGATGAAAGCAAAGAAACAATTGAAATCAGTAGTAATTGATGATTTATATGAATTCTTTATATATTCACTCATTCAATTCTTTGATCTTATTTACTAATAGAATTCATGATCTTGCATAAAGTGTAGGTAATATAAAACAGCAATTTGTATTTTTAATATTTATAGCTCATATGAAATTTATATTTCTAAAAATTGACTAATATTTTATTAATGTATGATGATCTATTGAATAAGTTGTATATTAACACTAAATATAATTTTAATGATATAAAATTAGTTAGAGATTACTTTAAATTAATTTTATATAAGAAGTTCATCTTATTCATTTATTTTCCTTCTAATTCATAAATTTAATTTATGGATTAAATTAAAATAAAGCATTCTCCTGTTAGTCAATTCTAAATTTCAGATAAAGAAGTATCAATTATTAATACATTAAGTTCCCTCTCTCTTTGTAATTTATAAATGATACTGTTTTAATGGCTATGACTGATTTTTCATTAAAATGGATTGACTTAAATACACAATAAGTTATTTGGGAACAAAAGAACCATCATCAAAAAAGAATATAATAATTGATAGTAGAAAACAATCTAGCATTCACTTGCTCAAATGATAGAACAATTAAGGTGTTTGATTCACAATCTAAATAATAAGTTCATTAATTTAAGAACGAAAAAGAATCTTATTCAATTGCTAAATCTAAACATATATTAGCAGGTGGAAGTGAGGGTAGAATTGATTTCTATGATCTTAATGCAATGAAATGGAGATCCAGATTTGATTCCTCTTAAAATGAAGAATTATCTTCATTGAATTTCCATTCTTAAGTTTAAACTTAACTCTTATCATCTTCAACAGATGGATTACTAGTTCAATATGATTTGACTTAAAAAAATGAGGAAGAATCATTATAAATGATGATTAGATTTGACTAACCTCTAAACTCTTGTGGCTATTGGAATAATTTATGTTTTTGTGTTACAACCACAAATTAAATTACTATCCTAGATTAACAAAATGATCAAAAACTCCATTAATTCTAAGCTATTAAGAATGTACTATTTATTAATAATTGATAGGATGAATTTCATGAAGATTATCTAATAGATGTTATGGCTGATAATGAATTTAAATATTTTGTAGGTAATGGTAAGGAGATCTATCAAAAGAATGAAAAATAATAGGTAGTTGCCTTGTATGAGACCAATTCTACTGAATAGATTAGACATATTAAATAATTGAAAGATTGTTATTTGTTATTTAGTGAAAATGGGTTACTTGAAATCCTGAAGCCACAACCCTATGTTTACTAACCCTAATCAATTGAAGAAGAAGCATTAGGCTTAATTGAAGAGGAAGGTGATAACAAAAAATAAAAAAAGAGAATATGATGTTAAGATTTGATTTATACAGTCGATAAATTGTTACATATATATTTAAATAACTTTCTGTTTAAATTATTGTAAACTTATAGTATTTTATTAAAGATTTGCATATTTTTTTATTTTTTAATTTTAGACTCTTTCATTAGTAATTTAAAGGAGGAAATCATAAGGTTTGACTCTTTTTTCAAAGGAATAGAATCGTTTAATTAAGTTTCTTTAGAAATTACAATATATTTTAATGATTTTTATTAATAAAATAAATAGTATTGTAATATTTAGTGAATATGAATTAAATGTGAAGTTCCATTTAGTACAGTAATTTAAATGAAAAAGGTATAACCAGGAAGAACATGGACTAAATAAGAGGATAATTAATTACTTTAGGGAGTGGAGATATATGGAAGGGATTGGGATAAGATTGCAAAAGTGATGAATATCAAATCCAAACCATTGTTAGAAGAGAGATATAAAAACCTGATAAATCAAAAGCCTAAACCTATTTGGGAATTAAATGAAGATATTTTACTGTTATAAATGGTTGATAAGCTCGGTAAAGATTGGGAAATGGTGTAGAAAGTTGTTAAAACTAAAGACATTGCTTCATGCAAAAGAAGGTTTGCCAAAATAAGAGATTCTTGTTTAAATTTAGAAGGAGAGGATAAAGACTTAGTGCTTTTGAATTAGTATTGGTATAAGGAGGATGAAGAGATGTTAATATTTTTATATGAACTATATAATGGAGATTGGAGTGAAATATTTAAGAGAATACCTGAAAGATATCCTAAATACATTTAGGATTAGTTTAAATAAAAAGGTTTAGCAAATCAATTGCATAAATGGAACAATGAAAAAGATGCAAGGCTTTTAGCATATGCATTTTATGGAATTCCGTTGAGCAACTTTGAATAAGAAACAGGGTTCTCAGTTCCATAGTGTGAAGAAAGACTTAAGAAATTGTTGTATAAGATTTCGAAATCCTTATAATAACCTAAAAAGACAAAAGAATAATAACAATTTGATGAAATTATGTAATTTAATGAAACAAGAAGGAAGCCAAATAGATCAACTGAAACTAATTCTATGAATCAAATAGACAATTAATAATTAAATTATTATTCAGAATTTTAGGCTGCATTAAATCAGTCTAAATCTCAGAAATAAAGTTCAGTATATAATAAAATGGCCCAAAAACTAGAATTAGAAACAGAATACTAAAATGATGATGATTTTGGAATAGTATTAGATGAAGATTTTGTAAGTGATTGAATATTTAAATATACAATACACAATTATCATTATTTTGTTACTACTTTATCTAATTCTCTTTGATACGTATCAAATGGTAATAATAGAGTTGCTATAGCTGCTACCATAGCTATAATCCCAAAAATTCCATATGATAGAAAAGTGCCTATGTCATTTATATAGACAACAATCCATGGCATAATAATGCTACCTAATCTTCCTACTGATGATGCAAATCCCAATCCACTAGCTCTCATATAAGTTGGGTAAAGTTCACTTACAAATTGATAAGATACAGTGAATGAGAAACTAATAAACATTTTCAAAAAGAAAATCATTGAAGCAAAGAAATAACCACCATTTGCTATTATTGCAATCAATAATCCAACTAAACCCACTCCAAAGTAAGATAAGAATAAAGAATTCTTCCTTCCAAAAATTTTGATATTTACAATAATCATGGCAACAAAAATCACAGGTATCTCACCTAAACAACTCAAAGTAATAACTTTAATATCTTCAATATCATCGTCTTGAGGTTCATCAGGGTTTAATTTTTGTAATGTTAGGGGTAATAAAAATGTGACTCCTGCATAAACAAATGTATTTACAAACCATTAATACCAAACAACTAAAGTGATTTTAATAAATTAATTTTTAAGAAGTTTTCTAAATTGGATAAAATATGAGGCAAAAAATGATTTATCTTTTAAATCTTCCTACAATCCTTATTCCTCTCTCTCTTATTTGATTAATTCTTATGAAATATTTTGATATGTGTTGATGGGTATTAGGACTGCCTTTTTGTTATTTAATTAAAATATTTTCTCTATTACTTCAGAGGCTTGTGTGACATTCCCTTTAATCAAATGATATCTTGGACTTTCTAATAAAAGGAAATTTGAGATCAGAAATGTTATTAGAGCTGGAGCAGAAGCCCAGCAAAGTACTGCTCTCCAATTTCCTGAAACCAAATTCGGCATGAATATGTATGTAAGTAAACAAACAGTTAATCTACATATTTTGATATGCTTACTCTCCTGCAGTATAAAAAAACCCAATTGTAACCAACACTATTCCCCTGCTTTTCAAAGGAGTATTTTCAGCTAACATACTAAATGAAACTGGAATGATAAACCCAACACAAGTAACTAAGAATATTCTCTACAATAGTTTAAAGTCATACAAATATCATATAGGATATAAAATTGGGCATGAAGGCCCCAATTATAGCACAAACAAACATAACTCCTGATGCCCATATCAGAGATGATCTTCTTCCATATTTATCAGCAAATATGCCTGAAAATAGAGATCCTACAAAATAACCAATATATATTAATGATCCTAAGAGACTTTTCTAGGAATCACTAACTCCCCATTCCTTTTCCAAAATTGGAAATACTATGGAAATAGCTTATGTCTCTCCTCCATCGCACATTCCAATTAAACCAACTATAATAAAGACATAAATTTAATATTTTCCTAAAAAAGTGTTATTATTGACATCAATTACTAAAACCAATATATGTTAAAATTTCATCAAAGTAGGTAAACTCTTGATTAGTTGAATTATCAATAGTTTCATTTAGATTTGAATCTTCCTTGTGCTGCATGAATATTAAATAATTTAATTTATTTTGTTATAGTGATAAGCAGAATTTGCATATTTATTTTTATTGATGCTTTAATTATTAAAAGTATATCTTCGATAATTCTTATTGAATGTAAATGTTATAATTTTTTGAGATTCCTTTTATTTATTAACAAAAATGAAAGTTTATTATATTAATAATTAGCTTTTCCATGCGAACGAGTTGTTTAGGACCCAAATTGGTTCTAAGTAGAGCTTAGGTGGACGATCAAGAAGATGTGCCTGAAGAGCCTGATGACTTTGAACCAATAATCATTTAAAGGAAGAAAATTAGATATAAATCATCTCGGAGTGATCGATATGATAGCAAAGGAAGGAAGATTGCAAAAGGCAGTGGATATGGAATTAACTTTGATAATTTCATCACTGTTTGCGTTTTCGAACCAGAAGAAGAAGTAGTTTAGATTAAGGATACCTTACAATTGTGTACCCAAGGCATAGATAAAGAAAAGATAAACCCTCGACTTGATCAGAAGTTTAAAGAGGAGTAAACAGAAAATGAAGTTATCTTATTTTCAATTCTTAAATAAAGCAAAAACAAATGATAATGAAAATATATTTTATTATTATTTTCATATATCGATTGGTTTTAATTAAATAGCACAATAGAATTCAAAAAGAACCATCAATAGCCTTTATTATAATGATAAAGGACAGAAAACATACATCTTCTTATTTAAACATAGATATAATATCATTATCAATTACTCTCTGCTTATTTCTCCTATTCACCTTCCTATGGGGCTTGATCATTTTTTTAGACTTCTTCTTCCTTATCTAAATCGTCAACATTTCCTAAAATTATGGCTTCAATTCATACCCTCCTTTGGCTATTCCTCTTCAGCCTCTTCGTCATCCTCATCTGCACCACCTTAATCGAAATTTTAGAATTTGTTCTAATCCCAATCGTCCAAACCTTTGCCTCCCTCTTCAGCCTCATCATCTTCATCGATATACTTTGTCCAATCGACCTTTTATTAGAAAATATATCAAACCTATAAGTATTGTAATTTGTGTGTCTCTTTGATTAATCTAGTCCAATATGAAGCAGTTTTATCTTTCTTTGATAAAATAAATCTGACGTTCAACCCATAATTGGTCCATTTACTTTCCTAAATGATATAATTAATGAAAGTACTTCGACAACAACTTCAGCAAAGAAATTAATTTCAAAAGTATAATTAACACCTTCTGCAGTAGCTGAAAATTTAAGTGAGTTTGAAGTCAAGTCAACCTTTTCATCTTTCAAATCTCTCACTTCAACTGTTAAAAACACATTTTCTTTTCTTTAAGACCATTTAACTATGGGGGAGCTAGAGAAATTTCGAGAATAAAATTTACATTGTCTTTTGCATTACTAATTTTTTAATTATTTTATTTCTGTAAAAAAAGATTACTTTAAAATTCAATATAATTTATGTTAAAGTTTCTAGAAAATACTATGTATATAAAAAGAATACTGTCTAAATATTAAGTTTCTGAATTGAAATTTCCTTCTAGATTTCTATCTGAATGAATAAAGGAAAGGTTAGATTTAGTTTTCAAAAGGTATAAATCAAGAGTAAAGTAATTAAGCAGATTTATCAAATAATATGATTTTTTTTAATATGATAAATCTATAATATACATATGAATACATATAAAGAATTATCAACACAATTAGATTGATATCATTTAACCTTAAATTTATATTGAATAAAACTACTATTAGTACCTAATTTTATTCATTTTGATAAATCTATTACATAATTTACTTTTTTGGATATGACAATTTAATTTTACTTAATTTTCTTGTATATTTTTTCAGTAATTAATTAAACTTAGAATTGTATTTGAATAAGTATTTATATGGTTAATTCATTATATAATAGAATTCAAAGACTTTTTGTATTTTGCATGTTATAACAATGAAATAGTTTCATCAAATCTCAGTTGCAAATTCTTACAGCTCAATACAACAATGATGTAATATTCCTTTTCATTAGACCGATAAGCACTTGCAAGACAAGGACCAGCAGAATCAGTTATGCCTGTTTTAATACCAAAAAATCCTTTTTCTAATAATTTGTTTGTATTTTTCCACTCGTAATATTTGTTATTGTTTAATGATTTGGAAATGTATTCCTTACAGGAGATGACTTAATGAAATATATCATATTTCAAACATTCTAATGATAATAACACAATGTCATGACAACTTGAATACTAGGATAAGAGATTTACATACATTATCTTCATTAGCCAATCCATGAACACATGCAAATTGAGTGTTTTATTAACCCATCAAATTTGAATAATAATTCATTTTGCTAATGAAAATTTCAATAGGACATAATTGAGTCTTCAATTCAACATTATAATAATGTCCTTCAGCACTCATTTGTTCAATATCTATCAATGTACTATCCAAGTACTTATTGGATTCATAAAATAATCTAACTGAATAATTTTAAACCCTTACATAATTGTGCCAATGGTCTAGGCAATGAGAATTGCAGCATCATTTCCTGAGGGTAGCATCAATCCATACAATAAATCCTGGATAGTCAAGATGTCATTGTATTTCAATTCAGATGTTGTGCCAATGGTCTCTGAGGCCTTTTTAGTAACCTTGACTCTAATTTCTTTAGAATTTAGATTGAATTTTGCTAAGATAACCATCGTTATGTAGAATGTCATAATCTTGGTTAAACTAGCTATTTCCATCCTCTTGTTACACTTTCTCTAAGAAACTATCCTATTTTCGATGCAATCATAAACAATGAAACTTTTAGCAGAAACATTTACTCTTCGCTTTCTTGGTTTTCCACAATAAGAATAGATAATATTTTTGGCATAGATTTAATACTATTAGTTGATTTAATTTTAGCTTGAATCTTTGCTACTTCCAGTGGTTGTGGAATTGTTGGTCAGATTATTTTTGTGATTGTTGCTATTCGTTTTAAATTATGATCTCACTAACGATCTTTTTGTATCACTGTTTTTGGGTGATTGAACCAGTTTGCTAGTTCGAGTTAAATCGTTTAATTTAGTTTAGGTATTCATTGTTGAGAGTGGAATCTAGGGTAAACTGCTTTGAAGATTAATTTATTTAAATTTGCTAGGGATGAGTTCTTATTCAATCTTGGATGGTTTGGTTTCCTTATCAGTTAATTGCTATGATTGTTGTAATGAATAATTAGAGTCTTTCCTTAATTTTATACTATTGACTATTATTGGAGAATGGAATTCTGTTAGAATCTAGGGTGTTTTTTGATAGCTTTTCAATAATTGCATTGCCTTGCCAGTTTCCAGGACTTGAACTCTTCTGGAGGGATGCTGCAACTTTATTGGAATTATAATATCATTGAAATTGATATTATTCAAGTTTGATTAAGTTTTATTTATAATCATTATTAATATATATATTATTTAATCCATGCTAATCTTCCTATCAATATAACTATCATTGAGATTGTGATGTTGAAATAGAATTAATTGAGTTCATATTAGCCATTCAACTTGATATCTGTTAACCCCAAATAATTATCAATAGAGCCCATTTCTACAAATTAAATAAGTATCCCCAAAATCAAGAATGCCAAGACTGGAATATTCAAATGGTGTTGTTTCCAAAATGGTATCTTAAACGGTCCATAAGTATTGATGGAATAAAAAGATAATAAAAAATAAATATTCATGTTGAGGAACTGTTAAGTGTTCATATCTCCATAAAAGAAATATCTTGTATCATTCTCATTGTTATCATATGGTACATACCATTCTTAATAATAAAGGATTAGATAACTTCCCAACATATTCAATCCGCTAAAGATAAGTATAATCAAAATAGGAATGAAGTTTGATAAGCTGATCATTGAAGTGTTAATTTTGTCTTTCGTCAATTTCCTAGAAGGAGGAGTCAAGGTTTGCAACGCAACAATTGGAATATTACTCAAATAATTCAGATACAATAGTTCTTCATTGTTGAAATTCTGCATCTGATACATCATCAATTATGCAGATACATATTTACTTACATTTATAATCATATAATATTTGAAAATCTCCATAACATTACATGACGTAGCTTTGCTCTATAATAGTACTTCAATTATACAATTTATGCTATCATTAGTATTAACAAAGGAAGCAGTTAAGGCTGCATCACATTGCTAAAATGATATACCTATGTTTGATTATTTTAAAGCATGACAATCATTTGACCCATCACCTATCATACACACGTGAAGTCTTTGCTCCTATAGTATTTTCACTACCTCACTCTTCTGAGATGGACTCATTCTGCCAAAGATTTAACATAAATAGATGAGTTCATTTAGTATCTTCTTATCTTTAAGATATTCAAACGCCTAACCACTCATTGCCCATTAATAGTTCTAATGTGTCTTAGTAGCATAAATAGAATTTACATATAATGAACTTGGTAAAAGTGATTAGAGCATCTCATAAGATGATTAATTAATACTCTTTCCTTCTAATTCTTTTATTTGATTATTATTCAACTCCTATAGTGTGAGATCATTCTACTCGACATCATAATCAATTACAATGGTTAACTATTAAAATTCAATTATTCCACTTTCAATTCCACAATTTATGCAACTTAAGATATGATCTCCGCTTATTATTTTCATTTTTAATTAAGCCTTCTTTAATTCTTCAATTGTTTATGCTGAATCGTTTTTTAATTCGTTTTCAAAAATGATGGATCCCAAATAGTTCAAGCGTTATTCTAATTCATTTTAAGATTTATGAATATCCTATGAATCTATTCTCTTATATCCAGCACTTATAATTCTCATCCCTTTGAGAGATTCCTAAGTTATTAAATCTTTAAATCCTTCTGGTGTAGACATACACAATTAGGATATCTTTTCAGCTGATCCTTTAGTAAAATAAAAGTATTAATAACTTTAGATCTTGGTGTCTCCTTGACTTTTTTCTTGGTTCTCTCTTATAATTTAATCACTCATTGCTATCACACCCATCCTTTATAAGTTGCTTGAAAACTCAAAAATCTTAATCACTTTCAAAGTGATTTCTTAACTCCCCAAATTTGAATCATTCTCATTTAAAATGACTTTAAATTTACACTCACTATCTTATTAAATATTTAGTTTTGAATAATTTATCATAGCAATTTCTAAGGTATCACCTATCAATTAATTATCTAATAAGTAACATTGATGACAGGAAGACATCAATATTTATAATATTTATCTATCTGATATTGATTACACTTTATTATTTTTATCATCAAATACATATTTCACTTTGATTTCATTGGTTGTTAAAGTGCCTGTCTTATCAAAACAAATAACATCTGTTTACGATGCTTCTAAAGTTTTATCTGGTTGAGTTCCTAGAATCTTTTTTAATTTCAATCTGCTAAGGGTTGCTGTCATCGTAAGATTCACAACTGTTACTATATTTGGAGGTAGAATCCACACTATTGCATCTCCTAATCTCAAAGCAATGAGACTTGGATCATAATCTAATAGAACCATCTTCCATAGTAATCCAAAATACAATGCAATGATCAAAGCAGCAATTATCACTAGGAATTTAACTGCATCTATAAAAAATATGATTTTTGGTGGTTTAGGGTATAAGGCATTTCGAAATATTTACCCTTTGTAGGATAAATACCCCGTTCTTAAGACTAGAACCTTTACTGTGTTTTTGATATCTAAAACTTTGGTTCCATCAAACAAGATTGATTTTTTGTAGGTTTAATAATTGAAGTTAGTCAAGAGATCTTTTGTTACATGTTCCTTTTACACAGGAATTGATTCTCCTGTTAATGATTATTCGTCAACCAATACTTCTCCAGTTAATATCAAACCATCACACGGCAATATTTAATTACAGAATATTTAGATTACATCTCCAGGAACTAACTCAATTGAATTGATTGTAATGCATTCCACCTTACCAGATATATTCTATCTAAATACTGAAATCTACTAATAGTTCTCTGCTTTCTTCTTTAACTATTGCATAGCTCTTCTTAGAATAATGTAATTTATTAAAGATGTCAACAATGCTATAATTGGTTATAGGATTGCTAACTAGTAAAAGCCCTCTAACATGAAGACAGTGATTGAAGTATATTAAGTGAAATAAAGTGGAGATGTGAGTTCATTCTCAAAAAATGAAGTGATACTTGGAATGGGAACCAAAACTTCACAGTTTCCAAATGTTCGATTTAATTCAAAAACTTTTCCTTCACTTAATGGATTTACATTTTATGAGTCGAAATCCTTCCCAACGTAGCCTGTATCTAAAGGATGAAATTTATTATCTTCAAAGTTATATTCTATATGTCTATATTTAAAATAAATGCAATTTGAATTCGTATTCCTTTTAACTTTGTGTATTTCCTTCTCTCCATGTAAATTGATAATAAGTAAATGGGTTGCATACAAAATTTCCTTTTCTTCGTTGTAATAAAAACGTAATTTTATTGATATAAACCATCGACATCTTAATATTTTATGTTTTAAAATACATCAAAGAAAATATAAAAAGAGTTACAATTGACAATATACTCCCAAATATTTTTCTACTTCCTATTATTCTTAACGGAATGATAGTAACAATCATGAGATCCCCTTCCAAATCAGAGTTTTTAATCATAAAAATTTATTATTGTTAATTATAAAATTAATGGAAAAACTATATTGTTTTATTCTTTTTTTCCAAAAATATTTTAATAATAAGTGATACTAAAACTAATTTACTTTTAAACTACTCAAACCATAATTATATCAAGATGCTTTTTAAAAATACTAATTGCTAAAGATTTCATGTTTTTGTTATGAGTGAATTAACTCTAATTAACTTTGTATTTTTATGGTTTTAGTGAGACTTTTAAATCTATAGTTAAAATTAAGAGTAAATGAAAATTTAGACATCATGATGTATATTAGTAGAGAGTAAATCATAAGAATTTCATTCTAATCAAATTTATAGAACACAAACTGATTAAACAATGAAAGAGAATAAATTTATATTAAGTATCATAATAAATTTTGTTGAAACTTCCTTACACCGAGTCTATTGAGTACTATGTCAAATAGAAGGATTCTCCAAAAGGATATCTCCTCTTTATTGACTTAGATTGTATCTTATAAATTCTATACCAAATAATGATTATTATCATTCTTGTAAATTATAAACAAATATTATGTGGCTATTATAAAGTAAAATAATTTAGACATACATATTATGAAATCAGAAATAAGTTCAAAAAATGATATTTTTAAAAAAATATTAAATTAATTAGATGTTTTCGTTTATATTTTCATTCCTAATGTTGGCTTGCATTGATGCTGAATCGTTATTGAACTATAAGTTGAGTGAAGGATCAAAACGGAAATTAGAGGAGAGTAAACCAAATATAACTTCTTTAACTTGGGAACCATTAAGGATTCATTATGAATTTTTGGATAATACATACGATCCTGCATCAGTGAAATTTTTATAAACTGTACTGGGAATCACAACTACATTCTTTTAAAAACATTTGTTAATTCGGAGATCAAGTTAAAAGATTACTTATTAAAGTAGTTATCCAAAATCAATTTTTGGATTCACAATTAGCAACGAATTAAAACAGAAAGAATATGATGCAGATTTAGTATCCCCTTTATTTTAATATAGGTTTTATTTATAAATGTGGAGAATTCAGATTCAGAAACTTATTTAGCATATTGTGGTCCTGCAGTTTATGATGAATTAACTTTACGACCGATTTTTGCTTTGGTGTCTTGGAATATATATTATTCAAAATTGTCGGAAATGACGGATTCCCTATTTGAAAATAATGTTGAGACTGCAGTGCATGAAATCATACATGGATTAGGATTTGTGGATGATTATTTCTTTAGATATTATGACTCAGTCACAGGAGAAAGCTACAACACGTCTAATAGCTATACTGTTTCAAAAGTGATTTACTTGTCAACCCCAAGGGTAACTAATTTTGTTCAGTATCATTTTAATTGCACTACATTAAAAGGAATGCAAATGGAAAACAATGGAGGATCTGGGACTCAAGGCTCCCATTTTGAGAGAACTCTCTATTACAATGAAATAATGACAGGTTCTGACATGACAGGAAACTTCTTGATCACAGATTTTACATTTGAACTATTTTAAGACACAGGGTAAAAATGATATCTATATGAAGATTCTATCGAATAGCTGAATATTCACCAGATAAAGCATTATGGGGGAAAAATAAAGGATGTGATTTTGCAAATTCACAATGCTAAGGAGGCACCTTTTCTGAGTTCTGCTCAGTAGATTAAGCCAAGTCCTGTTCCTTTTATAAATCTGGGGTTTCAAAATGTATGTCTGAATAATTATCAGGACCATGCAAATATTAATACATCTACTCTAATTACGATTGCAGGGATCCTGATAATTTCGACTATTGGAAATCATCAAGTTTAATCTAACACTTTGGTTCTGATAGTATTTGTATTTCTGGATCAGTCTCAAAATCAAAAACATATTCAGACTACACTTGCATATAATACAAATGTGATGTATCAAATAAATTATCACTTGTTGTTGATGGAAAAGAATTCGATTGTTCCGAAACGGAGAGCATTAAACTTCCTGAAAATTATTATGGCAGTTTAAAATGTCCTTCAAATCCCGAAGAATTTTGTTAAAATGTTGATGAATGCCCAAATTCTTGTAGTTCAAAAGGTTTTTGTATAAACACAGAAGTATTCTACAATTATGATATTTTAGTGTATCTGTATGTAAGGTTACTCCTCAAAAGATTGCAGTGTAGAATGCACCAAATATAGATACAAGGGTTCTTGCTTAGACAAATGTCCAGATTCCACTTATGTCAATGAAAATATCAAGTATTGTATTGGATGCCCAGCTGTATTTATTACTTCTAATAATCATAGAATTGTTTGGTGTGTTCAAATTATAATAAATGTACTTCATGCAAGGCAGGATATGTTTTGAGAGGAGGTTTTTGCGATAATTATAAGTTAATCGAGTTACTTACAGTAAATTTGTCGGCTTCAAATTCAACTTCAAATAACACTAATTCTACAAATACAAATTCTGATACTAATTCAACAAATACAAACAACAATAGTACTTCGAATCCTACCAGTAATTCAACAGATACTTCTACTAATTCAACTGATACGACATCTAATTCTACTGATACAACATCTAATTCAACAGATACAAATTAAGCGTTGAATTCAACAGACACAAATTAAACTTCTAATTCTACTGATTCTGAAGATTCCAACATTAATATTGTAACTAAGGAGGAATTAATATATCTAATAAATTCATTTTTATTAGCATTATATGTGTGATAATGAATTTTATAAATAAATAAATCATAATATAAATTTGATTGTATTTAGGTATAATTATGTTAATCTTCAAAAAATATCTATTATTTCTATGTAGGGAATAAATAGAATATCTGATTTTTTATATATTTCATTTAGGTTATTCATTGTTTCTTTGTTAATATTTAAATAAATATCTATATAAATTAATAAAAAATTATTAGGTTGATTTTTTTATTTTAATTCAATATATTTCTTGAGGTAGATGTACTAATTAAATAAATGCTAAAGAAAGTTAAATAAGAAAGGGTCGAGAAGTAAAGTAGTCAGTTAGATTAGTAGCAAAATAAGCCAAAATTGAGGGAAGGAGCCTCTAAAATTGATTGTCCCATTAAAAATTCTGAAAATTGTGAATTAAAAACAAATACTAATATATATAATCTTCAATATCAAAAAGTAATGGAATAAATTAAGCAAATTTATTAAGAGTAGAGCACTGCACAAGCAAATAAGAATAATGCTAAGGTAGAACAAGGCAAATTGAAAAAGGATAAAACAGAAAGTAAAATTGTTAGCAAAACTAGAAAGGATTAAGTGCAAGAAAAACCTGTGAATTAAGTTAAAACTAATACTAAATAATAATTGGAGGAATAAAAGGATAGAATATAAATGAACTTCACTTAAATAACCACAAACTTTTTAAATAAACTAAAATCAGAGTTTGAAAAAGTTGAAATGGATTTATTAGCATTATTAAATAATTGAATTTAATAATTTAATATAATTATTCTACTTCTGATATCACAAACTGCATAATTATAAAGAGTAATATATATTAATCAACATTTCTTTTGTATAATCTCCAAAAGTATTTCAGGTTCTTAAGCCAATTTAATAAAATCTTTCCTTTTTTTAATAGTTGAAATATTGTCAATCAGTTATTTCATTGTTTATACTAACAATAATTTACAATTATATCTAATATAAAATGGAAAATTACTTTTTTGAAAATAAGATTATATCAATAACATTATTGCAATTAATTTTCCTAATTAACTACTCTTCGCATAAATATTTCAATCTTTATAGCAAATATTAATCAGATAGAATGATGAGATTTAATAGCCTATTTGTATTGAAAGAGTAATCTAGTTGATCTGTATAGATATACAGTAACATATCCATGAATGTTTAATAAGCACAATCAGTGATTTCTATGAATATTTATTCTTTATCTCTGAATTCCTCAAAAAACAAAGTCTGAAAGTGTTCACTTCTCGCACCTAGAATACATTTATTAGCATAAATTTAATGATCCTCCACAAGGAACACTACATCACTCATCAAAGGATTGTTAATCAAAGTATGCAAATCTGATAGAAAGCTAGATCTAGGCATATGAGCATTCTTAAATTCTAGTTTATAGATGTCATTGAGTAACTCATCACCATCATATCCTCCAAAAATATAAAGGGAATCGTTGTATATTTAAAAAACCATACTAGATCTCCCTTTAGGTGATTCATGCACTTCCAGTTTTTTCCAAGTTTTAATTCCAAAATCAAACTCGTACAAATCATTTAGTCTTGCTTGACCATTGAATCCACCAAATAATAATAACTTATTTTAATAAATTTCAGATGCATGAAACTAAATAATCATATGTATAATTTACATATCTTGGACATGGTATTGTGCCATGTTGACTAATTCTTTTTACTTTTCCAGTGAATATGTTAATTTTGTAGAAATCATTCAATCTATTAACACCATCAAAACCACCAAAAATATAGATTTAATTATTTAATACACTGAATGAAGGACAAGATCTAGCAGAGGGTATGTCTCCAATTAATTATAATTTATTCCAAACTTGCTCTTCAAAATCCCATACATAAGCATCATTGAGATAATGATTGCCATCACATCCACCAAAAATTAACATTTTCGTCTAGTATGCTCCACAGGCTATTCCAAATCTTTCAGATGGACATTGACCAGTAGGTTCTATCTTTTCCCAAATCAAAGTTTTTAGATTCAATGAATAAAAGTCATTTAACCATAATAATCCATCACATCCCCCAAATATGTACATTTACCCTTTATATTCAATTGCGCCATTATTCTCTCTTGCAGTGGGTTTGGTTCCAGTAGTGTTCAACCTTTACCATTGGTTCGATTGAAATGAATATCTGTGGACATCATCCAATCTTCCATTAAAGGTAAACCCACCAAAAATATACATACAATCTTCGAATATCACCCATGAACAACTGTTTCTTTAGTTTGGTAAACTTTGTACCAATCTATCCAGTCTTTCCCAAGTTTATTATTGATCATAATATTCAGGGTCTTCAATCTCAAATTCATCATTTTTCATACACATTGAATTTGAACGAAATCTTTCATCGATGTCAAAATCCCTATCGATTCTATGGGATTAATTGATCTATTATCTCATAAGAGCTCTCTTAACTTTGAGATTCCCATGCTCTATTTGTAATCTTCTATTCATTTTGAATCTAATTTTATATATAAATAACAAATATTATTTAATTTTATTATAAATTTATATGATTAACGAAGCTAAATTCGAATTGTTAAAATAAATTGATTATTGGACTCAAGATCTACAAAAATACGAAAAATAACATGCTAAAGAGATTGAATTGTTTTACTTAGAAAGATTGGCAGTATCTATAAAAAATACATTATTAGATTACAAATATGAATATCTCAAATATGGAATAGATTATTAGAAAATACGAGCTATTAAAGATGGTCTATTAGGAAATAACTAAAAATCATTCATAAAAATATTCAGATGATACCTTCAATACCTTATATAATAAATATTGCAATGAAAAGAAAAGTAAGCAATCAGCAACTTAATCTTAAAAAAAATCTGTTAATAATTGTAGCACAGTTTAAAATAAGGGTAGGAGATCAAATTAAAATATTAATATCAATACAACCAAAGAATAAAAAATAACTAATTAATAATCAACAATCGAACCAAACCAAATTATTGATGAGTACATTGATGAGATCGACTATTATGCAGATAAAGTCACTCATTTGTAACATTAGATTGAGTAGCATTCCCATGAAGAATTATTAAGTTAATTACAGTAATTGTAATTAGAACAGGAGGGCTTACAATCTGATTATAATACAATCATAGAAGAGAACGAAAGATTGAAAACAGAGATCTAAGACAATCAACAGAGAGTGAATGAATTGAGAGAATTATAATTATAATTGATTGATGAATTCAAATAATTTAATTGAATATGGGTATTTCGAATCCAATCGATTATTGTATAAAATCATTCAATGGACAATGTGTAAAACAAAAATCAATGGAATTATCCAAAAATCTTAAGTCCTAAAATCACATCATCCAAAAAGATAGTTATCCACCTTTTGCACTTAATTGAAATTCTTTTGGGTTAGATAGGAGGCGTATAGGTGTGATTACAATTTAATTGTTCCACTTCATTTATAATAGTGTTTACAATCACAAAAAATATGACATTTATGAATTTTATTTTAACTTCAATTATTGTCCATCTTTATTGATGCTTTGGATTCTATTTTTCTCATGAATACTTACTATTACTAATTTCATTTCTCTTTTGCTTAAATGAATTTCAAATACGGATATTTTGTATTTTGTGGATTGGATACAAGAAATATGGGATTGGGTGGAACTTGTGTTTTAGATCAAGTAGAATCAGATGAGGTTGTTATGTTAGAGAAACACGATTAATTAATCAAAAAAAAAATATGATATGGATTCTGAAATGGAATGTGTGAAAATTTATGAATTTATTTAATTCATTTATAAATAAATATATACTAATGTATTATTAACAATTATTTTATTGAATCTTTATGGATGTTCTAAATTCCAATGTAAATTAATCGAAGCGATGATGTTTACGGAGGTAAACATTAATTATGTCTTTAATATTTTATTTTTCTCCCTAATCTCCACCTTCAAGAGCAGTTCGTTCATTACTTTTATTATCGAAGGTTGTATTTTAAGGCAAAGTAGTGGATTTAATGAAAGGAGAGCATAAAACTCCTGAATATTAATATATCAATCCTAACTAATCTTTGCCAGCTCTAGTGGATGGAGAATTAAAGCTTTTTGAAAGCCATGCAATACTAAAATATATAGCCATAAAAAAAGAGTTAACATAATTTTATCCAAAAGTATTAGAAATTACTAAATTATAAGGATATCCAAAACAGAGCTAGAGTTGATTGCTATCTCGATTGGAGTCAAACGGGACTAGATGCAATAGGAACATACACGAATTAGTGTTTCTTATTTCCCATGTTAAGGAAGAAACCTGTGCCGCAAAATAAAGAATAAATGTATCAGGATACAATAGATACACTTCAATTCTTTGAATCCATTTTCTTGAAGGGAAGATACATACAAAATCAACCCTCAATAACAATTGCTGATTTGAAGTATTTATAATATCATATCAAAGATGCATAGCTGATTTGACCCAACTTTTATTAACTGGCTTGGATTTCAATCAATTTCCAAAAATTAGAGACTATTTGCAGGAGATGTTCTCCTTACCAGAAATAAGAGAGGCCTATGCAGAATATTTAGAAATGATTAAAAATACGAAACCCAATGATTCAATATCTTATATCATTAGTGGAATTGACAAAAGATAAAATTGGCAAATCAACCTCTATCATCATCCTTTCTCCTCTCCCTCCAGAGCTGCTAGAACTACATTATTATACAGTGGAGTCGAATACAATGAGAAAATCATCTATATTTAGAAAGGATAAAATAAAACTCCCGAATACTAAGCAATCAATCCTAATGAATCTCTCCCAGCAATCTAAGACGGAAACCTATGCTTATTTGAAAGTGGTGCTATAATGAAGTACATCGCTCAAAAATTTAAATTATCCAATCTCTATCCCTTTAATTTAAAAGCCAAAGCACAAGTGGACTTATATATGGACTTTCATCTAACTGAGATGTCCTCACTTACCAAATATGCCTTCTCCTGTTTCCTTGGCCCAGCAGTTATGAAATTACCAATACCTTCAAATAAAGATTAATAATTAAAAGATGTCAAGGCCACTCTGGAATTCTTCGTTAAGGTATTTCTAAACAAAGGCAACTGGGCATACATAAATGGATCTCCTATTCCAACTTTGGCAGACATTAAGGCTTGCTGCGATATAGCCTAGCTCTTAATTACAGACTTCCCTTTTGAACATATTTTGGGTTTGGATACTTATGTCTAGAGGGTATTTTAAATGCCTGAAATGAAAAAGTCTCATAGAGAATACTTCCAACTTTTGTAGAGTTAGAAAATAGGAAAATTTGCTCTTCAAATTACTTAAATGTCAGAATAAATAAGACCCAAGGATAAATTAACCTTATATTTTAATTTTGTATCTCCGCCTTCTAAAGCTGTAAAATCATTATTGAAATTGGCGTAAATTACATACACTGAAAAGGATATTGATTTAAAAGGAGGAGAGAATACAAGACCTCCCTATACAAATATCAATCCGAACTAAACTCTTCCTGCTATCACCTTTGGCAACTTCAGCTTATTTGAAAGCCATGCTATAATGAAATTTATTTGTATTCAATTTAATTTGACGGAATTCTATCCGAATTACCCATTGAGAAGCAAAATTGATTCCTTTTTAGATTTTCATCATACAGGCTTCAAATCATTGACTATTTATACAATGGATTTCTTTTTTGGTCCAAAATTCTTCAAAAAACCAATTCCAAACAACAAAGAAGAACGAATTAGAGAGTTAAACGAATCGCTTCAATTTTTTATAGACACTTTCTTAGGAGGAGGACATTATAAGTACATTATGGGATCCAAAACCCCAACAATAGCAGATTTGACGTAATATATTTTAATAACAATAGATTTATTGGAGAAATCTCTGGCTTATTTCTTGTAGATTTTGACTTTACACCATTTCCTTCTTTAAAAAGATATTTAAGAAACTTATTTGAGATCAAATAAATTCGAGATACTTATAGCAAATATTTTTTAGTTGCTAGATTTTTGACTTCATCAATGAATGATTACATTTTATCAATTGTAAAAGGAACAAAAGAGGGGGAAAGTGCATGCTGCCAGCTAATTTGATATTATAATTAATTTAATTCATAATTTAAAATTAGCTATCATTCCATTTATAAATTCTCCTATTTAAGAAGCAATTTGTAAAGTATTAATATCTTATTGTTAGATGTAATTTCTAGATCTTTCTAATTTGACACTGATTAGCTCTTGCTGTTCTAAATCATCATCAATATCATTAATTTACTTAACATATTTGACCTCATCACTAGGTTTTTTTTTCATTTACTCTTAAAGTTCCTTAATTTTCTCCAATCCTTGTATATTTGACAAATAATGAACTTCATTAACCAAATAAACCATTAAAATAGTCAACCATTAAGAATCAGTGAATTTCTAAGGTTTACCACCAAAATAATGTTATTGATTAATTCTCATGATTTTGATTACCTACTCATCATACACAAATAACCCATCATCAAGTTATCTATCTATCAACTCATTAATCATAACTTTAATTGATTGTTTAGTTTTGGGTACAAAAAACTTACTATACAAACTCATAGCAACACCTCCAACAGTTCCCCCTATGATTGCCCCTAAGACTGGAACTGGAATTAAGATTTAACCAGCTACAGCTGAACCTATACCAACTGAACTTTAAACTCCAATATGGGCTAAATTCTTCATTTTTTCATTTTTATCAATTACCTTATTATTAGCTGTCAATTTAATTGCATAAAACAATAAAGCTTATGACAATATGGTTCCAATCACAGGTATACGCATAGCTGCTCCTACAATACCAGTTGCAACAGAACTGAATCCAGCCCTTTTCAGTTTTTCCTCCCATGGAATTTTTGGATCAACACTATCCACAATTAAACATCCTAAGCCAGCTCCAATAGATCCTCCTACAACAGAAGAACCTGTCAACATCTATTAGGATTGTATTGACTTTTTTTAATACAACCAAGTTTTATATTTTAGACAATCACCATCTTGGTCAAATAATTTTGAATCTAAATTTATTTAGACACTCTAATTTTCATCTAATAGTTAATGCATATGGATTGCATCCTAGAATGTCTATGTTAAGGTAGACATCTAATATACACCGAGATTCAATTTATTGTACTCATAGAAATGTCGAATGATAGATTTGACTAAATCTTTTTCAAAAATTAAGAATTCAATTCTGTAAAAGAGCATTTCTTTGAGTGAAATGTGACATTAGGATATGATGTATTATGATGTTTCAGTTTACAATACCTGATATGTTCTAACATTGGCCAAGGTGTGATATTTGGTGAGTGTTTCATTAAGGAATTCCATCTAAGTATTACAAAACAAGGATGTTCTGTTGATATATAAATGAATGTTTTGTATTATTGAGTTAAAGTATTTCTTCAACTCCATGTATAAGACATTGCTATTAGGCACTCTTACGAAATCACTCATTTCAACTGCTAAAACAGACATAGTTTATTCTAATTTATCTGTCATGTATTAATGAAATTCTGAACATTCAAAAGGTTTAGTAGTTAAATCTAAAACAATACTTTCAATCAGTTTATATGAATGATTGATAAGGCTTTTGCTTAGATTGCTAAAATATTCTAAATATTCAGGCCATCTTGGTTATTTAAATTATGGCCAATTTACAGAGTCTGTTTTTATTTGATTCAAAACTATTTCCTAAAGTTCGTCTTTGCTGGCAACTTTGTGTTTATCTAATGACAATTTAATTAATGAACAAAGTTTCAAAATTACCTCAGCATTTTCCTCATTCATATTGTTGATAATCAATTCCTATTTTTTACATTAATTTAAATAGAGTTGTTCGTCAGCCAATTTGTCTTCGGCTGCAAGTATAGATCTCAGCACATTTTTTGGATTTAGAGTGATTGGGACAACTTTGCATAGCTTTAACTATTGATTGATAGTTTCTTGATATTATTCAATAAACATTATTTATAATTTCAAGGCAAATTGCAAAATGTATATTCAAAGTTATCGTAATCTATTGTGATAGCAGCAAAAAGAATCAGGCATTTGTCTTGAGAAGTGCATTGAGGAGGGAATTCCACCAAAAATTTATCAGCCTTGCTACAATATTCTAAAGCACACCCATTAAAAATATTTCTAATTCTCCCGACTTTCTGCTTCATAGGGTTATAAATGTCATAGTCAATGTATTAACAAGGACCCATGCATCTTGGTATGGCACACATCCTAGTAACACAACCACATTGAACAAACTCTCCAGAAATGAAATACCTTGTGTTGCCTGAAGGATCACAAATATCAATTTCTTCGAGAATTGGCAATGGACATCTTGATATATATCTGATTAATTACTCTGATCGACCGCAACACATGAACGGTTACTTGAGGTATCCTATCACTTCAGAGTCACGAGACACAACCATCTCTGGTCTCTCACATGGCAAACATAAAACTGAAGGAACTTTGTAAATTCCTAAAATAAGTAAGTTGTCTTACTTTGTGCCTTGAATAGGATTTGATTCTAATTGTTAATAAATAATAGATCCAAAGCTCTCCAACATTGACAAAAGAACCTTTAAGCACATTCGGATTCCTCCTTTATAATCCCAAGTTACTATTGAGCAAGGAGTCCCGTCTATTCAGACACTGAAATCTAATAACTATTCTTCTTTTCCCCAAGGCAAGGACATATACATTCAATGCAACTAAATTAAGATCATTGATTTACTCTGGTTTTTAATCGATTAACATATAATTTACCCCGGCAAACGGCTAATATTAGTTACTCTCTTTACATCTGCAGTGAAAAACTAGGCCCCATATTATTGCAATTGTCCTGCTATAGCATTTCCGATTGCATTTCCCAATGCTTGAGGATTTGGTACTGCCCCGTATTAGACTTGCATTATAATTAAATAATTAATTGATTAATAGTTTATAATTTTAATATATGCTGTTGATTAAAAGTGGAAAATAAATTAAAATTAAATTAAAGATAGATGAGTCAAGAAATTTTTGTTAGTGATGATGGTAAAATAAAATTATTAAATGGCAGAGAGGAAGGCATGAGATTAGTGAATTCTCAAACCAGACAAATCGTCACTCAAGTATCTGATTCTAATTTAATGTTAGTAACCAGCGATTGAATATTCATCATAGAGAATGAGAACTCAAGAGGAAGCTCAAATTCTATAGACTCAACAATTACCTCCTCCCAGAATCTAAAGTCAATAGGTTTTAAGATAAAATATCTCAATCCCTTAAGTCTCTTATCCTGGCACCTATAGTGTTTAACAAAATTGTCAACAAGCACCACCACTGTGCATGAACATTGTAGTTGTTTCAAAGGAGGAAATCGAAACTCCCTGGAGATTGGAATGTGAATATCTTTAGTCAATTATTGCTGATTTGGAGAGAAGAAAGGAAGCCAAAGTTGTCGAAAAAGAAGTAGTCAAAGTTGTCACAGATAACACAAGAATTGAATAATTAGAAGCTCAATTATTACAATTGCGTAGAGAAAATGATCAACTTAAAAATTAAATGATGCAAATGCGAAATAGCTATGAGCAATAATTGGATTCCCTAAGAGGAGATGTAAACTTACATAGTGCCAATGCTGCTGATTCTGCTTCATTACAAGCTGAATTCTATGCCATGAGAACTTAATTGGAAGATTAGATTGCAGGATTAAGGAGATAAATTTCGGATCTAGAAATTCAATTAAGTTAATCACAATAAGAAAACGATAGACTCAAACAATTATTATCAAATAGAGATGCTGAAATCTAATAACTAAGATTACAAATATCAAAATTATAAACGAATGCTCAGGATACAAGTTAGTTGAGAGATTTAGAAAATCAATTGAGATAATCTAAAGATGAAAACTCCAGACTCGAAAGATTGTTATAATAAGCGAATCAGGATATCTAGAATTGGAAAAACAAATGCGCACTTATTGAGTAGGAATCCTACACTAAAAATAATGAACTCATTATGTAAATAAGAGATTATGAAGTAACAATCTATTGATTTTTGTTAGAATAAATTAGCTTTAATCTCTACTGATATTGAGAGGCTGCAAATATAAATCAGAAACAAAGATGCCGAATTAAATGAATGGAGAATGAGATATACCGAATTAGAATCCTAAGGAACTACTGTTATTTAGGAGAAAGTCACCTATCTCTCATAGGAAGTTGAAGTTTGGAAGTCTAAGTTCATTAAAACAAACCACGAGTACAATAAGTGTTAGGAAGAATTGACTATGTGTTAAGCAGAATTAGAATCCCTTAGGAAGAGTGGATCAAAGAGAGTATATCTCATTTTCATATCTAGGAAGTTGTTGTCACCCAAAGAACTGTTACCTCAAGGGCTGGTAATACTTTAACTGTTACTGGGCCAACTGGATCATAATCTTAGATTAAAAGGACTGGCCACTAGGAATGATTCATTTATTTATCTAAGTACAAGTATAATTACAAAAATCACCTATCATTTTGTCTTTTCTGAAATCCAATAGACTTGAAATCTGAGTTATCTGTAATGTGAGTTATTTAAAATAAATTAACAACTAATATGTAATACCAAGATCCCTTAGAAGTAATTTCATTCAATTCTAGATCATAAGATAATCAAGTAAGGAACAAGAGTCAATGTATTCCTGGTTGAAGAAATAAGAGCTATCTTTTTTGAGTCTTTGTATCAATCCTCAATGAAGGATTAAGCATCATTTATATCAAGAAAACTACGAGAGAGGTTTGGTTGCTATTGGTTTGTCTTCATGTGGGATGAAAGAAGAGAAAATGCCAATCCTTTTTACACTAATAATATGGACTTGGTCTTTCAATTTAAAGTATACAAATATTTGAATTTATTAAAAAGTGGTTAGATTGGCATGTACTAATTTATGGGATCGATCCAAGAATGTATCGATGACTACTCGGAGTTGAAATACTTAATGTATATAAAGATACTTCTATTCATAATTTATATATTAGAAATATACTTATAATATTTCAAAATAAGAGACCAGCTTAACTAAAAAGATAATTCAATTATTTACTGTTTTCTCCATAATTGAATGATTCCTGTACATGCCATCACCGAGTTGCATACCACTAACATATACTATCTTGGTGATAAAACCCAACACCATCTATTTGATTAATCATATTTAATACCTAGCAATAAGAGTTCCGGTTAATGTTATGACTGATTACTAAACAGGGTTAACTGTCTCAACAGGCTTCTTAATCATGTCGTTTATATTGGCTATAGATATTCCCCACTTGGCTAAAGGACAATAGAAAAAGATAGTAAATGGTCCTTTTTCAGCTTAAAACCATCTAATCATAAACTAGGGCCAAAATGTCTAGGCACACACAAACGCTTATAACTATCTTATGGGACCCATTCAATTTTTATAATAATTATTAAAATCTTATTCATTTTACACTATTTAATAATGCAATTAAATTAGGAAACACTATTACTTATGATTATGAATTATAATAAATATTATAATAAATAATTTCAAAAAGATATTTTCTAAAGTATATAATTTTTATAATATTTATATTGCAATCACCTAGTTTTTTTAATATTTTACACTATTAATTCTTTCCTTATTGAAAACTCATTAAACGCCAATCTGGTTACTCTTTATAACCTTCAGCATGCTTAATTACTATTATATTGAATGCAAACTAAATCCTTAAGTTTTTTATTTCCTTAATTCCAACTTGATTTAACGCTAAAATAAAACAGTATGTAATTCTTATAATTGCAATCGATATATCAATTAGTTTCTGCAACTTTAATCTCAAGAACACAATAACATCGTAAAATTGGTCAGTGTATAAAATTCAATTTTAAAAAGTTGATTTTAAACTAGACAAGTCGCCAGGGGTTAATTAATGCGGATATTTAGACAAGCTAACGATTTTAAGTGAATTATTAAATATTATTAATAATATAATTTATATATATTTATTACTTATTGGATTGTAATTTAATTATTGTTAGAATTAGTTAACTTGAAAAAACTGAATTATTTTAATTATATCAAATTGAAGTTTGATATGTCTTTCACTTTAATGGAAACAGAATAGAATGTTTATACGTTATAACGCTAAGCTAATATAACTCAATAAATATTGGAGCCCCTCCTTATCATAGGATGAGAAATTGAGAGGCAATTCAAGAATAAATAATTTGATATCGATTTTGTTCACCAAGGTAATTTCTCTTAATGAAACTATAGAAACGATTCTTAACATGGTTTTCCTTGAATATTTAATGAAATATTATTACAGGTCTTCCAACTAGTAAATTAGAGATTTTTGTCCATTTGGGTCCATGATTGACGAAGTAATCTAAAACCAACATGTCCTCTTCATAAGTCCATGGCTCTTTGTTGATTGATTGATCTAGCTTATTAATGTAACGATCACGAGCCTGTTTTCCTGTGATGTTTCCAAGGACTATAAAATTGAATGCAATTAATAATTACTTTTGGCTATTTTCATCCATTATCTGCCAAATTGATGAACTAATAATTTTAATTGGTCATCTTGTTGTTCGCTCCATATATGCTTTGTCTATTGAATTAATAAATTAAAGATATTACCTCTTTTGGCGGATTGATTCTTCTCCACCTCTATTGACATTAAGATGCATTTCTTTAAGGCATATTTTTAACTATCTCATTCCATTTTCCTTGATAGTAATTAAATAGATATTTTAATCTTTAATCCTCTTCATCATTCCAAATTTTCTATTTTCTTTTATTGATTTCCTAATTCTACTGATTAGAATTAGTGTCTTCCTCTTTAATCTTCAATGCAAGCTTAGAAACATCAGATTGGCATTTAAGGACTGGTTCCTCGGTAAAAAAGGACACTATTTAGTAAAATAAAGAAAAATTTGGTACAATGAAAATTGGATTCAAAATCAGAAAATGGTTCCAAATCCAATGTGGCCGGAGAGTGTAGATCCTCTTCAGATATCTCTTTCTCTGAACAAATTGAGTCGTGAATGATATTTTAAAACATATATTTAATTACGTTTATTGCATATTGAAATAGATTAATAAGAATATGTATATAATGCAAATAAACTGAAATTACTAATAAAATTAAATTTGTTTGTGAAATTCGAACTAATCTATTAAAAAGAATAGTAATTCTTTGATTCTCATTAAATACGCTATATATTCTCATTAAATAAGCAGCATTTAACTGAACAATTAAAAATTTAAACTTTTTTTCATTTTTTAATAATTAGATTTTTATTCAACAAAATTAAGTATTGACAGATTTATTTTTTAAATCTTTAATAATCCTGTGAAATATTGCATTTCATTTAATCTATTATTTTGGAGTTCAATTAGATCACCTAAATTTTTTATAGTTTTAAACATTATAGTAAATATTATATTAAAGGTTAAAGACTCTAAATTGCAGTAACACTTATATTTTAGAAACCATTTGCTGATCAAAAATATTAATTACCTATAAACAAAAAAGAATTTAATAATAGAAAGATCTTTCATAGATTGAGTGTGAGAAATTGTATTTTAAATAAAATATATCATTTGTAACTATAATATTTATTGAAATCAAGATCCACATTTGTTAATTCACTTAATTATTTGAATAAAATGTAACATGAATCTCTAAGAGAATATTAATAATTTTACATCATCTCTGAATCTTAGGCAGATAAATTTGGATATACAATACTTAGATTTTTAGGAGTAGCCTCAGATTCTAAATCTATCTATGATGATAATTACTTGGTGTGCTATTGGAGTATGGAGTTAGGAAATTTAATTATCTTGAAACTGGATCTCTTTTAACCAATTTTTCAGGAGTTTTATAATACATAACTTTCCTCTAGACTTGTCTTCTTGGAACTCCTTTAATTTGAGTCTCATCCTATCTAGGTACTACTTAGAGATCTTCCCATCTATTTTACATTTTCAATCTTCTTTTTAAAGTGCTATTCCAATGATTTTTAATTGAATTGTCAGTTCTTCCTTTCAATAGGCCTGCTATCAATGACCAGCGGTTTCCCAGTTTCTTATGAGCCTCAATTATGGTTTGATCTTCTTCATCTGTCCATCTCTCTTTATTTATTTTTGGATCTAAATGATTATGAAATCTTCATCATTTCTAAATTCAATACCTCTCTCTACATTGCTTGCCAATCCTGCCAGGCAAATGTTTAGCAATTTGACTCCAATTCTTAGGCCCACAATTTGTTACTAATTTAACTAAGAGATCATCTTCTTCTTAAGTCCAAGGACCTTTCACAAGATCGGGATTCAGAACTTTTTACCATCTATGTAAACATTAGACATCTGTTCTATCTTCAAAATAGGAAGCTATTTTCTTCCAATTTTTGGCACCATGTTATGTGACTAATTCTTTCAGTTATTAATCTTCTTCTTCTGTCCACCATCTATCTAATTAATATCATTTATACCTCTTCTTTATAGTCAAAGGAGGGTCGATATTATTACTATTTAAAAGAGTTTCAACTTTTGTTTTAATTTCATTTATTTTATTTCTATTCTTCTTAGGGATTATGCTTTCTAATTAGGCATAGTCAAATCTGGGCGATGAAATAGATGGATCTTTATCCTCCTTTATTAATTACAGAATATTTGATTTTAAGGTTAGCAATTTCAGTTCTTGGTGAGATGGCTAAGTATTAGCAAGAATAAAGTCCATATCAATTGGATTTTGTTAGAGTAGATCTTTTAAAAAAGTAATGCACATGTTCTTTTCCATCAAAGGCAGAGTATATCCATTGAGTTCAAATTGAGTTATTAATTGGTGAGTACCTCTCATTAAACAAATAAAAAAATTAATTAAAAGATAAGAGATTAGTGTTTTTTAACGTATTTGATAAAATTTATTAATAAATATCCAACAATTAAATTGCCTATCAGACAGCAAAGATTTCTTAAATTTATTTTTTATACCCATCTCTCCTCTCTATAAATTTAGTTATAGCTTTGAATTTAAATATATAATATTCTAATACTTAAAATAACTCTACTATCTTCATATCATACTTACCAATATCAGACCCTCGATTATCAGAAGGAATTTATAATTTAGAAGGCATTCTTGCTATAATTAAAATTCCCATAATAAATAAATTATAAATTATTTCAAAAATATAAACTCAACTTAATTAAATTATCTAATGATGAGAATTTCTGATTTTAATGAAAAATGATTAATAAATCGATTAGTCTTTTCTGAAAATAATATATATTCAAGAATATTTTTTATTTGTTAAATCCATCGAATCTATAAATTTCCAAACTTTAAGTAATTGAAGCCAATAAAAAAACTCAATATTTAAAAAAAAGTAATTCTGATTCACTTAGGATAGCTTTAGGATGATGATAATCATATTTTAATATTATCAGAGATTATAGTAGAAAACCAATTAATAAAATTAAATATGAGCTTTAAAAGAGCAGGAGACTAAGATATAATTAGAACAATTGTATTTAATGATGTTGAAATTAAATTTAAAAAGTAAAGAGAAATAGAATTCTAAATTAAGAACCATTATTGAATATAGACTAAAAATAAGCGAAATTTACATCAAAAATAATTTAAGATAGATTTTCAGGAATAAAAGGGTGTATAAATTGAAAAAACCATTTGAATAGATAAAATTTAAATTTACTATGATTGGCTTGCAAAATTGGCTAAATCAAATAAATAACTAGACTTATTAGTAGATTCTTTGAGTTATTCTAATTTAATTACCATGAAGAAAGAGTGTTAATGTTGAAATTAAATCTTGTTATTTAGTAAATTATAAACTGAAATTTAAGTTAATAATGAAATTTAATTTAATTTTTCACTAAGCCAATATAAAAGTAGAGGACATTTATATCTAATATATCATCAATATTTTGATAATTCAAAGAAAATGAAGCATTCCCTTGTTTTATAAAATGAATTCACTATATTTTATAATGAAATATGAGAAGATCTGCTAAAAATAAAGCAAATATAGAAATAAATAGAAATTATATCGAATATTCTATAAAATACCTTTTCTATACTTTAATAAGAAAGCAATAAAATCAAAGCATGAAAGCTAAAAGGACAGAAAATATTGCATTTAAGGCAACTATAACTCCAAATTTGGTACTCTGGCATTCCTTGCATTTACCATAAATCCAAGCGTATGATCCTCCTGTATTAATATAACAATTAGAGGATGTTAGAGCTAATACATCACTTGCCTCAACACAAGAGTTATCCAGCCACGTGCAAAGGATTTTTGTTCCAATTGATTCGGCACTTACATAGGAGCACATATCAGGAGATGAGTAACTTGAACATGTTCCTTCCAAGCACTTTAAATTAGTAACCGACCAAGAGCACTTTAAAGAAGTGCAGAGAAATTACTCAGTTATTGTAGAGCATTTAGAAATATCCATCGATTGACATGAAGAAGATGAGTAAGTACATGTTTCGTATTAACTTTGATACAGACCAGAATTACAAAGCTTTTAGTCGCTGATCTAGCTGCATATAATTTTACCTATTTAGCATATATATGATCCATCAGGATTTGCATCTTCAGCGATGCAAGTTGCATCTTTCAATTAACATGAAGAGGCCTGTTTTACCTTATAATTAGAGCAAGAAGTGAATTATGCACATTTTTTTTAAGTGTCATTCCAAGCACAATCAGAGGCTCTATCGCATTCCGATTCTTCTATGAAGTCGCTACATATTTTATCCATGCAAGATGTTGACCATTTACAATTTTATTATTAAGCACATTCAATTGAGGTTTAAAATTCTGAGCATTCACAGAAAGCACTTGTTGAAATAGCTGCAAATGACAAATCCATTATCAATAAGATATAGATTATTGTTATCATTAAATTATTTAAATTATATTGGCATGATTTTAAATGATTTTGATTTAACATTAAATTAATCATATCATGAGAATAAATTAATATTTGTATAATTATGTGATTATATGAGTAAATATAAGTAAAATTTACAAAGTATCTGATTTGAAGATTAGAAGTATTTAGTTAAATAACTTTTATAAGCTAGTTAATTATTAATTTTATCTTAGTTTATTCAACACTACATTAATGATTCTCAATATAATATTCAATGCAAATAGGCAGATAGAATAAATTAATATTTATATTTATTTTAAATTATAATTAATAAGAAAAATATGATTTTACTATTACTAATGTGCTTTCTTAATGTAAAAGACAGTTTTGCAATAGATTGTACTATATTTCATTATTATTAAGGTGATTTGACTTGTTTAACTTGTGATTTAAATGATGGAAATAAATGTCTCACTTGTTATTTGACCACAAGAAAATTATAAGATGGAAATTGTGTTTGCAAAGATGGGTTTGTGGAAATAACACCCTTAAAATCGTCTTAATGTTTATGTATAGAATATGAAATGAAGTTTAGAGTGTTCTGAAAATTGTATTACATGTGATATTTCAAAAAGAAATTATTGTTTAAGTTGCGGTGATGAAAATATCACATTTCGATAATTAGTAAATGGTGATTGTGTTTGCAAATCTGGTTATTAAGCAGTTACATATTAATATGCATGCGAAGTTGATACTTGGGATAAGAGATTGTTGACATTTAAATTCAAGACTGATACATCTCATCAATATTGGTAGACTGTCACAAAGCTTTTCGAAAGTAATAATAGTGTTATTAATGAATTGACTACTCTAATTAAGGCTTCTTATTTATAAGATACTGCATCGAATTAATTCACAAAATATTAATTTGATTTAGAATAAAATTAGAAGAAATTTTTCTTTAAAAGTGACATTCCTGTTGGTTAGTACTATTAATAATTGGATCAAAATGTTTTTGCAGTAGGATATATCTAACCAAAAGAGACACAAAGTGTGCTTTGGAAGTTTGGTTTAACTATTTCAGTCTCATAAACCTCATATTACTACACTAGTCGAGTTTTGGAAAAGTAATGGAATGCAGGAATGTTTCAATTTTATAAGGATTAAGCTGTTTATATTTAAGTGATATTAACTTAAGAGGAAGTTACAGGGTCTGTTACAAGAAGAAGATTTCTAGCTGAAGACTACTCTATATATTAGATTATGTATTTTTTTTATATTGGATATGCAAAATCTACTTTTTTAAGTGATTAAGAATGTGAAAAATTGATGGATGGTCTAATGAATTTAATAAATGGATGTCAGAAATATTGTGATGATTGTTACTTTTATCAAAATGTACAATAATGCAGAAGCTGTTAATTAAATAGATAAAATTAAAATGGAAATTGTTTGTGTAAATATGAGACAACGGATTAATCCCAATGCTATGAACCCTGTAAAGGCTTAGATTGTATAACATGTGCAAATGGTGTTTGCGTAACTTGTCCTGATGGTACACTGCCTCCTTGTAACTCTCCAAATATAAAATGCGATGAGGGATATTACTAAGAAAATTCATAATGTTTCAAATGCGAAGATATATGTATTGCTTGTACATCTAAAGATGTTTGCACCTAATGCCCAGCCACTTATTACGTAGATAAATCTTTTTATTGCGGAGTATGTTATGCTCCTTGCTTAAATTGTACATCAATCGATTAATGTTCTGATTGCATAGATGGATATTTTTTTTAAAATAACAATTGCATTTTGTGTAATTATGGTTGTGTAAAATGCTCAGCTGAAAACTATTGTAATACTTGCATTAAGGGAAAATATAATAACAATTCAGGGTAATGTATAAATTGTCCTTCAATTTGCACAACTTGTACAGCAAGCGATAATTGCTAATCATGTATTGATGGGTATTACAACATTATTGGTTATTGTAATAAATGCTAAACTGTATGTTCAAAATGCTTAAATAGTTCTCAATGTACTTAATGCATACCTGGGTATTATTTAAAAAGCGAACAATGTCTCAAATGTGCAGATAATTGTACAACTTGTTTTGATTAATCTGATAACTGTGCTTCATGTAGTTCCTCTTATACATTAATAAATAATAAATGCATCAAATGTACCAGTCCCTGTGACATGTGTTAGAGTTCTAGCACTGAATGCTTATCTTGTGAGAAATAAAATTATTTGGTTGTTGATAATAAATGTTAAACTTGTTCACAAGGATGTAAGGAATGTTCTGTTTATGGTGATCGTTGTTTAGAATGCTCATCTGGTTATTTTTTAGACAATTTGACTTGTTAATAATGCAATTTTTAGTGTTAACTTTGTACAAATAGAGTTACTTGTACAGGTTGTGTAAGTGGGTACTATTTAAATGTTGCTAAATGTTTACCTTGTCCTATTCAATGTTCAAATGACTGCACATTTCAATCAAGGTCGATTGTCTGCAATACTTGTTCTTCCACTTATTTCAAGTCTTCAAGTACTTGTCAAAAGTGTTAGGAACCTTGTTTAAATTGTTCAACTACAACAACTTATTGTGAGGATTGTATTTTAGGATATTATCTATCCAATCATGCTTGTTATTAATGCACCCTTACATAATGTAGGGTGTGTTCGAGTGCAACTTCATGTTCTATTTGCAATGATGGTTATATATTAAATTCAAATAATACTTGCGAATAGCAAACTCAAACATGTGATGTTGGCAAGGTGCAAGTGAAAAAAACAGATGAATGCTAACCTTGTAATAGCAGTTGTCAAACATGCTATGGCTTAGAACTGAACTAATGTAAAACCTGTGGAGTTAGCTACTTTTTAGATGCAATTCATTAGTGCAAATAATGTGCATATCCTTGTAAAACATGTTTAAATCAAGAAACTAATTGTCTTTCATGTTTAGATGGTTATTATCTTGAAGATAATGAATGTAAAACCTGTTAAGAAGGATGCTTAATTTGTTCTAATGAAGATAATTGTTCTAGTTGCTCTACTGGATATAAATTAGTGAATAATGAATGTGAGAGCTGTTGTGTTGATAATTGCTACCACTGTACATCTGAATCAAGTTGTGATTATTGCTAAGCTGGATATTATCTAACTGCTTTAAAGAAATGCTAGAAATGTGATGTTGATTAATGTGCTATTTGTACTAATGCTTCAGATTGTAAAGTATGTTAAGATGGTTATTACTTGGATTCGAATACAAGATGTCTTTTGAAATCTTGTACAATAATTAATTGTTAGAAATGTTTAAGTGACACTGTATGTGATACTTGTTTACCAGGAACATATGCTGATTCAGGACAATGCTAATTTTGTGATTTTAATTGCAGAACATGTTTAAACACTTCTAATAAGTGCACATCTTGCAATCCTAATTACTACTTAGATACTAATGACACTTGCTAATATTGTGAAGCTGGTTGTTTGTTATGTAGTACTTCTGCCATTACCTGTTAATCTTGTAAATCCGGATATTTTTTTATTGAGAGTGAATAAAAATGTGAAAAATGTAGTTAGTTTTGTCGATCATGTAGTGTAAAACCTAATCAATGCACAAGTTGTGGAACAAACGAATTCTTGAAGTCAGATGCAACATGCTAGTAATGTACAAGTCCATGTTTTGGTTGCAATTCAGAAAGTCTAAGTGACTGCAAAAGTTGCATTGAAGGATATTATTTATCTATTAAATAATGTTTACCTTGTTTTACTAATTGCTAAACATGCGTTTATAATAATGTATGTACAAAGTGCATTTTCGGGTATTTTTTAGATGGTAATTCATGCATAAAATGTCCAGTTAAATGCAAAGGTTCATGTGTCAAATAATCATCTTATATTTAATGTGATGAATGCAATGTTGGATATTATTAAGGAACAAGTGATTGTCTAATATGCAAAGCACCTTGCAAGACTTGTAAATCAACAGAAGATGCATGTACGTCATGTATTAGTGGATACTATCTTGCCATCAATAAAGTATGTCCAAAATGCCAAACAAATCATTGTAGAAATTGTTAAATATCATCTGGAGAGTGTTTAGCTTGTGATTATGGATATATTCTAACAGGTCCTGATTTGTGTACAGAATGTCCAACATGTACTTGTGGAACTCATAAATATTATGATTGGGATGATCTAGTATCTTCAGATAAATGTAAGGAATGCGATCGTTAATGTGTTAATTGTTATGCTTCATCTACAAATTGTACAAGTTGTTCGAGTAACTAATATCTCGATACTACAGATAAAATCTGTTATAATTGCAATTCATAATGTGTAACCTGTCAAAATTCAATAACATGCACATCATGTACTTAATTCTAGTACTTAACTGATGATAAGAATTGTGCAGTATGTAACTCTCCTTGTTTAAAATGTACAAGTAGCACCTAATGTACATCTTGCGTAGATGGTTATTATTTCGATGGTACAAATTGCATATAATGTAATTCAAAGTGTGCTTAATGTGAATCTGCTAGTAAATGTACAACTTGCGTTTAGGATGGACACACCTATTATAAAAGTGATTATACTTGCATTTCATGTGACAGTCATTGTTAGGAGTGTTACAACAGTGGATGTACAAAATGTGATGATGGTTATTATGCAGATGGCTAATCTTGTATTGCTTGTAACGCTAATTGTAAGTCATGCTCAAATCTAAATTGTTTTGAATGCAAAGGAAGCTATTACCCAGAAGGTTAAAACTGTGTGAAATGTTAAGATTTCTGTGTATAATGCACTTCATCATAATGCAATTAATGCTAAACTGGATATTATATAAATGGATAAAATTGTCCACAATGTATGCAAAATTGTTAGAAATGCTCCTCAGAAACAAGTTGTGAATCATGCAAAACAGGATTTTTCTATGATGAAGTAAATTCTGTATGTTCACCATGCATGGATAATTGTCTATCATGCACTTCAGAAAAATGTTCAAGTTGTCAAACTGGATATTACATTAATGGGTACTTATGTGAAAAATGTTAAACCAATTGTTTATCTTGTACATCAACCACTTGCAATTAATGTGTAAGTCCATATCAAGTTTATTAAAATATTTGTATATTGTGTTAAACTGGATGCACAAAATGTACGCAATAAGAATGTCAGCAATGTGATAGTGTGTATTATTTGGATCCGACCTCAAAATAGTGTGTGTCTTGTAATTCAAATTGCTTGAGTTGTACAGCACAAGAGTGTTCGTCTTGCAAGACTGGTTATTATGCCAAAGAGAAAAATTGTTAGTAGTGTAATGCAAATTGCGTATCTTGTGATGCTACAACTTGTCTTGAATGCAAACCCTAATATTATGTAGATCAAACCAATTGTGTTAAATGCAAAGATAATTGCGAGTCATGTTCAAGTTCTGAGTGTTTTTAATGCAAAATTGGTTATTATCTTCAATCGCAACAATGTACATAATGCAATCAATCTTGTAAGGAATGCACAAGTGAGACTTCTTGTCAACAATGTAATAACAATTATTATCTTGATGGAGACAAATGTGTTAATTGTGCTTCAAATTGTGTTACATGCACAAAAGATGAATGTACTTCGTGTGCTTAAAGTTACAGATTAGAAAATAAGTAATGTGTTGCTTGTACATCTGATTGTTTAGTTTGTACTGCTTCTTAATGTTCATAATGCTAAGCTGGATCTTGCTTAAAAAACTCCTAATGTTCTGCTTGTCCATCCAATTGTCCGTAGTGTCAAAGTGCCAATTCTGCCTATTGTTCAGTCTGCGATGATAGTGGATAAGGAGAAGATGAGGGCTATGTAAATAATTGTGATGAGGGTCAATTTTATAGTATTGAGGATAAAATATGCTATGGTAAAATTAATTTAAATTATCATAGCTTGTGGAGTTGAGAATTGTTAAACCTGCACTTCATATGATACTTGTACAGCTTGTTCATCAGGGTATAGTTTAGAGGTCGATCAGACCTGTGTTTAAAACTCGACAACTGCAACACAAGCAGTCCCTATTGCAGTTGGTACTATTGCTGGAGGAGTTGCTATTGTTATAGTAGCCCTCTTATTGAAAAAGCTAGCCTTTATTCATGTTGTACCGAAATTATTCAATAACTTGCCTATCAAATTCAATCCCTATAGAGTCAACAGTGGGGCTTCCGTATCTAATTGGGAACAAATACCGAATGTTTCTGAGTAGGAGTTCTAGGATGCCTTCTTTAAAGTGTAACAAGGAGGACAGTGAATTAGCAGTTCATATAACAACACAATATTATAATTTTATTTTATTGAATGATGAATAAATCAGACTGAATAGGTTCCTGTTAAGGTAGCCTTTTATTAATTTGCTGAAGGGTTCCAAGGGCTTGACATAAATATAAAATAATTACCAGATGTAGAGGTAGACATCATAGGTCTAATATGAGCCTTCTCCATTTGTATATAACAATTTAATATTGTAGTTGGTTCCAGACACCATTTGAGTTTAGACCTCCAACACTTCGTCGAATTCGTATCCCTATTATTATGGGTTGTATTATTGGGCAACAACAATGTTGGCTTAATTGATAATGCTGTCATTGCTTTGTTCAAAGACTTCTGGATTAACCTAATATAATATAATTTAATAGTGTTACATTTTCCCATGTTCCGGTAGGATGACTATCAACGTTTTCTTATCTTCTGACTTTCAATCTCAATGAACTTGGTTTGGTTACTGTAACTTGAGGTGATCCTCCAATTTGAGTTCTGCTGGGTTGAGTTTATGCGAATGAAGCTGATTATCCATTTATTAATTCACATTTAGTGATTTGATCTTATCCATTCCATGGGCTTTCTATAATAATCATAAATACGCTGAATAAACAATAACATCGTATTATTAGATTTCTCCCTCATCATTTCCATATTACAACACTATATTGTAATTTGTTCCAGAGACGATCTGTGTTTCAACGGAAACAACTGATTCAAATTCATAGCCTTGTTCTTCTGGTGAATATTTGTTTTAAACTGCGATCTAAGCCTCATTGAGGATATTAGAGTTTGCTGCTTAGAAGATTGTAGTGTTTTACTATCATAATATTCATTAATACTTTCTTCCATCCTCCTGTCTAAGCGCTTACCAAAGCAAGTAAAAGAACTAATGCGATTTAAACTTTCATTTTTATTAGAATAATATCTTTAATTAATTTCCTGCTTTTTGTCAAATTAAAGACTAAGCTTTAATGTTTCATACTATTTTCTCAATGATCAATTAAATCAAAATGATGAGCTCATTGCTTACAACACTACTATCAAAATTACATGATTTATTTTAATACTTTATTAAATCCTTATCAGAATTTACTTCCAAAAGAAAATTAAATAGAAAATAGAAAATTTCATTTTCATAAGATTTCAACAGATATGAGTAATATAAAAAGATTAGAAATGGAAATGTTTAATTATAATGTTTAAATTTGAAAGAAATACAAATGAATATGTCATTAAACTTAATTAATTTATCAGTTCCAGAAAAATCTTTATAATAATTAATCTATGAATATAATTATAATATATATATATATATTTTAGCATATTTAAATCATAAAATTAGATCCTTTTAGATTATTAATTTAATATCATAAATGAAATTGTTCACCCTCTTCGCTCTTATCTTCCTGGTAACAGCCAACGATATAGTTGTCATTCCAGATAATATCCAAAAAATATTGAATCAAAGTCCTGAAATAAAAAAATCTTTGATCGCAAAGAAACTCTTAGGGAACGAGAAACCATTCGAGAGATTTCAAGATTTAAATCAGGTTTTAGATAAAAGTAAGACATATTAACCATCTAGGTGATCGTATCAAAGATTCCATATAATTTATCAAAGTGGCCTAGAACACCTACAACACCTCCAGCTCCAATTATACCTACCCTAATTCAACATACAACTACACTTACACTAATTATTCTTAGCCTACCAGCTCTTATGTATATAGTAATCAGAGTAATGGATCAAATTCTACAAATTAGACAAATTCCACATATTCAAATAATTATTACTATAATACTTCATATCCAGTTTAAAACACTAGTGTCAATAATTATGTGACCTCTGACAATCAAAGCTCTACAAATAGCACTAATTCTGCTAGCCTAACCTGTTCAGTTGGATATTTCTTATAAAACAATGACTGTTTACCTTGTATGGCTAATTGTGCCATTTGTGGTTCATCCTAAGGCTGTTACTCTTGTTTCTCTGGTTATTCATTATTTACAACAGGTTGTTACTTGGACATTACTTAGAATTCCACCAGTAATTCATCAGTAATTTTGGATACTTCAACTAATACTAATATTACAAACTACAATTATAATGATACATCTTATAACACTACTGATAATACATATGATAACTCAACATCATATAATAATACTAACAATAATTATACAAATGATGATTAAACATATTAGAATTAGACCTATAATAATTAAACATATCATAATCATTCAGATATATCAAGAGTAAGAGAAAGATTTAATTAATCAAGAGTTCATCTTAAATTAAGAGATAACCTCAATAGAAATGGTATTACAAACTTGACTTAAATAATTTCTTATTACAACCAGTCCAGTCAATAATACAACAAAATAGTTCTTTTCAATGAAGCTACAACTGGCACAAAGCAAGTTCGTAATTAATACTATTTTTATCAAAATAATAGTTTAGTTGTCTTGAATTAAGAATTTGATACTAATGGAAATATTGTTTATAGATCCATCAATTATGATTTCTCAATTTATGTTTAAAAAGAATAAGGTTCACTAAATTAACACTAAAATAAAGAAATTTATGGAACTATTGTGTATGGAAATGGTAACTTCAATGCAACCTACTATAAGTATAACGATTTACAAGGATAACAAAATTAATCATATTTCGATATGGGATAATAATCGACTGGATAGGTCAACTACAATAGGAATTCAAGTGTGGCTTCTGTTTCTTATAATAATAATACTTTTGGATACTAAAGTTCTTATTCAAGCAATTATGATTACAATCAAAGCAATGAGTTCTAAAATTATTCAAATTCTAATAGTCAATATGAAAATTAAAATAACTATTCAAGATATGTAAACTTTGACTAACATTATTCAAATTCTAGCTCATCCTATTCCAATAATGATTCATCATATGAATATAACGATGAATATGCATACTCAAATGGAACAGGATATGAAAAGGAAAATAACTAGGAGTCACATTAATAAGCAAATGGTTATAGTGAAAGTGTAAACTATAACGGAAATAAATAATCATATTCATCAAATTCTAGCTCAACTGATTATAGGGATTCTTCGCAAGATGGTGTATATTCTTAGAATTACTCATTGGTTAACTAAACTTAATTCTAATATAATACAAATAGTAGCTCAAATGATTATTAAAGTGATTGGTATAGTTACTCATAGTCTGATTATTCTAGTCAATACAAAAACATAGATTCAACAGAAGTGTCTAACAATGATTATATCTACAATGTTTCTAACATTAATGGATACAAGTCTAATAGTAATTCTCACTCATAATACGGAAGTGAATATGGTTCAAGTATCCTTGATTCTGTTGACGCTCACTCTGTTTAAGTTACCAATGATAATACCACAGTAACCAACGTTAATGCTACTCTCAACTAATACAACTCTACAAATACGAATTATTATGGATATCCTCAATATAATTCATCATAAGCATCAAGAGATGTCAATCTTACAGTTACTGAAAATAGACAATAATTTAATTAATTGAGAGGATCAAAGAAATCAGCTACAGGTTCATGGTCAGAAGTTAACCAAAGAGAGTTTGCTAGCTCTAATGCATAAATAATCGAAGAAGCTAGATTGGCAATCAACAAGAAATTCTAACCTGAACAAGAAGGATTCTAATTTGATTCAATCTAAAGCATTAAAGAATAGATTGTTGCTGGAATCAACTATAATATCAAATTAAGATATTTGGATGCTAATTCCAAATCAATCATCTATGAAGTTGTACTTTACACAATGTAATTTTATATTCATTATTTTTTAGACCTTGGGCTAATCAACCAAATTAAATCGTCAGTTGTTCCAGATTTGATTAACTAGAAATATGAATTTGATTTATATTTCATCAACAAAATACAAAATCCATCCAATTTTTTATTAAGTTCTTATTAACTTATAAACTTAAATTCAGACGATAACCTGTGTAGAGCAACATTCATAATACAAATTTTTAGTTATAGTTGATGATTACATAATATTTTATTAATCATTGAATAGCTAAGGAGATTGTCATTTAAACTATGGCATTTGATGTGGCTTAGTTTGGCTAACTTTCACTGTTTGATGAATAGGATTGTTGAACCTATTAATTAAATTTCTAAAGCTTACTGAATATTGTCAAAGGTGGAATCCTCTTTCTATTCTACTACCTCCTAACTAAAAAATGGATGCTATAAACATTGAGTGGCTGAAGGTCGCTATTTTGGATCTTTTTTAAGCATTTGAATGACTAAATCGCAAGCTTTGGGATTTTTCGATTTGATTTGGTCTAAATAAGTCAAATCATAATCAGCGGCTATATTTTTCAGAAGAAGAGTTTAGGGGTTTTTAGAGGATCCAAAAGGATTTTTTAATGTTAATCTATCATAGAAAAATAGAATTACAGATTAAAAAATACCACACCACAACTGAAGATGTCCACCTTTTAATCATATATGGCCTACGTGAAAACCTCAGGAGCTGTGTAGCCCGGTGTCCCACATCTAAAGATAATAAGATATGTCACCATACCTATTATTATTATTTAAGAGTTGTGATTTAAGACAAGCCAACCCAAAGTCTGCCAGAACGAGGCTACTTGCATCATTAGCTTTCCTAAATAACACATTCTATAGCTTTATATCCCTGTGCAAAATATCATAATAATGAATGTGCTAAACGACTTATTAAAATATTCGTATATAATACCGTTTAACAATTTTTTCATCACTAATTAATGGTTGATGTTTTAATTATTCTGGTTCAAAAACTTAAGTAAATCACCTCCAGGACAGTATTCTAAGAGTACAGATATTGAATTCTCATCACATGAAATCTCTTCCAATTGTATGATATCTGGGTGAGGATGATCCCTTAAGTTGTTGAGAATCATTTACTCCTACTTTATTTATTCCTATTTTTGTTAAAGTTTAATATACAAATCGAGTTAAATTTGAGGGGTCTTAAGAAACATGCGGAAAGAATGCCATCTTCTCAACTAAGTAGTTATTGGTTCCTTCGATCTATAATAAAACTAGTATGATAATAGTCTGATACAAACATAATTGGCTATACCATTTATCCGTTTAAAGCAGGGTCTTCGCTTGTAAAGAACTTTTCCACGAAGTTGACGTTCCAATTTCTGTAAATTACTTATCTCAATTTCAATTGTAACCTTAATGTTACGGTCTAAGGTTTCCAAATCTACCGTTCCCATTTTGCTTGCTTGAATTAGCGACGAAATTACTTTCATTTACTTCACGAAACCATTACAAGGAGCTATCAATTGTGCCTCTTGGGACGAAAGCTATTTAGTAATCTGTACTTGTCATCTATTTATGTTGTATTAGACTTTACTTTAATTGTAAATCCTAGGAGAGATACAAGAAGAGTAACTTCGTATTTAGATTAATCGTTTGCAATCAAGTTTCCTTGGCAACTAAAAAGCATGAATATATGAGAAAGTTTAAAAATTTTAGCAATTTAAAAAATCAATTTACTTGGTTTTTGTATTGACCCCTATAGTAAGATCCTTCCTGGAACATGAGAAAATATTCCGTATTAATTTTATAATCATTTTGTAATAAAAACACATACAATATTATAATCTCATTATTAGAAATAATCAATAATTTGTATCATTTTTAATAGTACATATAATATTAAGAAATATCTTTTTCCTTTACTTTAATTTAATCTAAACCCTCAAAAAAACAATATATTATTAAACTTTTCAATAATCAAATTTTAATCTTAAACCGATATATATCGAATTATATTTAATTCTCAACCCTTTATTTAGTAACTCTCAATGATAAAAAATCTCAAAAACCTTTTTATTTAATATTTACATGATCACAAATACGATGGGAGATCTTATAATAAAAGTAATTTGAACGAAGAAAATAATATTTTTAACAATGATATTATATCCATAATCATAATCATAATCAAGATCACAATCCAATAAAGATCATTAAAATGGTTCCAAAGGTAATGATTGCTCCCCTATCATCTTCAGTACTATTTGTACTATTGGATGGAGTAGAGTTGGTAGATGTATTTGTGGTACTTGTTTTACATTTGGCGCATTTAACCTAGGAGGCATCATATGAATAAGTATATGAACTATAACTTAAACAATATGGCTATTCTAAAGTAGTTGGATCACCTTCTATACATGGAATAATAATAGTTGTATTAGTGCCTGTTGTTGAATTAGTACCTGTAGTTGAATTAGTGCCAGTTGTTGAATTAGTGCCAGTTGTTGAATTAGTACCTGTTGTAGAGTTAGTTCCTGTAGTTGAATTAGTTCCTGTAGTTGAATTGTTACTAGATGCGGGTTTGTTAGGAACACAAATTGTGGCTTTCTTTGAATCAATAGATAAAATTGGAAGACATGTAGTACCAATGGCCAAGGATGCACAAGTATGTGATATACATGTGCTGATCTTACTTGTTGCATCTGTGTTATATCTACATGCTTATTTCTTGAATTCACAAGCAAATTGATCTTGATGTGCATCTTCACACTTACTCATATATTTACACGTAGAAGTTACTGTTTCGTCTTTATTTTTCACTTCATTCCAAACACAGATTCCATCAGTTCCATTAGAATGACAAGCAACCTTTGTTTTATAAGTAGAACAATTGGCTTAGGCAACACAGGCTGTACCATCAGAAATACACCCTTTTAATTTAAGTGCGCATGCAGCACTTGTGGTTTCTTTGAAATCAGTGCAGATCTTGATTCTGCACTTTTCGTTATCAAAAATGCATTCCCCATCTGTTCCTTAGAAACAACTATCTTTATCATACTTTTCACATTTATTCATTTCAATACATCCTTTACTATTGGTGGTGCAGATCTTAGTGGCTTAGAATGCATTACAACTCTAATGAGTCACAATGTTATTAGCATTCTAGATAGTAGCATCGGTACATAGTCTTAATCTACATTTGCCAATAGTTTCTTTGACTTCCCAGAAACATTTGCCATCAGAGCCAAGATTGGAACAAGCCTATTCAGTAAGATAACTCTCACATTTGCCAATAGGGAAACACATCTTGCCATCACTAATGCATTTTGGTAGAGTAGCACATTATGAATGCTTATATTTATTACATGAACTGGAAAATAACTCACAAGTAGTGTTATCTGAACTGGTTGCTTATTTGCATTCTTTAAATAGAACGCATTTTGCAGGATCTGCTCCATTTTGAGGTAGCCATCCACAAACTCCATCTGTTCCATAAATGCAACTAATTTCGTTTTTATATCTTTCACAAAGAGTAATGGATAGACAAGTGGTACCATCACTAACACACTTTTCTCCGAAGGTTTAACAGTCTTCAAAGGTGGATCTGGCATAATCATAACATTATTTGTATGAGATGCATTTTCCAGATTGCCAGATGCAGGGTTTCAATTAGGTATCTACAGTACACCTGGCTTATGTGATGATTTTATCACAAAAAAAAGGAGGTAATTCACAACCTTGACCTGTAGTTAAACATTTGGCTAAGTATCCATCACATTTCTAATCAGTTTTAAAGGCCTTGGAAGCATCTGAACACTTTTTGGCTCTGCATGAGGTTTTATCCCAAATACAAGTGTCTCCCGGGTCAGTAGTTTTGGCAGCTTAACAGACAATTGAATTGGTGTAACTAGCACAAGCACTAAGTTCAATACAACCAGTTCCTTGAGAAGTACAAGTGGGATGCAATGCCTTACAAGCATCATGAGTGGTGATGGTTTTGGAAGCATCAGAGCATTTCCAATTTCCACAGACTCCTTTACCTCCTTCATAATGCCAGGAACATCTCAGAGTGGCAGTACCCACAACAGGTGTATTGACACAAAGACTCTGTGCTCTGAAGATGGAACAATCATTTTGTAATTCTCTACAATTAGATGTGTAAACACAATTAGGATTGGCTGAACAAATTGCTTTTGTTTGGATATCTTCACAAGTGATTGCACTGACACATCCAAATCCAGTAGTCTAGCAGGCAGGTTTGAATTTATCACAGGCTGTATCAGAATCTGCTGAATTAGGAGCTTCATAACAATTAACTGATTCACAAGATGCCACCACATTGCTGACTCCTTTACATGGTTTGTCAGTGGCTGAAAAATTGGGACATGTCTTGATTGTACCTAAAAAGTTCTTACACAATTGTTTATTCACACAACCAGTACCCTTAGTGACACAGCCAGACAAGAATAGATCACAATCCTTATCAGTAGTTAATTTAGCATTGTGAGTGCATAGTCTATCAATACAAGCAGATGTAGATACAGCTGTAATGACATTCCAACATTTCTTAGTGCCATTGATTCCAACAAAGTTAGCACAAGTGGTTTGAGTGCCATAATATTTGGAACATGGCAATGATTTATCAATGCATCCAGTACCTTTGGTTACACATCCATATTAAAATGCTGTACAATCATTATCTGTAGTACTATAATCATTGTCTGTACAGAGTCTATCAACACATGGAGTACGATCAGTGGCATCTAAAGTATTCCAACATCGTCTTCCATTTCCTGTGAATTTCTTACAGGCTTCTCTACTCCCCAAATATGACGAGCATGGTTCAGTATTTGCAATGCATCCTTTACCTTTAGTGACACATCCATTTAAGAACTTGTGGCAATTCTCATCTGTTACAGAATCTTAGTCATCCAAACAATTTCTAACTCCACATGCACTGCTATCACTTTCATCTCGTTTACATCCATTAAATGAATTGCAAAGACTTGTTGTACCAGTAAAAGTATTGCACCCATTTGTGCCTAAGACACATCCTTTGGAATTAGTTACACATCCAGTTAGGAAATCCTCACAGACTATATCTGAAATGGATTTTGTATTATGTTCACATGTTCTCTTAATACATGATCCAATTCCAGTAGATGCAGACCAACACTTTCCATCAATATTGGATACTATAGTTTAACATTGTTCTGGAGACATATTTGTATAACTGTTACAGTAATTCTCTTTCTGTTGACATGTCTAACCATTAAAAGTGCAAGTGGCAAGGTGAGCCTAGCAATTCTCAAAAGATGGATTAATGACATTCTAATCACATGTCCTATTCTCACAAGCTCCTACTCCTGCAGCTGTCTTCCAGCATTTCTTATTAAGAGTGGTGATCACTGTTCTACATGATGATTAAGTAAAACCAGTGTATTTCTAACAGTCATCTTATAATGTTGTGCACATCTGTCCGACTCCTGAATAAGTACATTAATCAGTCGCATAAGATTAGAGATGTGAGAAACAATTGGATTGACTAATATTTGCAACTTAATTTGAACATTTTCTCTCTTCACAAGCACCTTGTCCTGTTGCTGTTTTCCAACATAATTATCCATTTGAATCTTTCATCTTCTTGCACAGATCTTATGATACCATAGTATACTCAACACATGAAGACTTAGCTGGTAAACATGGACCGATGGCGGATATAGAATCCATCCAACATTATTTGCCATCTGATGTCTTTATTTATTTACATACATCAGGAGAAAACGAAGGTCCATAATCTGAACATAGAGCTTTTGCTGGTATACATACATTAGACATAGCTAATCTACAAGTTGACAGATATTCAACACAATTGTCATTAGTAAGTTCTACTCCAACTTCGGCCACAATATCACTGCATTGTCTCTCTATACATGTACCATCTGCTGTTGCCCAACACTTATCACCATCAGTCTTTTAGACAACTTTACAAGCATCTGCTGTGAAATCTGTATACAAAGTACAAGAGCTTTATTTGGTAACACACTTGGTACCTGAGAACACACAGGTAATCAAATATGCAGCACAAGTTTCTTCTGATGGTGAGTCAATATTGTTATCACAAGATATTGGCTCACAATTACCTATTGTATTTTCATTTTTCCAACATTTATTCCCTCCAATCGTCTTAACTGATTTGCAAGCATCTTAACTAAAATTAGTATAATCAACACAATTATTTTATTTTTATTAACATGATTATCCATCAAATACACATCCCAACAAGAAATTATCACAATCTTATTAGCCTGTAGATGTTACTAAGTCTGAACACACTCTATTAACACATGGGCCAGTAGTTCCAGTAGGAAGCCAACAACCTACATTATTAGAATCACTAAGCGATTAACATAAGGTACTATCTCCAGTGTAAGAAGCACAAGTGGGTAAAGCAACTATGCAATTTGTACCATCAAATCTGCAACTTCTCATATATCCTATGCAATCGGCATTAGAGGTAGGACTGACTACTTCATTACAAGATTTTTAAGAGCATAAACTTCTTTGAGTACAAGGTTTGGTATTACCCTTAAATTACATGCAGGTGCTTTGAGTACCGTTGTATTCGTTACATTCTAGTGAAAAATGTTGGCATCCTGCACCATTAGTAACACAGCCAGTTAGAAATTCTTCACAATCCTTGTCAGTAGTGGCAGTTGTGTTATGAGCACACGTCTTTTCAACACAATTAGTGCCAGTCTCCCACCAACATTAAGCTCCATTTGAAGTGAATTTGGAACATGTTTCTGTAGATGACCCAGTGTAGGTTGTGCATAGTTCAGTTGAAACTATGCATCCAGCTCCTCCGTATAGACAACCATTTAAAAATTTGATGCATTCTTCATTACTTGTAGCTGTTGTATTATCAGTGCATAAGAGTACTCTACATGCAGACGTACTGGCAGCATCATTATAGCATTTTCCATCTTAGCCTGTAAATTTGGCACAAGTATTAACATCTCCCGAATAGGCTGAACAAAGTTCTGTGTTGCTTATGCATCCAGTTCCCTTTGTTTTACAATTAAATTAAAACTTACCGCAATCTTCGTCTGTCGTACTGGTTGTATCAAGAGTACATAACCTTTCAGAGCAAGGTTCTTTAGCAGAATTGCTGGTGCCCCAACAACGTTTACCATTGCCTATAAAGCTCTAACACTGATCGGCCTTCCCAGAATAAGCAGAACATGGACTTAAATTATGAATGCAACCTTCCAATGTCGTGAGACAACCAGAGAGGAATTTCTCGCAATCTTCATTGGTATTATAAGTTTTCGGAGCATCTGAGCATTCCAATTTTCTACAGGATGCTCCAGTCCAAAAGCAGGGCAGATCTTTTTCTTTGTTCTGATTACATATACTGATTGTAGTGTATGATGTACATTAGGCAGTAACACAAATAGAATTCCAATAACAATTATTAGTACCTTTGCATGCCATTTCACTTGAAGTTGATAAACATGTATTCTTATCTTCACATCCAGCTCCATTGGATAGACAATTTGAATGGAATTGTTAGCACTGATCATGAGTCTTATATTCCTTTGGAGCTTCAGAACAGGAGGCTGCAGTACAACTGGTCTCATTGACATCGTCAGTTCCTTTACACCTACTATCAGATCCCACGATAAGAGCACAAGTCGTCTTGGTGCCTTTGTAATCTTTGCATAGTTTTCTGGTTGCCACACAACCTGCACCTGAAGTAACACACCCTTTTTAGAATGAAGTACATTCTGCATCTGTTTTTAATTTGGTATCAGCATCAGCACATACCCTTAATTGACAATTGGTTCCTGTTCCTGTTTTGCAAGAGCCATCGGATCCTATTCTTACATCACAATTATCCGAATAAGTCGAACATTATTCCAGCTTATCAGTGCATTCTACTCCTGTAGTGATACATCCTTTTTTGTAAGTGTTGCATGCTTCATCAGTAGTTCCCTTTGAACTCTTGCATTGTCTTTCCCTGCAGACCTTCTAATCAGGAGTGGGTTCACATTGTCCATCCGACCCGATTAGAATCAAACAAATTTAGCCTTCTTCCTGATAGGTTGAACATGATTATAATGGTGGATCTACACAGCCTTTACCAGTTGTTAGACAATTCAATTAAAATGTTTAACATTATTTGTCATGGGAATATTGGGGTGCATCAGTACATGGTATTCTCTGGCAATTTCCATCCTTCTCCTGACAATAGCCATCAGAACCTATTCTGCCTAAACAATCATCCTTTGGATAGGTAGAACAAGTCTAAAGTTCCTGTATGCATCCTTTACCGGTTGAAATACAACCTGATAGAAATCTATTGCATTGGGCAGTAGTAATGAGTGTGGTTGGTGCATCAGAACAAACTTGATCTATACACTTTTTCTCCGTTTCTGACCATTTACATTTTCCTGTTCCAGATATACTTATGTTCTACAAACACAAAGTTTAATTCAAATATTCTTCACACTTCATAGGATCAATACAGATCACTCCATCACTTGTACACTAAGTTGACACCTTCTGACATTCGTCATTTGAGGTCCTTGTATACGCCTGGCACCCACTAAACTATTCACATTACAATTTCTTCTCTTTGTCCTCATAATATGCGCATCCCAATGTGATGGCACAATCTGTCTCAGGCTTACTCTTAATATTCTAACATAATTAACTCACCGGGTAGGTTGATGCATTGCTGTCTGGCTGTTTGTCTTAACATTTATTTGTAGTACTATCCCATGTACAATTTATAATGCAATCATTCTTACTTTTTAATTCTGAGCACACACATTACTCAGATAAACTAACCTCCAAAGAGGATACACATAGTAATAACATACTCAAGACGAGTGCTGTCATCAATCTTTTTTTAATTATTAATAGCAATATTAATTCACGAAAATATCAATTAAATTAATAGACTACACATAACAATCATTCCAGCCCCAGGACATTTTGTGCATTACTTCTTCTAATCATCGAATGTTAATTGAAAGAGAGTATTTTCATTATAACATTCCGACTCTCCCAAAGTTGAAACATCAAACCCATTTTCACATTATTTCGTCAAAGCATTCCAACTGCATAATACAGTCTTATCCCCATCTTTAATAGTAGCAAAGTTATTCTTGCATAGTTACTCGTCATTCCCAAAGTAAAGGCAATCCAATTGTTGACAACTATCATTCAACCACCTACATGAAATTCTATTTCTATCACACAACTCTTTCGGATTAAATACTAAGTTTGCACTATCGCAAGTCTCAAATGGATAACTTTTACATGAACCGTAATCATGTCCAGGTGTTGAGACATATCCTTCATCTACATCACCAGCAATCCAAATACAATAATTATTATTCGAATCAACATTGTTTTAACAAGTATTTTAAGTAAAAAAGGAATCGCAATTCAATTCTTAAGTTATTTCATCCCTACAACTCTAGGTTGAGTCATCATAAATGCATTTGGAACTCGAATTGCAAAAGAATTTAACTTATATATCACTGCAACTATCCAAGTTTTAACACTAGCCGTCTATGTAATTGCAATCCCTACTGAAACATGCCTCCTCATCCATTATTTCATAACACTTTTTATCATAGCATTTCTATTTATCCGTATTCCATTTACACTTAAAGTTACAATCAGCCTCGCTCTATATTTATTAACATCGACATGCACTACTCACACTATAGACAATCTCCTCCCCAACAATTATTCCAAATAAAAAAACTAATTCAAAAAACATAATAAAATATTGAATTAATAAATCATCATTCTGCTTATAACAATTCCTTAATCTTCGAATTTGCCTACTTTTCTACGTAATCCAAAGCACTATTTCCATCTATTAATTTATTAGCAAAATCTCATACATTTGTCCTTGAGTGTCTTCTCTGCATTCTCTGATAATAGATATTTGACGATAAGATAATGATTTTCTCTAGTAGCCAATATCAAAGGTGTGAATTTATTTCCATAACTCTGCTCATTAATCGGATGATTCAATGTCACTAACTTTCTAACTGTGTCTAAGTCACCATCTCTAGCTGCACTCCATAATGCTAAATTTAAGACTCATTCAAACTTTTAAATGCAAACTTGACTTCAGAATCCGTTGTCATCTAATCAGCTGTTTAACCCTTGCTTGTCCTGATTGCGCAATAACGATCTTCATCAGCGTCATACCTACTTAATAAATGAACAACATTTCTATTTTAATAAAATGAGGCATAGTGCAATGGAGTCCAATTTCTCTTATCTACTGCATATATATCAGCACCTGATTCAAATAAAACTTACACAACCTAATCATGACCCTTTTTAGCTGCTAAATGCATAGGAGTGCAATTCTGATTATCCTAAAAGTCAATGTAACTTTCTTAATTATTCACTCCTTTCTCTATTAGCAACTGAACAGCCTTTGCTTAATTGTTCAGAGCTGCAACATGGATTGGAAAGTACCCTTTATTAGATGAGATTTATTGATATGCTCCTCTTTCTATCAAAGTAGTTATTGCCCACAATTCCCCATAATATGCAGCATGATGCAGTGGAGTCCATCCATTTGTGTCGATTACATTCACATCGGCATCCATTTCTAAGACTTTGCTTAGCATAGTTTTGTTGGATGATTTATGAGTCTGTTCGATAGCCTTATGGACAGGAGTTATCCCATAGATAGTTGATTTTCCATTTACTCTCTAACCACAATTCACTAATAAGGTAAAACTCTTGTCATCTCCTTCTTCAACAGCATTATTTAGGTCCATCAGATACTTTCTTACAGAATCATTTGATGCGTATTCCAAAGGAGTTCTTATTTTTCTTTTGCATTTTATTTTTGGATCTGCTCCCAATAATAGCATAAATTGGATTGCTGCAAAGTCCCCTGCAAAGGAGGCCAAATGCATAGGGGTCTTAAATTATATTTAATTTTACATATCCATCTATATCCTATTAATTAACAACATCCCTTTAGAGTTTCTTAATATTGTTCAAGAAATTAGTTTGTTTGTGTTCAAGCAATTATGAATTTAGGAAGTTGCAAGCAAGTTCACGATAATTTCTGTATTACCTGGGATCAATCTTTTTATCAGCAATTTATATTAATAATTACACCTCCATAAAAATATCATAAAATAAATCCCATCCTTCAGATTTGAAATCAAATTATATCAATTACTTAATACATTAAAAACATTTAGTATATTTAGATAAACTGCCATAATGTATTGGATTTCTTTGAAATTGATCAATTGTAGCATTGACTCTATTAAAATAGAGAAGATTTTGATCCAAAAATTATTAATATTAATCACTAACGATTTCTTAAAATTTCTAGAATCTTGATTGAACTTACTTTAAATGTTTATCTGCATTAATTAATTGTCCTTTTTATGCATCTGTCTTTTTGAATTGATATCTTTGCATGGCTAATTTTAATTCCTCCCATTTCATCATATTTAATTTGTGTCTGAACATATTACAGAGTATTTAGAGGCATTCAAGATTTCCTCTTTATGCACAGACATGATACACATTGAATCCAGATTTAGATGTTAGAAATGGATCAGCACCTTTCATAAGCAAATACATCACAATATTTTTGAAATTGTAGTAACTATATATAATGAGTGAATACCATGCATAAAATAATGGTGTTTTGCCTTCAGGATCTTTTGCATTTATGATGTCCTCAGTGTTTTTGAATTGATGGATCCAATTCTCCAATAATGTCAACTTTCCATCTATTACATAGGTAAAGATATCTGGCTCTTTTTGTTTGGAATAGGTGGTGTTAAAATTCAATGGTTGAGTGAGAAGATCCTTGTCTTAATCCATGGGTCTATATTCTCGATTATTTAATATATTGTTATATATAATGTCTGTTATATAATTAACAAATGATAATTAATTAAGCTTTGTTAGTAACTCTTCAGAGAATTGAATTCAATAAATTCTTTTGATTGTAAAAATGGTTTTGATTCATTTTTAACTTTTCTATATGACTTAATTCAATGGAATCTTCATACACATCCAATTGAAACTCATCAATTTAATCCAGTGATGGAACGGTAAGCTTTCTCTATGGATTACTATTAACAGTAGATGTCCTATTTTTTTGGTTTTTGGGAGAGCATGAAGAGTTCAAAAATTAATTATTCAATCCAAATTGCCAATCCACTTCTAAACTAGCATGCACATTGATATTCTTATCACTTTTACTCATCTCATACTATTATTTAGTCATGATAGACATTGGCAAATTAATTGTCAAATAAAATTTGACTTTAAAAAATTGATGGTTAAGTGCTTATTAAGCAGTAATTCGATCCTTCGGATACTTTTTAGTCATCAACAAAATAAGATTACCTACTATTAATAGAATTATAGGATTGAATACATTCTGAAGGATAAGGAGAACTTGGGATCTCAAAGTAAGCATCAGCATTCCTTTTCACTGTTGTCTTTTGATCATTCCCTTTGAATGGGTTGTACCCAAATACTCTAAAGATATTTATGGATTGTACATAGCAAACAGAGTGACTCCAAAACTAAAAATATCACATTAACTATTATATTGTTTTTTGGTTTCCTCGAATCTTATAATTTCTGGAGCTGAATAACTTGGATTAGAGATAAATGTGTACCCCAAAGAACCACAAGATGGGAATGGAATGTCTTTGAATTATGTACTCACTGCCAATCCAAAATCTATTAGAATTGGAGAGTGTAGTTATCCATTTCTAAGCATAATATTCTGAGGTTTGATATCCCTGTGCATAATATTTTGCGAATGTATTGTGTGAATTGCCAACAACATTCGATATACAAAACTTTATAATTCACTTGATGAATAAGGGATTTTACTAGTTGCTTTTGAAATCAGTTCATATCCATTTACATATTCTGTAACTAAATACAACTTTTCGGCATTTTCATAAACTTAATGTAATTTTAAAATGTTCTCATGATTAAATTCTCTTAAAGCATTGATCTCACTCAATAACTGTAGCTCATATTATTTGTTTATTTTTAGCTGTTTTGATGATTATTTGGCAATGGCCTTCACAGCAAACAATTCTCCTTCATGGTTCCAGCATTCATAAACCTAATTTAAAACTATTTATACTGTAGAGAAACTTCCATTTCCAATTAGAGGACCAATCTTATAATCCTTTTCAAAAGTTGTCAAGATGCACTTCAAGGACAATATATATGACCATTCCTTGAATTACTCTGCGATATCTGTGCACAAGATTATTTAAAATCCATTATTCCTCAGATAAATTTAGTATTCCTAATTCACTGTTTGGAATTATAAATAAACTCCATCCAATCTGACATAGCCCTTTATGTTTTTGAAATTCCCCACGTCCGAATAGAATAAGTATTGTTTAATTAGGAAATACTAGCGCAAGCATTTTTACCCAAAGGTTTTCCCAATCTTGTAGAAATTAGCAATCTTCACATTTTATACTTCCTCAACGTCAAAGTTTGGGATATTATTTTTACACCAAAATTTTCGACCATCATTTTAACCAATTTGAAAAATCATCAATTTGATCGTATAAAATAATAATATTTATCAAAAATGAAACCTTATGTCAAAAGATTTATTGTCCCACTCTTTAATTATTCCAAATTTGTCATATTACCTACATTTTATTGATTGACATAAATTAATTCATAATATAACAAAAAAATTCATTTCCATTTTATATCAACTACATGATCATATTAATCTATCTCATTTGAATCTACTGTGATATCTAGTCCTTAACTCATACTTGCTAATTATTCCTCACTTGATGTTAACATTAAATTATTTTATTTCTCATTTTTCTTAATCGTACTTGGAATTTCTAGATCTTAAACATCATCTAAGTCCTCTTCAATCTCCTCAAATTAAAAATCGTTTGACTATGATTTTACATTACTCAACTTTGTACTTTCCACTTTTCCAATGGTTTTTGTAATAGGTTAATTTTTGGTTACACTTGCCTATTAATTTGCCTTGCTTCCTGGTTTAACGGGCTCCTATTTTTCTTGCTTCTTTATTGAAACTTATTCCTATTAACTTAAATTTTGTTAGTTCTGTTATTTTGCCCCTTTTGGATTGTACTTTTGATATATATGCTATAATATGGGTTGGTTGGTGTTCAAATCACTTTGTTTTAATCCAATTTTTTTTATCAACTAATCACGTTCAATAAATGGTATATGATTACTCTCACTCTACAATACAGAAAGGGTAAATTCAAAATCAAAAAATTACAAGAATTCCTTGACCACTTCCAATAACAATAACAACTCATTATCCTTTTGGATAGCTTTGGCCTTTTCATTTTCCCAAAAAAAGTTAGATGCCCCCGACTTTTTGCCTTTTGATTAATCAAGTATTTTAAACACGGAGGCTTTTATTTATGCCTTCACTTTGGTCAACTATCCTTATTGATCCAAATTTTTCATAACTAAATCAATCGCATTTTCATCTGACATTTTTTAATTTTTAATAATAATAATTCAAACATGTATACAATGCAACCCAATAATAGTAGAACCAGCATTTTTGCACAAACCAATGTAAACAATCCTCCTCTCCAGGGACAGAATGCCATGAATTCATACGCATAAACCTATAGCGGAATATTTTAGCAATAAAGCTAATCCAATATCCAATCACAACAATAACAGAATCTATAGCCTATAGTCTAGCAGTAACAGCTTTAATAATAACAATACCCATAATATTAACAATAATAATAATTGCAATAATAATAACAATAACAATAAATATTTCCAAATAATAATCAACAATAATAGTAGATTGATCAAAATCCTAGTAATATAGCATAATACAATCAGCAATTCCAACCTATCTATTAAGAACCTGATAACTTTACTAATCCTAATGCCATACCCCAAAAAATCGATCTTCAATTTTATGGAATATATGAAAAGGTTTATTACATAAAGGCTTATCTATTATTAAGATTTAAAAATTGGTAAATTCTCTATCATTATAATCATACCAAAAAAAATACAGCTGAGTCTCATGCTAAAATTATTGTTAAAAACTTTTAAGAATTCACTTAATTAGAATATGATGTTACTTATGTTGTGAGTACAGATGAAGGTTTCTGGATACTTAAAATTACTGACTTAGATAGAATTTACATGGTCTTGTATGATAACAATTTCAGAAGAGATTTAGCATTTTAGGTTTTTGAGGAATATTATAAATGTCTTACTGAGTAGGAGTAGTTAGTTAAAATATAAGATAATGTAATTGTTTATTAATATACCCAATAAGATTGAATTATATAAACAGATAAATGAAAAGTTAGAGATGTTAACTCAACAATATGAACAAAAAATAATTGAAAATAAAGAGACTGGATTAAATTTTGAGTATTCCAAGGTTGATTTTTCATAAGCATACTTTTCCATAGGGTTGAGTGAACAATGCTAAATGAACAATGTTGAAAAAGTTATTTTATAGACCTAAAATAATCGGATTCATCCAGCCTTTTAAGGAACCAATGTATATATTTTAATTATATTCTTTAAGTTATTTACAGATTTAAAGTCTAATTTGTAGCCAATAATATCGATATGTATATGTGTTCTATTAATATTGATCGTGATTCTTTTACTATACAACTATGTCATCAAAGGTATTTGTATAATATTAAGATTAGATATTTTAACTTCGCAATAAAGTAATTCCGGAAAAGTCTCCTAAAAACATCTACTAAATCATTTGATTAAAAAATGAAACAATTCATTTTAGTTAGAATATAATTAATTTATTTAAACACCTTTTTTTATCTATGAGTGCTCTTTCAATTAATATATATTACTTTTGTTTAATTTTAATAGTTTTCATTTTAAATTCGCTCTTATAAATTTAAGCGTTGGTATATAATATTTTAAAATTATAAAAGAAATAATTATTGCATGTCTTATAGAGAACTCCGCAATTTCTGCGAATAAATGAGGGCTTTGGGTTATCATAGAATAATTTCAATGGAAAATTTTAGAAGGCCTAATTTTGAGCTTGTAGCCGACATTCTTTTTTGGTTAGCTTAAAAGTATGATCCAAATTCGGATATCTCTGATAATATTGATGAAGAGGTAAAAAATAAATTAAAATTCAGAGAAACAGAGTAGAATTTATTAAGCAAATCACCACTTTATTTGTGAGTAAGGCAAGACTTAAGATAAACCCAAAAAGATTATATATGGCTGATGTTTATGCAGTCTAAGAAATTTTGAAAATCTCAACTTTATTATATTAATCTTATGTATGTCCACCAGCTGATGAAGATGAGATTCACGATTTTGTAAATATATTTTTGATAATTGAAAGTCCCTCCCATCAAAATTAAGTAATATTAAAAGTCATAAAATATTGGCTCAAGAAATTACTGATCTTGCCACAAGACTATATGATTAATTGGGGAAGGAGGATGAAGTCAAAATAGCTAGAGTAAGAATATTATGATAATCCATAGGAGAAAGCTTTGCAATTTTTGTCAAATGTCTCCCGAGGAGGAAATTCACAATCTGAATAATCTTAAATCTAAATATGCATCCAAACCATATTGAAATAACAAGAATAAAATAATTAGGAGATGTTGAAATATGTGGGTAATTTAGAGAGGGATCAAAAATAATTGGATGAAAAGATTAAGAGAAAAACAAAAGAACTAGAATAAGCAGAGAAAAGATTAAAGGGTATGAAAAGTGTTAAGCCTTCTTATTAAGAGGAATATGATAGATAAGAATATGAATTAGAGAAGTTATATCAAGTAATAGGATTTTTTTAATTATTTAGATTTATGTAGAGAAGCTTAGAAATCTAGTTTATTTAGAGCATGTCTTGGATGAACAAATTAGGTAGGAAGAATTAGAGTAAAAGAGGAAGGATGAATAACTCGAAAAAATATAGAGAGGCATTAAGGATCAAGAGTATATTGAAATTATGGGAGGGGGCGATGAATAGGTAGATTAATAGGGAAGAGATTCTCGGTTATAATCAAGTAATAAGGAAAAGCGTAATAATGATTTTATGAGAACTTAATAAGGTGGATTTAATAGATAATAAATGGATGATGATGATGATGGAGAAGAATTGAGTGCTGGTGATATTGATGAAGGAGATGATGAGGATGAGGATGAATTAGAAGATGATGATGATGAATTTTAAAATATAGAGGATCGCGATGAAGTTGACTTTTGAAAATAAATTAATCCATTTTATGTATAAATATTATTAAAAATGGGAGTATGTTCAAATAAGACTAAAGAGTTGAATTACTAAGAAGATGTACATAATAAAAACCAAATAGATTAGTAATATTTACATTTATTGGATATTCAAAATCCTGTTAATGTGAATCATAAATTTGACAATCATTTCACTCTAATTCAAAATAAATATACTGGTATAGGAATCAAACTCACTAATCAATACACTACCAATTTATCAAGAAGTGAGTGGGAATTGATGCAAAATTAATTTTGGGGTAGAGTAATAAAGTCATATAAAGATAGTTATAAAGATTCTACTCATTGGTCAAGCATACGCAACGCTCTGTTATAAGATGATGAATGTACATCTCATTTTTTAATTTTAGAATCTTCGATTGCCATTTTGATGTTGTCTAAATTAAAAATGATTAATAATACAATTCAATTACTGATTTCAGATAGTATTAATATTATTAATCAAGAACAAGTATTTCAAGTTCCAGTATTTGTTATCAATGAACCCATTTCTTGGAACAATGAACATTTGGTTCTAAATTTTGAAAAATTTTCCTTAAAAGTAATTTGCTATCATATTTAGGTGAGTATACGTAGTAGTAAACTCCCAAAAGATTTTTTGATAGAAACAGAGAGCACCTCGAAAGTTCTTGAAATTAAATAGAAAATCTTGGAAGTAGCCAAAGAAAAAACTTGTCGGTTGTATCTGAATGGTAGAGAACTAATTGATAAAAATTACTTGGGAAATTATAATATTACTTCAGGAACAGTATTAAATTAATTACACCTAGATAATTCAAGCTTTTTTGTGATTATATTTTAAAAATGTTTGGTATTAATTTATATTATGCATAAACAAAAAGAATAAATTCTTTTCAAGTGTCATCTCTAACACTAGAAACCAGAACTCGAAGATATCACTACTTTCAACATTAATAAAATAATCGAAACCAATAAATATGCATCCATTTTTGAGTTAATCTTAGACAATTGCAAGTTCATCATGGATACAAGTTTTTGTCTAGAGATATCATCGTAGTTTATTCCCATTAGCATAGATTGTAATCATTAATTTACTTAGGCTTGAATAATTGCAATATCGTGACTTTGCAAAACATCCCAAAAATTGATACATTGAAGAGATTAACCTTAGACTATAACTTCATCTAGAATTCTGAACTAATCCATCTTAAATTTTACCAAAATAAATTGTTGTCTCTATCAATCATGCAAAACCAATTGGATTTTTCAGATTCATCATTATTACAAGAATTCTATTTATTTGATAAATTACTTCAATTATCTATTGCAGGGAATTATATACATATCACTGAATATGAGAGTATAATAGCGAGAGATGAGATATTTAAAAACATGAAGAACTTAGTATTTTTAGATACAATAGCTAAAGGAGAATGTAAATTTTATGATTACTCTATAGATCTATCGACTTGCATGGAGAATTAATATAAAGATTAAAAATAAGAACAAGCATATTTATCAAGATTGGATATTATCAATTGGAAAGCTGAAATGGAATATAATTAAAAAATAAATGATTGAAATAAGCCAATAAATGAAATTATAATTCATTAAAAAATAGTTGAACTTAAAATTTTTATAAACACTATTTAATCCACAAAATGGGTTTAATAATCCCATTTAATAATTATTTTATAGGATGTAAAGAGCATTTCATTAATTATTATAAAATATAAGCAATTGCTTAAAAGTTTTAAGGGATCTCTAAACTAAATATTAAAAATCATCTTGGATTACTTCTGAAAATTGACTTAATAGAAATTATAATATTAAATCTCTAAAACATATTTATAAATTTGGAACAAAATAACACAATAGAATTGAAGCAACAATGGCTTTTCTTGGTTAATGTCAAAATTAATAAACCATTTTATTGAGTTTTAATAAAATCGTTATAATTTTTAGAAAGTATTAATTTATCAATCCCACTTGATTCGTTTCCCATCCTACCAAACTCCTTTATGTGAAGTACCATTTATAAAAAAATACTCTCCAATTCCATTTTATTTGCCCATATCCCACTCTCCTATATATTTGTGACCATCTTCCCAAATAAAAGTTCCTACACCATGTTTCTATCCCTCCTTATACTCTCCACTGTACTACTTACCTAAATAAGATAGTTTTATACCGTCAATCCATGTCATTGTACCACTTCCCTCCATTTAATTTCCGACCCATTCTCCTTCATAGGTTCTTCCATCAGGCCAAAAATATTTGCCTATGCCATGTAAATTATTCTTCCAAAAATTGCCTTCATATCTTGACCCATCAGGATAAATGAGTTTACCTAATCCCTCCTTTTTACCATCCTTATAATAACCTAATTACAATATTAATAATGAATACCTTCAAAAACTGATCCATCTGGCCATTTCTCTATCCCAAAACCATGTTGCTTATCTGCAATCCAATCACCATCGTATTGTGCTTTATTGTAGTTTATATAAATTCCCTTTCCATTTGCTTAATCATTCAACCACTCACCTTTGTATACATCGCCATCAGGGTGAGTCAAAATTCCATACCCGTTGGCTTAATTGTTCTTCCATTCTCCTTAATAAATTGAACTAAACACTCAAATAAAATAAGTATTTACCCATCAGGCCATTTTTGTTCACCTTGTCCCCATCTTTTTCCTTGCATCCATTCTCCTTCATAGTAGGATCCACCTTCCATTAATATTCTTGCTAGTTTAACTGGAATTGTAGATTCTATTGTTTATTCAACAATTATTTGATCAGAACTCATGATTATATGAGGAAGAACACTTCTATTTGAGTATTGAGAATACTAATCTTCTTTATTTTCTTATTGTTTTGCTTAAGTTGAATGCTATTAGATATCATCATTTTTTAGTCCAGTATCAATTAAGAATTCTTCATTATGATTTACCTATTGCACTTCTTCATTAACATAGCACATTTTAGTGCAATTACCCATCAATTGTAATTATTATATAAATATCTCTATTTTTCAATACTGGGAAATCAACTTAAATCTCACTAGATACTGTAAAATAAATGAATTTAATGGCTCTTTAATTTTGTAATATATTTTTTCAAATAGCTTCAGTTTATGATATTTTAATCAAGAAAATGTTTTAATTCAATGAAATTGATTTATAGAAAGATAATTTAGTAGGAAGCAAAATAGACATTATTTTACTGATTTAGTGTTAAATTATCTAGAACACACATATCTATCATTTGATACTGTTTTAACATGATAACACTAAAAGTTTAATGAAGGTGCAATTAATATTATCATATATATATTGATTTTGAAAAAAATAATTGAAACATTCTACTTTACAACTTTGTTTCTCTATTTTCCCAAAACGTGGGTAAAATTAAATTTAGAATCGACTTCTGAATTTATGTTAATTATTCGTTAATATCATTGAATCCAATATAAAATATAAATATTATTTAATGTATTTTACTTAATATTAAGATTGAATGAGAATTTCTAAAATGCTTTTATAAGTATTGTTTAGTAAAAGACATACATATTTGAAATTAATATAAATTACTAAGCTAAGATCCGAATTGTCAGAAATGGCTTCTTATATATATTTATTATGCCTAAGTTGGATTTTTTATATTAAATTTATTTATAAAATTCTAGCTCCATATTTTATTATTAACGGTAAATGAACAATAGTGGGATCATTCAAATTGAATTTTAGAATGGAATTTATTAAGGATAAACTGTATAAAATAAATGCAAATAAGGAATGGGTGTTTATATATGGGAAGATGGATGTGCATATTATGGTGAATGGAAATCGGATGAAATAGATGGTTAAGGAATATTCTTCATACCTCCAAAGACTCAGATAATGGGTCATTTTAAAAAAACTTAAATAAATGGCAATTGTATTCTTTCAACATGTTAAGGAACCTATTATGGTTAATGGAATAAAGGATAACCAGTTGAATTTATAACAGCAAAATTATAAAATTTAGAAATGAATATATATTTTTAAAATGGTAAACCAATTACACATGAAAGGAAATATACATCAAAGTTCGAGATACCAATATTGAAAAACAAAATTAATGATGTCAAAGCAATTTAATAACTAGAACTTAAAAATGGTAGTTTTTATGGTATAACTTCTAAAAACCAACTCAATTAAATGATACCTAATGGGTTAGGTATATTCAAATCTTCTGATGGAGTGTTCTGTAGTGGATAATTCAAAGATGGATTTTTAAATGGAGTTGGTAGATTGTATAATCAAACTGGGGATGTATATACAGGTTAATTCGAGCATGGCGAATATCATGGTAGAGGAATATACTTATCAAAAAAAGATGGTTTGTAGTGGACTAAAGGGATTTGGAGATTAGGAGACTTAATCGAAGTTCATTAAAATGGTATTCTGAAGAACTTTTCATCATCAAAAGAAATAATGTGTATTTCTAACTATTATCACTAGTCCCTTATAGCGATCATAAGAATCATATTTAAGTACAGCAACCTATAAATATCAACGAGATCAAGTATTTTGAAGAATAAATACTATCTTATATTTAGAAATCCGTCTATTCTTCTACCAATACTTCTCCAGATGTAGGTAAAAATCAAACAAAAATAACAAGAAACTATTTTTCTAATTCTCCTAAGACATCTTATGAAAAAATATCTGAAATTCTCTTTGGAACAAAACTTGAGGGAGAAAAGCAGCATGCATTAAAGCTCAAATAAATTCAATAATAAAAGAATAATCAATTAATATAGTATTATAAAGATTAATGTTAATAAATAGAAGATACTTCTAAAATATAACATTTTACAACTTAGTCTAATGAGCCTAAAATTTCTCATATTAAAATGAAAACTCATTTTATTGAAACTTCAAATATGAGAGAAGAGATAAAAAGATAATTAAACAGTAATTTTAACTACCCAAATAAAAATTAAGAAATAAAATACTTATAAATCTTATAATAAGAGTAAAATGCTGAATCATAGATCAAAGTATCAACAAATTTAAAGAGTGAAAGAAATAATAGACTTAAAACATAACTATAATTAAAATCATAATTATAAGATAATAACAATAAAATTAAATAAAATGTAAACATTAAGGAACCTTTGCTAGTTTTTAAGAAACAGAAAACTCAAGATTCTCCAAGAATACCTCAAAATTAATTAGTTTCTAAGACAGAGAGAAATAACAGCAATTAATAATAATCTGCTGAAGCAAAAATCGGATTAAAAAAGCAAAAATGCCAAAATTTATCAAAAAACCAATATTTAGATAATTTAATTTCTATTAAAGATGATAATTTGGAAAACGACAAGTTTACTTTTAGAGAAAAATAAATTAAAGAATAGGGTTCCATTTAACGCTAAAAGTCCTAAAAGAATAAATAAAATTACCCATAAAATCAATCTTCTAAAACTCGTAAAGACCCTAAGATAGTCTAAAATTAAATAACAATTCCATAAGTCTAATAAAAATAAAGTATAGAGACGGAGAGTTCTTCAAGAAGAAAATAAGATATAGATTAAACAAAAAAGTTAAGCTTTAGCCAATAAGATTTTGCAAATAATTTTGATCCGATTAAGAGTACCGAAATTAAATAAAGCCAATAAAGTAATATTGAAAAAGATTTAAAACCTATTGTTTACGAAAAACATGAAGATTAAAATTAAATAACTTTAATATAAAAACAATAGCTATATTTGGAATAGATAATTGATCAATAAAAATAATAATTGGAGAATCTTAAGAAAGAATAATAATTACTAGATAATGAATATTAAAACTTTGATATTAAATCAAAATTTATTACTATAACTAATGGATCAATAGATTCATTTGATAGTAATCCTCAATATTCTGAAAGTTTTAATCAAGACTTCATTAAATCAGTTAAGGACATAATGAGATTCGAACTAAAGAGGAAATAAGGGGATTCTATTAAGGACTCTCCTCATTTTGAATAGTCTAAAATAACAAATAATTAACAATCCTTATTTTCAAATGATATTTAGAGTTTTGAAAATGTGAATTATCATGATAAAACTCCTAACACTATTAAAATTTAGAATGAAGATAATATATAATAAAAAGTCGAATTGCCTTAAAGTAAAAAGGAAATTGTTTCCTAAAGAGATTTGGATGACCTATTATTTGATAATTCTCAAATTAAATAATCTAGATTAGCTAGGAGAACTAAAAGTTCTAAATACTCTACAGTAAAGAACCAATAAGAAATTTAAAAAATTTAAAATAACTAATCTTTATAAAATCATTCCTTTCACTAATCTTAGGAGTAACTTTCTAAAAATTTTGAAAATGATTACATGGATTTCAATAAATAAGGGATGCACTAAAATCTTAATTAGGATCAGATAAAGAAATAAAATTAAGAGATTTTAATCTAAGAAAATTCAATCAATTAAAGTTAAAGTATTCACAAAAAATCGATATCTTTAATCCAATTATAAGATATATAAAACGTGGAATTTTAAAATCAAGTTATAAAATAATAACAACATGACTATAATAAAAAAAAGAATATAACAAAGGAATCCGAAAAATAATAATCAATAAATAGTTTAAAATAAATAGCCTCTCTTTCATAGCATTCGTCGTGTATTCAAAATAATTAGTAGAATAAGTAGATTTAGTTTTAGATGCCTTAAAAGAGTCAAAATGTTTAGGTTTCTAATTCACAAGAAGGGAAAAATACTTAATAAGATATAGATGATATTAAAATATAATTAGAAGCCTAACAATAAATTCTTGCTTCCTTATAAAATTAAATATTGCAGTCATAGCCTATTAAATTTACGGAAAGTAAGGTTCAAAATGCAATAAGTCATGCAAAATCTAAAAGTGAATTACCTAACTTCCTTCCTGATCCTCGAAATAGCCCTATAAAAAAGGTAATTATAACCAAGGGATAGTTCCCTGCCTTTTCAATCATCAAACCAATAACTCCAATAAGATTTTGATTAAACTATTTAATTTATTTATTTTATAATTTTTATGGATTTATAGTAGTTAAGAAAGGAACTTAAAGAAAAAGAAAAAAAATTAAAAGATGAATAAAATAATAAAATAGTGCATTTACAATTCTATGGCATGACCAAATCGGAAGCATATGATTCAGTTAATTTGGAGATGAATTAGACAAAAAGATTAGGGTTAGTTTAATAGAGCATGATTTTAAAAAGAGGTAACTCAGATTTGTTTTGGAGTTCCAATAATAAGGGGATGTTTTTAAGATATTTCAATCAAAAATTAACTATAGATTTAAGAGCAAGGGAAACATTAAAACCTATTGAAAAACCATGTTTAATCATTGTGAATGGAAATAAAAAATCAAAAAGAAAAGAAATAATATAGCAATTTTAATAAGAGATATTGAAATTACTTGATAAGAAAAAGGAGGATGGAAATGAAATTTTAATTAGCATTTTTGGATTTCTGAATTCTAGTATGATAAGTTTATTATCTATAAACTAAGACTTTGAGAAAGTAATACACAGCAATCTAAAAATTTATAAGGATGAAAATATTGTGAAAACAAAAAATTTAATATAAATAGCAGTTAATAATGCTGATGAATTGTAATAAATAATGAACTTGTATAAAAGTATTAAAGCTTTGATCGAATTATAATGCAAATAGAAATTTAAAGAAATTGTATTTTAATTTATAAGGGCAGAATTGGAAGATAATAAATTAATTAGATTTTGGGACAAATGCAATATAGTACAACTCTCTAATGATAATGATGCTAAATAATTTCATTTAAAATAATGTTTGGGTCAACTTGACAAGAAGGAGCATATAAAATACCATAATTGTAAATTAACGGAATCTCTACAGGATTGTTTTAGAGAGGATTACTAAATTGAATACATTGGATGCTTAATCACTGATTAAACTTTAGAATCATAATTATCGGTTTTGTAATTCTTAGATCCAATTTTACCCATCAAATCTAAAGTAACATAATAAGAAGGTTAAAATACTATAAAGGAGATCTTAGGATCCCGCCTTGAATTATGAATTGTTTTAAATGGTTTATATGAATAATATTAAGGAAATTATGATAATTATTTATAATTCACTCAGAATTTTCATCAATTTTTTAAAATTGCCATGGCCATCTCCAATTGTATAAGAATTAACGAAAATCAAAGCGGTTATCATCACAAGAATATGATTATGCATGAAATGATGCAGTTATACTAACAACCTTATGTCTATTAATGGCATAAAATTTGAAAAACTTTTTAACTTTTTCTGCTACTTGTTTTGGTGAAATGTCACTCCAAAGATACCTTAATTTTTTATATAAACTGACTGGGCCAAGTTTTTGGACTTTACGTAACTTAGCAAAAGTTTCTAATTCATCAAAAGTTAATTCCATATCTTTTTCAGAAACATGTCCTTCAGCTGTTAATGGTCTTAACTCTGGAGATGGCTTTGCTTCCAAAATCAACTTTAGGGCAGAAAATTGAAAAGTCTTGTAACAAAAGTCTAAAAGTTCTTTTAAGTCATTTTTGCTCAAACTTCCAATAGGATTAATATCTGCACTGGAACAGTCATATTTGGTTAAGAAACCTCTTAAGGATTCATCAAGATTGCTTGAACCCAAAACTATCAAGAATCCTTACTTTCCATTATTCCAAGGAGTAAGTTAAGCCAATAAATAAGTGATAATCATTCTTGATCTTGCCTAAATATTTTACAATGCCAAATCTTCTGATAATGTGCCCCCATTCGCAATAAATTAAGGATCCTCTTTTACTATAGGTTTGATAGCACTTAGACAGGCATTGCAAATTTCATCTATATTAACTTCATAATGCTAACTTCCTATTTACTCTGCTAAAAGTTATGATCTATATTTGGAATCAGGAGACGAATTTTGAGTTCCCAAATAAACAGTAAAAAAGATTTTATTGACAATTTCTTATGGAGATTTAGGACTGAATTAGTCATCCTAGACTATTTATCGAAGTTGATTAAGCACTTTATGATGACTACCATAGTCATCGTCAATGGTTGATATAGTTTTAAATATTTTGTTGGCCATGTAAAATACACTAATAGCTGTTGCAGCACTATCAACTCCTCCTGATAATGGAAGCATGAATCCTGAGGCTCCTGATCTTCTTAAATAATCCCATAAGTAGCATGCCATAGAATCTTCTACTTCAGACTCATATTGAATGGGGATGTCTCTATAATATACGTAGTTTTATTATTAGGTCAGATTAATGTGTAATTTGATTCTAGGGAAATGCTTTTATTTTGAAGCCATCAAAGATCTACTTTTAATGTTTATTCTAATGTTTCTTATCTCTTATAAATCAATATCACATGTAGTAACTTCGACATCTTTAAGTGAAAAAGCATCACTTTTTGCAAACACTTTTCCATTCAATACTATGCAAGAACAACCATCAAAATATAGTCTATTGCCATCACAACCTCTTAAATTACAAAATGCATAACAAGCACCATTCCTTTTTGTGATATCTTTGAATAATTCTGTTCTCTCCTTTATCTTTCCAATCTAAAAATGAGAACCACTAGAATTTAAAATAATTTCAGCTCCATCAAGTGCTTAACTTGCACTTGTTGGAATTGGAGTCCACATCTCTTCACAAACTTCTATTCCTATTTCTGTATCTAGAGTTTATAATATTGCGACTCCAATGGGTACACATTTTTATCCTGTTATCTTTTAAATGAAAGTCGGTAGTTCTAATTCCTCAATTTCTTTACTCCAAGGTGTAAAATACCTTGACTCCCTGTAATTGCCATCATCCGCCAAGTATATCTTTGGTCTTATTAAGTGAATTTTCTTATTTAAAAGGATCACTCTACAATTATAGAACACACTTTTATGAATTACAGGCATTCCAATATCACACACAATATTATCTGTGTGAAGCAATATCTCTGATAAAGCTTCCCTTTGTATATAATTCAAAATTCTTACCAGCAATGAGTAACAGTATCTGACTCCAAGAAATGATCCTCACACATATAACCACAAACTTCTAATTCAGGACCCACTCGGTATAGGCATTGTTTTCTCTTACATATCTCGATGCTTTCAATTATATTTTGGAGGTTGTAATTAAAATCCATCGCAAATTAGTTCATTGTACAAACACCAATCCTTGTGATTGACATATTATTAAATATTATTAATTAAATCAGATTATATCAAATTTAAATATGTAAAAATACAAGTGTATCTTTTGTTTTTGATTAAGTACATTATATTATAAAACTCTGATATTTTACAAAGATATTTTAAATATTTCATTATAATTTTTGCATTAAACTCTGTATAAATGTTAATAATTTTACTTGATATCTGTTCTCAAGTTCTTACTCATTAGGTTAATTTGTGTGATAAAATCCATTAATTTCTTTACATCTACAAATCTGATCTTTCTAACTCAAAACTTATTTTCCTTTTTTATTATAGTATTTTACAATTAGGTTATATAACATGTTTGCAAAAGAATTCCTTAATTAATTCAAAACATAAGGTTTTTTGTTTCAAATTGTTAAAACTAATGTTATGAGAACTTTGGGCAAGAGTTCACTATTATTAAATCAATTTTGATGTTAGAGGAGATTTACGATTTTAAATAGAACTGTTTGGGATTTTTTAAATGTTATTGATTTCCTTCAATATTACAATAAGATGAAGAGATAGTCAAACATATTACATTACTTTGGCATGCTTTTTGTAAAAGCTCTTAAGATTTATCAATTTACTGATTTTAATTTATAAGATAAAATCAATTAACTATCACATAATGTTGCAGGCACAACACTATCCTTTTACTTATGGCTTGCTTAATTCAATTTCTTTCTAAGTTAATATCGTATAGTATTAAGATTCAAACATGCTCAAATAGGCACTTTCTACCATATGGTTCTTCTAAACACTTTCTCCCATTTGTTTAACACCACTCTCCATCATATTCCTATGATTGCTTTCTCCCATTCCCCTATAAGTATTTATTATTGGCCTTCAAATAATCAAATTAAGATATTACCATAAGCAAGCTATGTTTGGCAAAGTTCCTTTGTATCTTAACATTAATTAGTCTTCATTAATATATTCTTAAAGATAACTTGGGTCTTTGCAGAATTATATCTTTTTTGCAGTTTCTGGATGCATCAACTCTTTGGATATATGATTATTTTGATACTTTCTACTAACTTCCAAGCTGCTACTAAAAAGAAAGGTGGATTCAGTAGATGCAATTATTCCAAGGAAGCAGTGTAGTTAGATTAGGTTACATCAATAATTTATTTAATTATCTTGAAATGAGATAGATTTCAAATTACTTGATGAGGTAGTCTGAATAAACTGATATCATTTAAATCCACAATAATTCTCCATTTTTCTACATAATAGGGTACTAACATAAATTTTTATATGTAATTTAAGAGTACACACATAGCATTGAGTATTGGTGGTAATTATTCCTATAGAATGAATGAATGAATTTATTACAATATTTGTGCTTATTTTTGAAACCTAAATAAAAATTAATGGTCTGTATTGCTTGTCTCTTCCCAAACTAAAGATAACTCCTTTTTTCTTAAATGCAATAAATACAATTACTAAAATATCTTCTCCTGCCGAAGTCAATATTTGATATTCGGGATTCTCCTTCCATTTCAAATAATTTATGAGTGTTTAAAAAGTCATCTCAATGTCAAAATTACCAGAATAACAGAATTTTAATGCAGTTTATTTATCCCATTATTCTGGTAACTAAACCTTTCTTTTCCTGATTAGGTCCTCTAATTTTTTAATCATTTCTTCTTCAAACTCTTCAAATTCAACATTATAAAACACATTTCGTTTTAATTTGCCATCCACTTAATACTTAATGTATTCATCTATTTAGATAATTGCAAAATACCAGCGTGTTTTATTTGCATTGCTTATTTCGGAGGTTTAAGATAGCTGAAATCCATTAAAATGAATAAAAATAAATAATTGTTAAATACAAATCAAATTTCTATTTTATTAAAATAGATATGTGAATAAACTTATGTTTGGCTAGAATCAAATATTTAATAATAATATTATCTGAAAAAAGAATATAGAAGTTCTTATCGGAATAACAAATCTTCAAATAATTATAAGATATTATTGATTTTAATTTCATATATATATAATAATATATATAATAACTAAGTTCCAAATCTTTTTATTGGGAATGCAAGTCATTGTGTTTCATTTTCCATTCTCTCTAAATTATTTTAGCTTGGAGTATTCTAATATATTTTAACATTTCTTCCACTATCTTCTATCTTCAATACACTTGGCCGATTCTGTGGTCGTTTGATTTTTCTAAAGTTAATGATTTCTATTTATAGTACTTTTTTAATTAGAAACATAATGAACTTACATAGTGTCTTTTGTTTTAAGAATATTCCTCTATAAGTTCCCCTATAGGGCAGGAGTTATTTGTTGGATATAAATCATATAAATTTTAAGTATCTGCTATTATTTGGAGATCATTAATCATATTTAATTTATTTTTATTATCAAATTTTTACTATTCCCAATTTTCATACAAATCCATAACAAACCCTATTTTGAATCACCATAATCTAAATTATTCCATCTTTCAAATATATTTATAAAATAAAATTTATAGATTAACCACGCTAATAAACAAAATTATCCAAAAAATGAGATGTAATATTAACCTTATATATAATAATTTTTCAAATTCTGATTACTTTTTCGCTTCTTATTAACTAAGTAACCTAAGAAAATAAAATTTAATTTATTATTCAAATTTTATGATTTACTACAATCAACTAACTTTTTAATAAAAATGATAAATTTCATATTTCTTCAATAATTGCATTCGTAGAAAATATTCGCAAACGGACTATTTTTATCATTAAAAAATAAAAATTAACTTAATAAAATTCTGTTGAACTTGAGTTATGTTATTCCTCATCCAATTACTAATTAATTTGTTTACTAAATAGTTCACAAAATTTAGAATAATGATGAATCAATGCTTGCCTAATGATTTACAAATAAATTTTGATAAAAAATAAATAAATAAGGTAAGAATAGATACATAAGTTTAAATTACAAAAGAAAAGATGTTTTTAGGGAAGCACAAAGGATGCTAATATGATATAGGTAACAAAAAGGATTTAATAAAAGTAAAATTAAGGAAGTGTTGAATATTTTTAGAAATTTATATTATAATTAAGATTATTAGATTTTTTGACAAACACCAAAATGTATCTTTATAATAATAGGAAAGAATAAATTGAATTTGATATTTCTTGTATGAGTTAACATACATTATTTTAAATAAATAATCATTTTTGTATTTTTGTTAACGATGATGAGGATTTGCTCTTATCAAATTGCCTTAAAAATCTAAAATAAAAAATTAGATGTACTTTAAATCTTCAACTGCTTTATCTCTTTATTTTATTAAACTTAAGTTATATTTATGTTTACTAATCTCTTTATTCAATTATTAGATTAATTTTTCTTAATATTGTTTTTAGATATGTTCATGTCTTGTTTCATTTTCTTCAATTTAATTTTTAATTTTTGAAAATTTGTTCTCTAAATCATTCTATTTTTTTAATTACAAACTTTACAAATGTTCATCCTTCTTCTTTAATTTAACTTATACTTATTCTCCTCGATGTTGAAAATATTCTTATTTGGATGAATATCTTTCTCTTTACATTTATTATTTTTAAGTTAAATCTTCTTATGAATGAGCAGATTTTATAGATTTATACATACTGACTCTTCGAAATTTATTAACTACATAAACCAAATTATTGTTGTATTCTTATTATTATACTTCTTCCTTCTTATGTAATAATTAAGGTAATCTAACAGACCATAAATCAACCTTCGATTATTTATTATTATTATTGCTATGAGGTTCACTATTTCTTTCAGTTTTTAATAATTATAATTTTGCAACTATCTATTTATTTAGGTCACATTCTTATTTAATTTAAACTGCTTTTTATTGTTTCTCTTGATAAATTTAGGATTATTATTGGAGTTGTTCTGAGAACTGTTGTTTCAATTAATCAATCTTCTTATCTCTAAATACATTAAATATAATTACAAGTTTATCGATGCCTATCTATCTATTTATTATCTGACTTAAGATTGCTTAAGAGTTTCAAATTAAGTCTCTTTGACTTTTCTTTGAATTTCAATACTTCTTGAATTCAATTCTTTTGCTCTCTCCTTCCTTTATTAAATTGTCAATAATCTTTTTTATCTCTTTTTTTCAGTTCTTTAATTCAAAGATTACACAAATTCAACTTATTATTCAACCTCCTTCTTTTCCTGTTCTTCTTACTATTATCTTATTTTTGATAATTTTGCTTAATATTTTTGACTTTTATTAAAATGTGTTTCAATCCAGCTTTCAATCATTTCAGTCGGACTTTTTAAATGTTCGCTGTATTGAATACTACCTAATTTGGATAGTTTAGTACCTGCTAACACTTTAATCTAGATTATGGGGTCGTTTTCTTTTATGTAATCTTTACTCATTTTTTAATTTATTTCTTTGCAAAATAACTTATTTTCTTAATTATGCAATTTGCAGCTAATGAATCAAATATCTTTTCTCTGTAAATTAAATTAATTCTCCTTGGATTCTAAAATCAACAAGTTCTCTGTAGGAAAATAAGAATAAGTAATTACTTTTGTAATAGTTGGTCGTATTAGAGATTGCAAATTTCAAGCGACTTTTTGGTTTTAGGAGAATCAGGATTAATATTTAAGGTGTTTATAGTGGTGATAACATTGTTTAATTTAATTTCTGTGTCAATCAAATAATTTTACTCGATTGTCCTATACGATTAAGAATAACATAATACATTGGATTGCAGGAGTAGATCTGTTCTTTAGTTAATTTGGTGGGCATGTTAATTATTTTTCTGAAAGATAGATCACCTTCGAAATCCTTCTCAAATTATTGCATGAATAAATAAGAAATTATAATAATTATAAAATAGTTTTTGTAATATAATTCCACTGCGATATATAAATATAATTTATTTATTCCAAAATAGAATGAGAGACGAGCAGTTGTAGATCTAGTGTTAGATTATTATTATAAAATTAATTATATAATTGGTAATAAGTATAAATGCACTGTATATATCGAACCACGTGTTTATGAAATTAAGAAAAATATCTTTATTATTTAATGTCAGGACCTGTGTTTAAGGCAGCAGCCAAATGGACTGGAAGAAAGATCAATGTTAAGAATACAGTGGTTGAATTGGACGGAGATGAATAAGCAAGAATCATTTGGAAAATGATCAGAGAGAGATTGGTTTTGCCATATTTGAATGTGAATTTGGAATATTACGATTTGAGTATGGAACATAGAGACAAGACTGATGATAAGGTATGATATTTTAATAGAAAATCAAGGTTACTTTCGATTCAGGATATGCTATCTTAAAACACAAGGTTGGTGTTAAATGTGCAACAATCACAGCAGATGAAGCAAGAGTTGAAGAATTCAAACTTAAAAAGATGTGGCCATCACCAAATGGATCAATCAGAGCTATTTTGGATGGTACAGTGTTCAGAGAACCCATTATTTGTAAAAATATCCCAAGATTGGTTCCAGGATGGACTTAACCAATTGTAATTGGAAGACATTCATATGGAGATTAATATAAATGCTAAGATGTTAAATTGCCAGGACCAGGAAAACTAGAATTAATATACACACCAACATAAGGAGAATAAGTTAAGCGAACAATCTTTGAATTCAAAGGAAAAGGTGGTGTTGGATTGGGAATGTACAATACCTATGAATCTATTGTTAACTTTGCCCATCAATCCTTTTAATATGCTTTGATGAGAAAATATCCATTGATGTTGGGAACAAAGAATACTATTTTGAAATAATATGATGGATATTTCAAAGATATTTTCTAAGAGATATTCGAAACTAAATACAAGAAAGTATATTATCTAATATTTACAATAGGATTTCGATGCCAATAAATTATGGTATGAACACAGATTGATTGATGATTTGGTTGCTTAAATGATGAAATCATCAGGAGGATTTGTTTTGGCTTTGAAAAACTACGATGGTGATGTCCAATCAGATATCGTTGCTTAAGGATATGGATCTTTGGGTATGATGACATCAGAATTGGTTGCTAATGATGGTGTTTATGAATCTGAAGCCGCTCACGGAACTATCACTAGACATTACAGAGAACATCAAAAGGGCAAGGAAACATCTACTAATTCAGTTGCCAGTATCTATGCTTGGACCAGAGGTACATCTTATTCATATCTCTTAGGTCTCAGACACAGAGGAAGATTGGATAACAACTAAGAATTGATCAAATTCGCTGAAACTATTGAATCATCTATCATCCAAACTATTGAATCAGGATTATTTACCAAGGATTTGGCTTTGATTGTTCATGGTCCAAAGGCTGATAGATCAACTTATTTGAATACAGAACAATTCATTGATGCTGTCAATGGAAAATTGTAATCAAATCTTGGATTTTTGAAGTGAGATATTATAATCATCAAATATAATAAAATAATAAGAATTATATTGCTTAAGTGAGTTGTTACACAAAGAACTTTACGTGCAAAAAATATATTTTTAATATATCGGATGTTTAACTAGCTTTTACATTAATTAAGATAGAGGATTATATATAATCAATATACAAATCTCAAAATTTTATGATATATAGTTCTTATAAGAATTCTGACGCTTATTTTTAATTGAATTATTATTTTAATATGTTATTGAAATAAAAAACCACATATAAATTCTCAATAGCTGCTCTTCTTCAGCCAGTCTATAATCCTTATTGGGCATCTTATGGAACAGAATAAGTAATCAAAAAAAGAGATGTATTAGATAATTTGTTATAAACAGGAATTTCCATTTTAACATAAGATAATACAGAAATAATCAAACAATATAAAAAGGATCTAAAATAACCTAAGGAAATTAAACATAATATTGAGTTCTTCAATAATGTAGAATGGGGTTTATTGGAACATCTATTACTCTTGCGAAAGGAATTGGATGACAAAAAATTTTAGTTTGTTTTCAATCAAAATTAAAACTATTAAACTTCGTGGAAGTAAATTGGAGAGTTAGAAATTTATGGATTATCACCTTATCGTCATTAAAATCATTTTATTCATGAGTATATTCATAAGGCTGAGCAAAATAAAGTTACATTTGAAGTGAAGCCACAATTAGAAGAAAAATCAGATGTTCAAGATAAATCAGAGAAATTGGCAAAACCAATCTTAGATTCCTTAGAAAAAGAAAAGTAAGATGTGACTGGATTATTTGGAAGAGCCAGAAATTTTATCAATAAAGTGAATAAATTCGTCATCAATGAAAATAATCTTAAACATGAGAATCCTTCATTTAATTGGAAGAAATATGTGTTAGAACCATCTAAAACTGATAGAATTTTAGTCAGAGATTATGAGTATGAGTTTGAAGGAATATTGACAATTAAAGATTCAAATGGTCAATATTTATCTAATACTAAATTCATAGAATAAGTCTAACCTAAACTCAATAAGATATATTTAAGAACAGAATCTTGGATGGAATCTAAAGAATCAGAATCAACATCAAGGAGTAAAAGATAGGTATTAACTGATTTGAATTGTGTATTAAGAGGTAATCCATGGGTTTGGGTTAAAAAGTTTGATGAAGAAGAAGTATGAGTATTGTTTATATATATATATTCATAAATAAAGTGATTATTCAAAAATAATGAAGTTATGACATTATATCTTCTTCAGGATTGTTCATATGAGTATTCCAACCCTCTAAATTTTATGGCCAAGCTATCCATTTATTTTATTTTGGTTTCTCAATGACACCTTAACTGATACTTCTTTATATTATTTATTATGATTATAATTTTCTTATAAAAAAAGGTGAATTAGGTTCACTCGGTTATTTAGATTGAGCCTAGTATTTTGGTGTATGGTTAGAGACTTCATCAATGACCAAAGGGTGTTTTTCTCTAAATTTGAAAAGAAATGTTTATTTCTCTTATAAGTTAGAATATTTAGATAATTTATCCTATATTGCAATAGGGGATTGGAATAGTTTGAATTTCTTATCAGATCGATTCTCATTCGATCTGATAGATTTTATATCACTTTTTACATCAATTACATAGAATCCCTCTTTGATTTATAGTTTTTGAGTTTGAAATAACTATTTAGATTTTCCCGATTACGAATTCATTATTTCTTTTTTTAGTAAAGTGATTTTCTTTTCTATAGATAATTTTCTATACCCATTCTATTTTGGTTATTTTTATACAGGAAATGATTGTATTGAAGGCGAAAATGGATTTGCCTTTAAAATTGTAGGAACTGATTCTCTTAACGTAGATATATTAAAGTGATTTTTAAAGGAGATTTTTTGTTCTATGTGTAGTTAATTGATGGCTTTTGTGGTTCTTGAAGTTTTAGATGAGTTCATTATTATGATAAAGTATATATATTAAATCACAAATTATATTTAGAGATCTCTTGCAAGAGTTTAGGATCCAATGAGTTCTTTTAAGTTTATTACTCTATTTACAATGGATCTTCAAATTATGTTAGAGAATGATGACTGCGACAGACCTTTATGCCAAAAATATCATCATCTTCCTCCAATTTAATAGAATTTCTTTTTTTTTCATTCCAGGCTCCTACTAATTATATTACATTTGTTTGACTTTGATTTTTTCTACTATATATATTGGTGGATGATTCTAATTTAAATTATTTTAGCTTAGATTTGAAATCTTGACCATCTTTCTCTTATTTTATTTTAATTGAGAATCGCAAGCTCTTTTTTGATCCTTACGAGCTTTCCAAAATGGAATCAATTTGTTTGCTTATAATTAAGGTGTTCTGTAACTCTTAATTCAAAATTTCGGCACTATTGATTAAAGACTTATTCAAAATATCACTATTTTAACTTATTCTACTTGTATCTATGTCATCCTTTGTGATCCACTTTATCAAGGGTTTCTTGGGAGTTTAAGCATTTGGAATCCATATGTGTTTTAATGCCTCAGAAGCAGTTAATCTTTTAAGAGGATTCCACATTAGGAGTCTTTTGATTAGATCTCTGCAACTGCTTGATAATTTTAAGAATGACTCTTATTGGAATGCTTCTTACAGTGAATTGCTAATTTAATATAATCAAATTGAATACATACCTATCAGATAGCAATGCTATGATTTCAGCAGTATTATCAGAAATAAATGGCAAAGATCCTGTTAGAGATTGATATAGTGTAACACCTATAGCCCATAAATCAATCTGTTGATTATAACCATAAGATTGACTAAACATAATCTCAGGTGCTCGATAATGAAGATTGCCAGTTACAGTCAACATCGCCTTTCTTATATATCGAAAGGTGCTATTATTATATGATACAAATCTTCTAGAAACACCAAAATCTATTAATTTAACTGAAAAATCACTTTGAATAACTATTGAAATACTTCTAATCGATCATAATATTATCTGGTTTTATATCTCTATGACATATTCCACCGCTGTGTAAACATCTCACACTTTTTAATAATGCATTTGCGATTTTTTATACCTCTTGCTCTTTTAGCTTTGTTCTCTCTTGTAAAATAGTTTATAAATTTGCATATGGTACATATTCCATTAACATATAAATTACATTGATATCAATATATAGTTTGTAACATTTTGCTATGTAAGGACTTTTGATGATTGTCGAATTTATGAATGTTTATCTGACTATTTCCAATTGCTCTTCGTCAATTGTTTTAATTATTTTTACAGCAAATAACATATTTGGATTGTCCTTCTTCCAACATAGTTTTACGATTCCATGAGTACCCTCTCCCAATTTTCTTCCTAAAACAAACTCATCATTAAAATTGGTTGATTTCACATCAATTTCATTGATATTTTCACTCTATTCCTCCTCATCGCTAAATTAGATGGATTGTTATAATTATCCAATTAAAGGAGTTTAAGTTTTTCTAAGTGGTTGATCTGCCTCAATAGGGGATATTGTGTGAGTGGAAACCAATAATCCTTTTAATTTTTCCATTTACTTATGAAAATTGGAACGTACTCTTGTACTTTATATCATAATTTTGTAAAATAAACTTATTTAGATTTCATTATATAAAAAGGATTAAAATAGTTATGAAGTAGTATTTAACTATTGATCATTGATTAAACCCTTAAAATAATACTCTGAATTATAAAATTGATCCTTGAATAAAAAGATCCGATATTATTTTATATTCTAAATTTATAACTTTTATTCAAAAAATTTATAGAATTATTTTATTCTTAATATTATGAAATATAATGTAGATTATGGATTAGTACCAATAATTAATTTAGTAATACTTCATTATCATTATAGGATATCAAAATTAGAAAGTTTTATACTTCCTTCTTCCTTTTTGGTTCAAATTTAGAAATAAGTAGTAACATTTTAAAAGTTTATAAGACATATATATTATTAAAGTAGAGAAAAACATTCTAATTTAATTATTAGAAAGTAGAACCAAAAGCAATAGATTAATGTTTTCCATTAAAAAATATAATAATTGATATTAGAAATCCCCTTCAAATAGATAAGGCATATTTACTATCTTATCCATTTATTTATTATATTTTAAGTATGGTTCACTATTTGGTTGTAAAATATATTAGTCTAAATAATTCCATTTGAAATAGTATTAATAAAATTTAATGCGAGATATTTTGAACTTAATTTATATGTAATCTACAAAAATGGTAAATTTAAGTTTCATTCTGATTCTTCTTTACATTTTGTTAATAGAAATGAATATTAGAATTGAATGCTTATTTATATTTAATAATTGTGAATTTTATAGAATAAATATTTAAAATTCAAGACAGGATGTAATAATCATAATTTTTTCATTATTTAATAATGTTATTTTATCTAATTTAAATTATTTTACAAATAAATAAAGCCTAATCGGATTTGCCATCCTGTATCCAATAAGATAGTATTAATTATTGTATCAACCATTAATAATTGGGCCATTAAGTATACTCTTGTTTCACTTAAATCTATCGACTGTAAGATGACCCAGAAGAATAATGGATTACTTATACCTAATTTTATCTGATGGTTAATATATTTTGTGCTCAAAAAGTAATAGAAAACAAATACATCATATAGTTATCTCTATTGGAAGATTTAAATAATCTCTATGAAGTGATGATTTTATAAATGTAATTCAAAATTTATAAATAGAAATTAAAGTTAAGAATATTTGTAAAATTTGAAATAGGAAATATGGAACATATAAAATCAAATTAATTTAAGTTATTAAGAGTTGAAAAAAAATAAAACAATTGTAGACAACTTAATTGTGGAATAACAAGAGTTAAATCTCTAAATCTAAAATCAATTTTAACAATTCTAGCAATAATTTAAATAATTTAATAAAGAAAACTTATCCCTCATTAAACAGAACACGATCATAATTACAAGCTTAAAGGAATTCTTATAAGATATTCTATTATAAAGGGCTAATTATAAAATACTTCTTCATTGTATCATTTTCATCATTCATAATTCCTTGACTAGTAAACTAAATAACTATATTAGTATTTTATACATGCTTTCTCTTAACTTAAGCATAGTTTTGAACAACGATATAGAATTAGTGTTTTTTCTTATGATATTTCTTTATTAATTGATTTTGTAGATTAGACATAGAAATAAATTTTAAGAAGCTTATTATACTTTATAATAACTAGAGTTTCTCAAAACTCCGAATTTTAAGAAAATGATTAAATAATTATAAAATATTACATGAAAATTATTTTATTCTTCGTTCTCCTAATAGGAATTCATCACTCACTTAACTTAAATCCTGTTATAGGGATCTTAACAATACCATCGGATGAAGATTATTAAGACTACCCATCTTCATAATATTCATATATCGCTGCTTCATATGTGAAATACGTAGAATCATCTGGCGCAAGAGTTATGCCAATCCCTTATGAGGCAGATGAAGCTACCCTAGATAAATACTTTTCATAGATTAATGGATTGTTACTTACTGGAGGCACTTTGGAGTTAGAAACGGAGTAAGGGCCTTCTAAATATTTATAAACAGTGACACATCTATTAAATAAAGTTCTTAAAGCTAATTAGTAAGGTGATACATTCCCTTTATTTGCAATCTGTTTAGGACATTAGACTTTACATTTTATTTTATCTAATAAAGATTATGATGTATTAACTCCAGCTTCAGGAATGGAGACTGTAAACAAGAAATTATTATTTAAAGACAAATATAGCACAATCTTTATAGATTTAAAAGAATCAATTTTCAAATCAATTGAGACAAAAGAATAAGGTATAGATATAATATAATCCTAGTTTATTTTAATACTGATTGGGCGGTTTTGCCTTCATATTATGATACCCATTCACAGCTAAACGATTTCTTTAAGATTGTTGCTTTAGTTAAAGATTCATAAGAAGTTGTTTCAATAGCTGCAGCTGAAGCCAGAGAATATCCAATTTTTTCATTAGCTTTTCATCCAGAAAAGGCAGCATTCGAATTCAAAAGTTAATCAAAACACAATTAAGAATCTATATAATTTGGTAGAAATTTAATAAATCAATTTACTCAAATTGCTCGAGAGAATAGTCATATTTTGTAGGATTCTAATTCGACCATATTTAAGAATAACCCTATTCAATTGAGTAGTGCTTCATTTGTATAGATATACTTCTTTAAATTGGGAGAATTAGGTATATGATTGAAAATGAGGTACAAATTTACATTTTATTATAACTATTAAACAACAATAAATTTAATGAATAATCATAGGTTAATTGTATTTTGAAGGCTGTCTACAAAAATCTAGTATCTTAATTATATTTCTTTATGTTATAAGTAAAAATAATTTGAATTATGGATTATTAATTAAATGAGGAAATTATATTAACCTCTAAAAGCTCCCTCATTATCTCCACCATCTCATCAAGTATCGACATATTTAGATAAACAATAAAGAACAGGTGATTAATTTTATAGATCATTCCCACATTCTAGATCTTAATTGTGACTACGAGCTAGATCAAGATGCAATTTTTCATCATATTATGAATAAGCAAGCGAATAAAAATAAATTACAACTTAATTTAAATCTAATGAATGGAATGTAAGATGTGAAAATGAAAAATAAAAAAAACAAATTGAAATGTTGAACGATCAAATAGCCAAGCTATAAAAAGACTTATAAATTTATAAGAACCAATAAGTAGATAAATTTGACAGCGATCATCAAAACTTAAATAAATTAATGCAGGGATACCAAAGGAAAGCCTAAGAGAGAAAAGCCATTATGAAATAATTGTACAGTATTTTAAAGACTAAAGATTAAGAAATTGAAGAACTTAGTTAAACATTTGAATGCCAAATGGATGATATGAATAATAAGATGATCCAATTAAAAGAGTAGAGCGATTCTCAATTATTTCAACAAGAAGACAAAATAAAATAAATTGAATAAGTAATAAATAGCATATTATATCTGAAACAATCAAAATTGCAAGAATTAGAAAGCAAAGAACAAAAAATGAGGGATATTTTGTAAAAGTTACTTAAGAAATAGGAATCTAAAGAGAAGATAGACGAGGTTAAAAACATTTTAACATTTATAGCCAAAGAAAAATAAAAATATCAACTCAAATTACCTGATAATTCCTTATAACAGAATAATTTATCTAAAGAATACTAAAAAATAGTAACTAAATACGAATCTGTTATGATATAAATTAATAGGCTCAATTAACTTATTTTCGATTAAATTAAACCAGCCTACACTTGTGAAGATTCCATTTATCAGCTTTCATATAATATTAAAGAAATTATAAAATAGAACAGCAATGTATAAAAGGAAATAAAGCAAAAAGAGGAAGAGTCGACTAAGTAAAGTAACAAACTTGAAAAATACAAAAAGTAAATAGAGCAAAAGAATTCACAAATTGATTCCTTAAAAATGGATGTGAAGAATCTTAATTAATAACTACAAAATTAGGAGACTATAAACTCTTTAAATGATTGCATTAAAAAATAATCATAATAGATAGATATCCTTTAATAGTAGATTATTGAATAGAATAAGATATTAGAGCAGAATGAAACAATTATTGCTAAGCAATAAGAAAAGGAGAACTAATTGTTTTAGGAAATTAAAATGATTAAATGCGAAAAAGTTAAATCTTTACAGTAAGATGAGGATGATTAAATAAAATATAAAAATACAATCAATGATTTACGCTAAGAAATTAATGAACTCAATGCTCAATTGGAAAATATGTATACTGAATAAGCTTAATTACAACAATAATTTGATGAGTAAGAAATTGAGCATAAAAAGTCCCAAATCTAAATGACAAATACCATTTAAAAATTTTAATTAGAAGTTAAGAAGTATTAGCAATTAGTAGAAGATAATAAAATACAATTTAATTAGCAACTCAAATAGCAATAATAACAACATAAACAAATTTAGCAAGAATTAATTAATAACTAAAATTCAATATAAAATTAATTGAGTGAATATTTGTAAATCATAGAAAACTTAAAAAGTAAGGAAAACCTAAATTAAGTTCTTGAAAACTTAATTGATAATTTAAATCTTGTCATCAAACAGAAACTCTTGCAAAATCTAAAATCTACTTCCAGTTTAGCATCAAGCCCCATGCGAGGAATGTCTAAGAATTCATCACCTGTGAGATAGATATTAAACCACAATAACAATAATTAAATTGATCTCTAAAAGATTCATTCTACTCTAGATAATATATCAGAGTAATTTTTAAATAGACTTAATTTGTTAATAAAGAAAGATGAAAAAAATTAAGAGCTAATTTAGCACTATTGTCAGCAAATTGAAGAGTCACAATAAACAATTTAATAATTATGTGATGATAACGACTAGCAAAAATAATTTATTACTTAAATGTGCAAAATTCTAAATATTGAAAAAATAGATGATCTCAAAGAGAGGAAGTCATTCTCAAAGGAGGATTAATCATATATTGAAACTCTTAATTAAAATAATGCTTAAATATAACAACTAATTAGTTATAATTAAGAATTGCAGTAGGATATTCAGTAGCAATAAATTATAATAAAAGATTACGAGATCTAAATTGATCATCTAAAAAATTAGATTAAGTATTTAAGTTAGGAAAAAGAAGACCAATGTAAATTTACAACCCAAATAGCGTCTCCTACATAATCGAGTAGAAAGGATTCTATTATAAAGATTTTGTAGAATGAAGAGATTTAAAATAGAGATCAATAAATCTCAGAATTAAATGATAAAATTTCTATATTGGATATTGAAATTTCCAATCTTTAACATTAGTTAGAGTCATAAATTAAGTTAGTTTAATCAAGAAATGAAGAAATTCAACATCTTAACTCCTAAGTAAGAGATTTGTTAGAGAAACAATAATATTTTGAATAATTGATAAATGAATTGAATGCATATCATTAACAATCTAAAAATTAATAAGAAGTTTAAATAATTAAATTGGAAGGAGTCTCTTATGATATTTCTCATAATAGCTTTAATTTTGACGCTTTAAGAACGCCTACAAATTAAAATTATATTATAGATGAAATTTAACAAGAACAATCAATTAATTCATCATTGTCTTCAATTGTATAAATGAGTCCTAACACTTAAATTAAACAAATCATTTAGTTAAATAAATAATAGGAAGAAAACATCATTTAGAAAAACAGGCTAATATAAGAAAAAGAAGTAGATTTGGAGAAACAAAATGAAGAACTTTAGCAATTATAATCTATAAATGCTAAAAATGAACAAGAAATCAATGAACTTAATTTACAATTGACTTAATTGCATGAAAAGATAGAAACTTTGAGAGAAGAATAGACTTAAATTTAATAATAAAATGATGAATATACAAAAAAGTTAGTGATAGAAAAATAATCAGCCATAGATTAGATAGAACTATATAAAAAAGAAATATAATAGGTAAAATCAATAAATGATCAATTATCTACTTAAATAGCTGAATTAAGAATTCAACTTCAAACGAATCAGGAAGAATAAATCACTTTAACAGAAAATGAATAAATTATTTAATAGTAGAATAAAGAAATTCAATTCCTTAAAACTATAAATAATGAAAAACAAATTTAAATTTCCTAGTAAGACTATTAGCTTTAAAATTTAAAAGAATAGTTCGATCATCTAAAGTCAAAATCTAAAAATTTAATTATAAAAACTAATTCAGCTATCAAAGAAATCAAAATTATACATGCTGAAGAATTATAATAAATCAAAGTTAACTTACTTCAAGAATAACAACTTCTTAAATATGACATGAAATAATTAGAAACTAAATTTGTTGCAATAGAATAGTCATATCAAAGTAAAATATATAATGCTTAAGTTAAAATCTTAGAATCTGAATAATCAATTGTTTAATTTTAAGAAGAGCTAAAACTTTTATAACAATCAAAATTGTAAATCGAAGAGAAATATTGTAAAGCATAAGATGAATTTTTGGAGTAATCACAATTTATAGATTAATAAAATACAAAGTTGAAATCATAAAAATCATAATTAGAATAAAAGGAGAAGTAATTACAATGTATTGAAATTTAAATTTAAGAGTAGAGTGATCATATTGAATAATCGAATTAGACAACAAAAACCTTATAATTGGAAATAAACTAATTACAATAAATTTTAAGTTAATAGTTGCAAGAAAAAAACTTAATTCATGATTTGAATTAATAAAATTCTGAAAAACAATAGTTATTATAATAAAAAGAATAGCAACTCAAAGTACTTCATAGTGAATTGGAGAATTTACAGTTGTAATTAGATGGAATTGTTTAAAATTAAAGAGAAAAGGAATAAAATCTTAATGTAAAAATTTTGGATTAATAATCACAATTAGAATAATATGAATCAAGATTAAAAGAAGTGACACAAACTTTATAACATAATAAATAAGAATTTTAAAATAGAATAAATTTGATAGAGCAAGTCAACTAAGATCTAAATGAAAAGAATTAAAATAATATTGTTTAAATTTAAAAATTAGAGATAAATGAAGAGCTAATGAATAAAAAGATATTAGAATTGGAATTTGAATTAGCTAAAATAAGAAATGAATCCCAAGAAAAGGCTAGAGAATTAAGTTTAATTAATTAGGATTATCATAAGTTATAGGACGATTTAAAAAAAGAAATCTAAAAGGCTTAGAATTTGATAGATTAAAATATCAAATATGAACAGGATATTATTCAATTAAAATAAAATTTAACAACTAAAGACCAATAACTAGTAGGATTAAATGAATAATTGAATGTATCTATTAAACAAAATTAAGATATATAATCCTAATATACATTGAAAGTAACATAGTTGGAAAAATAAATTATAAATTTAGAAAGAGAAAAGTTATTACTTAATGAGTCTAATGATTAGCTCATTAGAGAGAAACAAAATAATCTTTAGCAATAGCTAACAAAGTAAAACCTTAATGAGGAGAAAGAGAATGCTACATCATCTTAAGAAGTGAAAATCTAATAACTTAAAGATCAGTTATAGAAAGAGTAAGAAAATATAAAGCAATTATAAGATTCTCATTAAAAATAAATCTAACAATATTTTAATGAGAAAAGCTAATAAATCTAGCAATTGACAAGTAATAACGACAATTTAACCTTATAATTAAATGAGTCTAAATAAATTTCAAACGAACATCTAAATGATAATGATAAGCTAAAAAGTATTATCAATAATTAATTAACTTAAATAAAATAATTTGAATAAGCAATCATCTAATATAAAAACTAATTATAAGATGTCAAGTCTTAAAATGAAAATCTTGTTACTATATTACACTAATCGGAAAATAAATGGACAAACCTAAATGAACAAAATACTTAATATAAACTATCAATCTAATAATAGGAACATTAAATTTAATAATAATCTCTACTAATTTTAACTTAAGAAGAGGCTCTTAAAAAATAAATAATCATAAATGTTGATTAAGAAAAAAAATTATTTGAAATCAATAATTAGTTATGGTAAGAATAACAGGTTTCAGAGGACTTGAACCTTAATAAGTAGAAAAAGCTTGAGCAATCTTAAAGAGATAATGATCTATTGCTTTAATAAGTTAAGCAACTATAAGATAAATTAAATGAATGCTAAAATGAGCTACAAGTACTAAAAAGTGAAAATAATTAATTGAGAGAATTATCAGAAGAAAATATCAATTAAACTCAAAGCATAAAGGCTTTATATTAGAATCAATTATTCTAAATCTCTGAATTGAGAAATGATTTATCAGAGTCTGAAGAAAAAGAAGGATCAAATTTAAAAAGAATAGAAGAGTTAACAAATTAACTTTAAAATGTTCTGGCCGAAAAGGAGAAATAAAGACTTAATCAAGAGGCTGGAGTTAATGGTATTCTAAAGGAGAAATAGTTGATTGAAATTCAACTAAATGAAGTAACTTAAACTGGATTAAAGTAAATTGAATAATATAAATAAGAGATTGCTTAGCTGAATCAAGAAAAAGAAGAAATAAAAAAGCAGTTAGAAGATAATTTAGAAAAGAAGAAATAGGTTGAAGAAGAATTAAATTAGAAAGTAAATAATATAAGATTAGAATTTTAATTAGAAATTGATCAATTAAAATAAAAATAATATGAAAACTAAAAGGCCATTGAGGATTAATAAAATTAGTTAATAATTTAGGTGTAATAAGAAAAATAATAATAAAATAGTTTGATAGCAGAGATTAATAAAATTTAGAATGATTTTAACAATGAAATGAGTAAAAACCAATAATTAATGCATGAGAACAAGAGACTTCAAAAATTCTTAAGTCAATCTAATTTAGATAAAGATTTGATGCATGATAGACAGCAAATTGAATAAGGAGAAGAAAAAATAAATTGCGATGAGAATAAATCACTTAGATAAGATAACTCAATTTCTGATAGACAATAGTGCGTATCGGTTCTATATGCAATAAGCGGTAATGCAAGTGAAAATTTTGAAAATTAGATGAAATCAAGTTCTAATTAGAATTAAAAAATAATTGTACTTTAAGACAAAATAGCATAATTGTATGATGAAAATGACAAATTGAAGAGATAATAATTATAGAGCTTAGATGACTTTATTGAGATATCACCTCTGAAGGAATCAGATTTGATTAAATAATTAAGATAAGAAATAGAGACATTAAAGGCAGATAAAGAATAAGGTAGAGCCAAAAGCGAATTGTAATTAGAAATAGTAAATTTAGAGAAAAAATTAATTAAGAAGGATGAAGAGATGTAGAATATAAAAAAAGGGACATATATGTATATAGATATGTGTGAGAAGGCAATTGTTTAAGATAGAGATTGGATGATCGATTTAAATAGTTTAGAAGAAAGATAAGCTAACAGATGGCGAATAGTCTGTGAAAAGTTAGTAGAATATGAACAATTATAAGGAGAGATAATGAAGAATCAGAATGACATTTAAGAATTGCAATTGTAATTAAAAAACAAGGAGAATTTGAGTATAAAGAGCATGATAATGAAATAAAGTTAGTCATTGGATGAGGAAGACATCTTTAGTATAAGATCTACAGTCTCAAAATTAAGATAGGAATTGGAATAGGAGAAGCTTGAAAATTCAAAGTTAAAGTCTTACTTAAAATCATATTTAAAAGATGAATAGAGATTTGAGGTATCAAATAGATAAATAAAATAGGAATAAAACTAAAGGGTTAAGGAGGAAAACAAATCTTTGCGAAATAGAATAAGTGATCAATAGGAGGAGATCAAGTAGTTGAATGAGTAAATTTAGAATTGCAAAGATGGTGCACTGGCGTAACATTTAATTTCCTTATTAGTTAAATTTTTCGAATCTTATTAAAAAGAGTATATATTATATATTATTATAGGAATAAATAAGATATTAAAGTATTTTATCAAAGTCTAGTGAGCATTTGTAGAATAGAATATAATGAGCAGATTGTAAACAAGTTATTTCAGAGTGTTGAAAAGAAAAACCAAAGTGTTTTTGGAATATTTAGAAGGGATAAATCCAAAGATAAATGATGTTTACTCTATTAATACTTATAATATTTAATTGAATTGTAAATGAGTTTCTAAAGACCACCAACGTCCACAACCAGAGACGTTTCTTCAAGTATTTTTGGATAAAGTCACTCAGAGTGGCATACTCCGAATAAAGACTTGGATTGGAATCAGGAAAAATATATGAGATAATTGAATGAGATCATAATTGAACGTAAAATAAATATTTTATGTATATTAGAGAGTGAATCTCCAATTCAAGAGAAACAACAATAAAATTAAACTTAGCAATATTAGTAGATAACTTTTGCTGAAATAATCCAAGCATTTAGATTAAATGAAAGTTATTATTAAGTTCGCAACAAATCTAAATGCTCTTGCTTTGGTTTTTCATCTAGTGTATCAACAACTGATTAGGTTAAATAAAAGTTCATTCAATTAGGAATGGATTAGTTAAATCTTAAAAATGAATATCATAGAAATACTGTCTATTCTATACATTGTCTACTTAATAATACTGAAAAGGCTAATGAAAACCAGTTAAAGATGATGACAAAATACACTACAAAGTATTTTTAATTGATGCAATTTCTATCCTGTCTAGAATTTGAAACCCCACAATTTTAATTATTGTATAAGGAATCAGGCGAATTAATAATAGAGTTAGTAATGTATGTTGGGGAAATGGTATTCGAATAATTATTGAGTAATAAATTAAACAAATTAATCTAAAAGGAGTCATCTCATTTACTAATTAATGTACTCAGAAATTATTAGACCAGTCTCATTTTCCATATATACAAAGAAATTAAAATATCAAATCCTCCACTTCAACTTTTAATAAAACAATATGAAAAATCTGATCCTCATTTATCTTACAATTGGTATATCAAATAGAAATAACTTAATAATAATCTATTCTCAGATTGATTTTTATATTTATTTAATTAGTTATTATCATTATATAAACAAAACAATAATAAACATTGAGATTAGTGCCTCATAGTTATTGACACATTCCCCAGTATAGTACCCTTCAATTTCACTGTTTTGACAAGCACTGCAAGGATTATCATAGGTTCTTTCGCATCCACTTCCATGGCAAGACTTTAAGACACCACAGGTTTGAACATAATCTTGATCACATTGTTAAGGTCTTTAAGCCTGGCAATATTAATAATTGGCCACAAAAGAATCAGCTTGTTATGAAGGATTAGTGAACAATTTTTAATATTGGTTGCAGTCTCCAATATAATATGATGTAATATTAGTTTATTGGCATGGTTCACATTAATTATCAAATGGTTATAGACAAGGTGGATTATAACATATAGCAGTTTCATCTAAAAAGCCGCAAACAGTAAGTTATTCCTTCAATTCACATTTCTTTTGAGATTTTATGCTGCACTAGATAACAGTTGGAGTCTAAGGACTTAAATTATAATTTAATAAATTACTTGTAATCCGAGCAATTTCCAAAGAAGTAACTATGAATTGAGCTATTTCTACATCCCAAACACTAATTTGAGAATTACTACAAACAATTTTATCCAGTACATTTAGTTGTAGAATCAAGGAGTCCACAGATTTATTTTAAACTAAAAGAATACTAAATGATTTTTACCTAGTATCGCATATACTGGGTCTAGGATTTGCACAAGCTATCACCTCGGTGTAATTCCCAGGTGCAGTTATAATAGTGCTATTATCACCTTCACTGGGTAAGGATGGAGTCTCAGTTTTGGTATCATCTATTTGCTTTGAGCAATCTCCTTTTATATATTTAACCACCTAACTTGCTTTACAAGCATAACAATTATTAACAAAAGTTTAGATGGTACTGTTGCCAATATTTAACCCACAAACTGGATCATAGTTTTCTGAACATTCTTCTGATTGGATTTAGCAATCATTTATCTAAGATTGCACAAGCAAAAAAAGTAGCATTAAGAGCATTGAATAGATTTGTAAAATACAATAATTATTACTAAAAATAGTGAAAAAAAAAATCACATTTATATATTGAGATATTTGAGGTTTTTTAAAAAACTAATTAAAATAATTATGTTGATTTAATAGTGTAGCTTTTAATAACGACATCAAAATTTTTTAAATTATTAAACTTGAAAAATTTGATAATTATTAAAATGACATCTCAAATTCTTTATAAACTCCTAAATAGACTCAAAATTAGAAATTAATTGAAAAAGTTCCCTATCTCAATAAGCTATTACAATTCTTTGAAATTTATATATCCAAATTAATAAACATGTATTGTAAATACCATCGCACTATTTTTAAAAAAAATATTCTTTCTTTTTTCATTGCTTTAACATCATTCAAAATTCATAAAATAAAAGATGAATTTAATTTTATAATTGACTGTCAATCAAATGATTCTTTTTAAATAAATTATAGAGAGCCGTATTAATAAGACTTCTGCGAATTTAAATATAGATAGTTACTTTCAATTCAAGTACTTTTGGATTATATTTTATTTTTCAGAAAGGCTTGATATTATTAATCTTTTTAATATAATCTATTTTTCTCATTTTAAATTAAATAGTGAGATAATATTAATGTTAAGGTTTTAGAAATTGGGAGAAGACGAATAAGCTCGTTTGGATTCAGAAAGCCTTAAACAAAAAAAAGAGTTGTTAAAACAAGAATTCGAACACTAGGAGGAAATTAGAAAATATGACAATCTCTCGATAGTTTCATCCCATGATTTCAAATTTAAGGCGGAATTAGATAAATTGCAGAGCTCTAATAAAAGAAAACAATAGGAATTAGGGCTTCTCTTAAAGGCAGGATAAAATAAGTCTAAATCTAAAATAGGAACTTCGTAAATGCAAGCATCAATTAGTGGTCATGGTGTTATTCATTCTATTAATAACCATCATTCTGACCCTTTGTTTGAAACATTTAGTGGGAATGTGAATATTAAGTAATACGATTTAGAATCAAGAGATCAATATATTGAATCATTGAAATTATAAGAATCTCGTTATGAAAATTTAATATTAGAGGAATAAGAGAAAAGTGAGTCACTGGAAAAGATTCTAGTAGAAATTGAAAAATCGAAATTAATTCAACAACAAAAATGTGAAGAATTACAAATTATTCTCAGTAAAGCAGGAAAGAGATTCAACAATACCGATGCTTTGAAATTGATGGCAGAAAACAAGAGGTTCCTAAGTAAGAAAAACCTATAATCTATAAAAAACGAGTTTGGTTAAATGAAGTAAATGTAAGACACATACAAGCATTCATAGGAAAACAAATAATACTAATTATAAAAAATACTGTATGTTGGAGAAGAAAACATTGGACATAATGCATTAAAAATAGAGGAAGCAGAAAGATTTATAGATGCTTAAAATAAGGAATTTGAAATTTTGGAAGAGAAAAAATAAAATTAATTGAAAAAAAAATAAGAAAGCAGGTACATTCTTACATATATTGAATTTTTTGAGATTTTTGAATAGATATTTATGAATAGGGATAATCCTAATGACATTAGATTGGTTGATTAATATAGTGTGGATGAGGAATTACTATAAAGATGGAATCAAAATCAATAAATTGATAATTTATAGTAAGAATAGGAAGTCAATTTTGATAGGAATGAATTGCTATCTCAGATTAATAAGTTTTATCAAGAAAATGAATAAAGAACAGAGTATATTCTTGAGTTCATGCTAGAGGAGTATTGGCATTTATAATAAGAATTAACAAAATAAAGTATTTCCTATGAAAATCTATTAAAGTAGAAGGAAGTCCTTTAAGATGAAATTGAAAATTTAGATTATGAGATATTAGAATTAAAGCAGAAGAATCCAAATTTAGAAATTCATGAGTAATCTATAGTTGCTGAAGATGCGGGTTTAATGAAATTGAAAAATGAAACAACCACTCTCAATATCAAGAAAATGGAAGTAGAAGAACATCCTGAATAAGTTGTATGGATAAAGGCTACAAAAACTCAAGGGTTATTAATGAATTTTTAACTGGGATTAGCTGAATACTTACTTAGAATTTATTAGATAATTTAAGCAATAGATTAGAAAAATAAAGAAAATAAGAAATTTAAATATACTGGTCTAAATAATGAAATAAATGGGATAAATTTATTGATATCGAAGATATACAATATGAATAAAAATTAAAATCAATCTAGTGAATTGACTCAATAACATTTAAACTAATTTGCAATAAACAATATTGTTGTTGAAGTGCTTCCTACATTTAAAGAATAAGAATAACATTAAATTAGTTAGTACTTATATATTTAAAGTAAAACAGATTAAATTTTATGGTTTAATTTGAGCGTAGAAAATCTAACAAATTTTTTAAAATCTCAAGACAATCCAACATTATAAAAATTACTCAGTCCAGAAATCATAAATGAATTCAGAGATCAATTAATTGAAATATTTAAATACAATTTTCATAAGTTATTTGAGTATTATCAGACGATGTATAAAAAGATCAGAGACATTAGTTAAGATTTATTTTAGTATTTGAAAGAAATCAATCCAAAGTTTGATATTAAGAAATTGTCAAAATTATTATTAAGAGAAGGTTAAGATATATAATCAGCTAAAGATTTAATTATAAGAAGGATGATGGAGTATAAAACAGGAGAAAACATAACATATAATAGTAAAAATGATTAAAATAAAATGTAAAATATGAGACCGAAAACTGAAGAGGAACAAATTAAGATGGTTTCTTAGCAATAATAATAATAATCTGATTAGTAAGATCCCTCTCTATTGTTTCCAAGAAAGCAGAGATTGGATGAAGAAAAACTGACTTAGATTTAAACATTTTTTAGGGCAAAGATAAGAGAGAAAAATTAACAATTAAGAGATCAAAAGAATAATGATACTATTTCAACAAAAGATAGACCAGGTAGTAATATAGAACAATTGAATTCTGAGAGTATATCAATGATCAAAGGTGAAAATAAAATGAATAGGGCGAAATCAAAGAAAATAGTAGAGAGCAAGACAGCTCGTATTTTAAAGGATGACTTGGAATAAGAAAGGAGTTTATTGAAGGCATAAATAGCTGCTGATTTATTAAGATTGAAAGAAGAGCATGAAAGGAAAGATAAACCTTTAATGAAAGAGTAATAAAATGAGATTAAGGTGCAAATTAAACAAGCAACTGAGAGATTATATGGAGAGAGATAATATACAGTTTAGATAATGAGAAATATGGCACAAACAACAGGGATTTTAAGTGATATCAATTAATTGGAACATTTCTCTTCAAAAATAGAATCTCCTTAATTAGTTGGCCAATTTGTCATTTAAAGGAAGAACTTACATAGGAACCTAAATAAAGAGTTAGGTTTACCAACTTTATCTTATTTGAAACCTACAAGTGCCTATTTTTCAAGGAGAAATCAATCCTCTGAATAAATCAAAGCAATGGATTACAAAAGATATAATGAAATAGAAAATGGAGTTAGTTCAAGACCTTACACTTAGTATTAATCAAGTCGCAAGCCTTAGACTACTTCTAATAACAATAGCTCTAGAAAAAGAACCAATCAAAATTAGGATTAATTAAAAAATAAATATTCAGGAAGAACCAGAGTCACAAACAATAATGAATATATGAATACATTTCCTATGCCGTAAGAAGTATTTCAATAGGAATATCCTAAATCACTATTGGTTCCGGCAGCATCATGAATAATTTTTACATTTTAATTTATTATTAATGTATTCTTTTAATAATTAGAAAAAATAATGATAAATTTGAATACCTTATAGCTTCTGAGTTGTGTGATAATCATCCTAATTTAAGTTTATAGATATAAAGAGTAATACTTTTGGAATATAATAAAAGCATATTTTAACATACTCACAGTTTAAGTATACATATTAACCATCTTTAACGAAATTCAATAAATACAATAATATTTAGGATATAATAAGAATGTAGATTATACAAGGTTATTTATGATCTAAAGACTTCAATCTACCCTTTTCATATAGTCGTTATCAATTTACATAGGAGTGCTATTCATTATCATATTTTTGAAAAATATGCATCAAAATAACAGAAGACTAAGTTATAAAATTTTAATTTTGGTCTAGTCCCTACTTTAGACCATACTATTTTAATTCGTTTTTATAATTTGTGCTTTGTATATAAAATACTTTAATAGAACTAATTAATTTAAGGAATGTTTAGAAATAGTGTATATTAGAGCTTTGTTTTTATTTTCAGCAATTAGTTCAATGACACCAATCATGTAGGTTTTGTTAGAGCAGCCATTAAATAATTTTAAATCGTCTATAAGCAAGATAAAGTAACCATTCATAAAGGACATTAAATTTAAATCAGTTTTGCATATGAAGCAAATCCAAACAGATGAAGAATTGGCTAAGTTAAACCATACAGAATTGGATTCTATGTTAATATTTGAAGACATTGAAGATAATAGTGAGGTTAGATATTCAGACTTATGCAAACAATAAATTATTAATTTTATTTAAACTACTTGGAATTTAATGTAATTGTTTTGGAGATCCTTAAACTTAATATATAATACAATTCAATTAATTATGGCATTTGTTTTGATATTTGGGTTTATTTGTATTTTTGTTGAGTATATTGATCCAAATAGCGATTTACTAAGTTAATTGAATGCCATTAATTTTTTTTCAACTTAATTAGATTCAAATAAGCAAGAGAGTGGAATTAAATAGATTTAGTTCGAGATGATTGAAGTAATCACTATAGCAGCTTTTAAATTTATGTTCATTATCATAATGTATTTTAGTACAAATAATCGAATATAATATTCAAAAAGTATTTAATTGCAATTATATTACAGATAAGGAATTGATTGATAATGTTACAAATTTGACGGTGATAATTCGAAAAAATTTGCTAAACTTTACTTTAATTGGCCTATTAACTACGCTATATCCTAATCTAACATTCACGATAAATAATTCGAATTGTTATAAGGAAATTTAATATAGAAATGGTTCATTAATAAAAATGGGCCAAGTGATGCCAATTAATGATTAGAGTTGCCCAATTACGATTGTTTACTTAATTTCCTTATAGATATTCAGCAGTCCAATCACAACATCAATTGGATTACTAATTTTATTTTTTTATCTTTTTACAGCATTTTACATATTGTGTTTAAAAAGAAAAAGCAAGAATTTAAACGAGATTTGATATTTATTAGATTAATTAATTATTATATAAATATGAATCCTAATAGTACGACAGATGACACATAATTCTCCCTTTTAGAAAAAAAACCAAAAAAATCACAATTGTTCTCAAAGATTTTCTTCTTTACCTTAGGTGTGTCGTCACTATCAGGATGGAATGCTATCTTAACTGGTTTATCATATTTCGCTGATTAATATGAAGGTATTAAAAATTACCACTAATTATTTAGGGAGAAATGTTTATTTCATACTGCCCATACCTAACTTCTTAAGTTTGTGCTTGATTGGATTATTCTTACCTCGTATCAGTTCTCTATTGTCAATGTTTTTCAGGATCGTCTGGTCATTAATAATTTTATGTGGACTATTGTTTCTTTTACCAATGATAGCATTAGAGATGCACAGTACTCTAGGTATTAGTTTAATGAATATAAAAAGGATATTGGTTATGTTTAGCCACAATTTTCATCATGGGAATATTTTCAGCACTACAATAGAATAGTTCAATTGGGATGTCTGGAATACTGGGTCCAGAGTATGTCAATGTATTCTTTATTGGTACAGGAGCATCTGGAACAATTATTACAATTTTCAGATTAATATCTTTGGCAGCAATTGATAGCGAAAAATGTAATTAAATTCTATATTGAATAGCAATCTTTTTATATATTGGAATTGCAGTGCTTTGGAATATTGGCGCCATAGTGATGTACTTTGCATTTACTAAGACACCATAATATAGGAAGATTATTTAGGCTCACAAAAAGGGTAGGAAGTCAGTTTTAGTTCATGATCAAATTGTTACATAGGAGGAACCGGATAATGCAGTGTAAAATGACAGTTTAATTTCTGATATCATCAATTCGGAAATTGCCAATTAAAACAATTAAACTGAAACATCAGATCACAAAAATGGAATTGTGCCATCCAAATAAAATAAAGACTAAATATCAATAGAAAAAATGAATGTGATTTAAACTTTGGTCTGGATTAATAAAGTAGCCTTTCCTATTCCTTTGTTGATTGTGATCCTTTACATTTAAACATTTATGATGTTTCCAGGAGTAGCCTTCTAAAAGCCTTTCGATGCTAATTTTATTTATTGGGGTCAATGCTTTATTAGTTTAGGATACAATTTTGGAGATACCTTAGGAAAGTTTATAGCTGGAAATAGATAACTATTTAATCTATAAATTTTAATTGGGTTATTCTTAGGAAGATTTGTTTTTTATTACACCTTCATAGCAATTGCCTAAGGAACTCTGGCTGCCGATTGGATAACGTATGTAAACACCTTTCTATTTGGAATCTTGAATGGATTTATTACTACAGGCTACATGATATTGGGACCAGAAAAAGTATTTAATAAATATAATATATAATAGACAAACGAAGGTTTTGTTAAAGAAAAAATTGGATTTGTATCAGGATTTGCCCTTTGCTTTGGCATTATGTTAGGATCGTTCTTAGCTTTGCCTTTTTCAAATATATCTAAATGATTTGTATATTAATTAAAGGTATTTAAGTTGCAAATAAATAAATATAAGTTGCATATCATTTTCTATTTAATTTACAGTTTCTTGCTATATCTTCATCTATTTTTAGTTGTTTAAAATACAAAAATAATTTGTCTTATGAGTATTTAACTAAAATTTTGACAATTTTTAGTAGGGTAGATTAGCTGATTTACACACTCAAATTTTTATTATGAGAATTATTTATATTATTTCAAATCGTATTGCTTATTTTGGCGGATAAATGGAAGTAAATTGATATATCATAAACTTTTAGCAATTTATAAAGACCCTAGATTCCACTGACAGTAATTATTACTCAATAATATATAGAAAAATCACCCTAAAAATTAAAATTAGCCACATCGCCAAATACGAATTAAAAGTAAAACTCACCCAAATAAACCAAGGAGGAATTTAAAAAAAATACGATCATCAAGAAGCTAGAATTTAACGATCAGTTACTTATAATCAAGCAAGATGGAATAATTGGTAGAAGCACTCGCTAAATACCCAAAATTAATTAAGGTATCAATAGTGTATTATTAGTTAATTCTTCATATACCTTGGGTCTTCTAAATTCTATAGAACTTAATCATAAAAATGAAATTATTAACAAGTTGATCAAAACAAATGATCATGAATTATTATAAGTGTCTAGAACATCTAATATATACTGCAAGTGTCGTAGATCTAAATGCATTCAAAACTATTGTGTCTGTAGTGCCAACAATTAAGAATGTAAATTAAATTGTGAATGTTATAATTGTTCAAACAAATAACCCAAATCCACTCCCTCTTAATTGTCTTCGATTGAGTTTAATGGATGCAATTGTAGAAAATAAAAGTGATCTTCTTTAATCTTATTACATAGTTGCTCAAAACGATATTGTGAATGCCAAAAGAGAAATATCAAGTGTACTTCTAAGTGTAACTGCTGTGAAGAGTGTGTAAACTAAGAAATCCAGCCCCTACCATTTCAGTTAGATAGTTTATCCTGATTTTAAATTCATTAAATAAATTTTATTTACCACATTAAATATTAAATAAAAGCAAATAAAATTAATTTTTCAGTTGATAGTAAATATTATTTAAAGATATGCTAAAATTATATGATAAACAAATACTTGTTCAATAATTGAAGATCTATTTATATAAAGAGAGAAGTAAAATTCATCAATTAAATTAGAAATTAATAGCAAATTATATTAGATATAAATATTAAAATCATTTTTTACCCTTTTTTCTTTATTTATTCTTATCGGTACCTTGTTTTTCTTATTTATTCTTATGTTTCTCTTATTACTTAATATTCTTATTTTTTTATTTAGTATTCTTTTTCTAATTTTGTTCATCCTCCTCAATCTCCTCTTCTTAATTTAGTTCTTCATTTAAATCATCTTCTATATTTTGAGTCTTCTTGACAATATTGGTTGATTGTATTAGTCTCCTCTCCTTACCAAATCTATCTGCAGAATCCATAGATTGTTTCATTGCTTTGTTCAAAGATGCCTTGACCTAAGATGCTATCTCTGTCATTAAATCCCTTTTAGGAAACAATGCCAAAGATCCTACTATGCATTCCTCAAACTATTATATATTTAAATTGTAGTTTCTTAACAGTGATACTACTTCATCAATACAACTCAACCCAGCACTGGCCAAACTTTAAATAATAATGAAGGCATAAGGCTCAATATATTAGAATTTAATTGCCTTGGTGTTTGTTAAATATGTCTATTAAGCAAATGCTTCTTTCACTTCGAGAATCTATCTTTTAATTTTATTCTCACTAGAAATTCGACCAAGCATCTAAGGAAAATTGACTTTTGACAAAAGATTCCCCTTCAATATTTAAGTAGGATACATCGTCGATAAAAATCCTACATTTGGCATTAATCCCCACATCTGTGATCTTACTTTTGAATTCAACACATCAGCATCTGCCAATGATGAAGCTGCTTAGGAAATATGCGAGATTGTGTTCGAAGGAGCCTTTTTAATTAAGTCTAAATAATTCTCATGATAAAAAAATTGTGTCATATCTGGATCTTAAAAGTAGTAGTCCATTAATTTGTGAATAGGCAATGTTTAAGAATCTTTGTAATTCAATAATATTTTGGTTGATTCATAAATATTCGTAGTAACTGAGCCATCCTTTCCAATATTTTTATCAATATGCAATTTCAAGCCAACTTTATGCATTTATAATAAATTTAGCAATTATCTAATATCACATTAAGAAAATTCTATTTATTATTTTAATTCGGCAGGATCGTAATTAATATTCTCAGACTTACAAATAAATTCTAACTTCTTTTAAATTTCAACTTGATTTGGTTTTTTAAACTACAGATCTAAACAATAATTGGCCAAAGTTCTCATTGATTATTTGTTTCTCTCATTGCAAATACAAACAATAGGCACCTTTGTTAATTTTATCATATCAATTAAACACTTATTTCCACCCCTATCACTACCAGTCATTCCATCTACTTCATCCATTAAGATTATTGTCTTCCCTTCACTAATTAAATTAGCATCCTTAAATCTAAGCACTGTATTGTCTTGAAGATGTTTAACATAATTTTCAATTTGAAGTTTACTTCTGACGTCAGAGGCATTCCATTCAATCAATTAATAAGACTTTTATTTTGCAATTAATCTAATAATTGTGGTTTTGCCAATCCCAGGAGGACCTGATAATAAAAGGGCTTTAGCAGCAAAGTTTTAAGATTAGAATGAGCCAGGGCAAACTGAGTTCATATATTATATATCATACTTTCTAACTAAGTTTTTCCCCACTTATCTAGCCATTTAACAATATTTGAAACGTGGGTTTAATCAAGACAGTCCGATACTTTAGAAGGAGCATATTTATTAGTCCATAATTATAATTTCTATTTAGTCTCTTCAACAGTTATCTGTTCAATTTTTGAAATTTTCTTTTGATCTTTTTAAATTTATTTATCCTTAGAGAAATTAACTATTTCAGGTTTCAATTCAACTTATTTTTCAATTAACACAACGTCGCTGTCAAACTTTGCTCTAAGATTAGTATTTATTTCCTAAATCGGTTAACTAATAGGTAACTTAGATTATTATTATGATTTTGATTATATGAATGAAGATTAATTTTAAACAATTTTTTATTTTGATTACAAATCCTATTTTTCTTACATTCCTTATTAACCTACATTTTAAATAGTACATTAACAAGCCAATTAAAAAGATTTCTATAAATCATTACCTGTGTATTATTTTAGATGACTATTAAAAGCTTCAAAATCAAGAATAGTAGATTTTTATATTTTAGCATTCGCTAAAAGAGAGTTATCTTTCATATCATTAGCATTATTAAGAGAATCCCCTTAAATAATAATTGTGTCTTTAAGAATTTTACAATTAAGATACCCTCCATAATATCTAATAATTTGAATGATGTGTTCTTTTTAATATTTCTAAAAATTTCCTATTAGAAAATACTTATATCTTTGTAATGGTTTGTTTGGGATATTTAATTGTGAATCTTCTTCAATTTCAAATCTAGTCATTTAAATCTATTCTTATTCAAATTAATTTAAAATTTCTTGTTAGCAAGTTTTAGTTTCTGCTATTTTCTCTTCAGGTTAGACTTTAGTTACTTAAGTAGCTTAGGTATTAATAGTTGATGTTCTAGTAATTTTGGCAAGATGTTAAAACTTAGTAGGTAGGTCGAAGTCACTATCGGACTCATCAGATTAATCGTCTCGTTTCTCTTCCTCTTTTCCTTTGTTGGGCAGTTTGGTTTCCTCCACCATTCTGAATTCAATAACTTTTGGTTTCTTTGGTTGAGGGGCGGTTTAAGCTTATTTTCCTTTTTGAAAATAACGATCTAGTTATCCCTATTAATGTTTATTATCATCAATAATTTAATATCTCGAAAAATTCTGTTTGCAGTCTTCTTGTTAATCTGAATCTTCGGATGATGAAACCTATAATGAATTTTTTGGCTGTTAGATTTGAGGTTTTTCTTCAATAACATCGGCTGTTTTTATTAATTTTTTTTTGCCCATTTCCCGCTATTTGAAATTAAATATTAATAAATAAAAAGTAGTTTAATGAACATTTGTATCTCGATAGAATATGTCCCATATTATATAAATTTGTTATGACAAATATAAACACAAAATTTATTTACAAGAATGTGTGAATATTAATAAATTTATATAAAATATGTCAATAGCTGAATAAAAGTTTATGGTCGATGCCTAAGGTAGGAATCTGGTTGAAATGAGACCTCCTGGCATTTAAAATAATCAACCCAACGATATCTAAATTACAGCAGAGTAATTATTGAAAGTATTATTTATAATTATTTTCATTTTAGGATGCTGAAATCCATCAAACCAAAGAAATTAGACCTCCTCAACAAAGGATTATGGATGAGGCTGAATTATAAGAATATAAATTCAGGAAAAGAATCTTATTTGAAAACAGAGTTAGAAGATAAAGAAATTATTTGGGAATTTGGATCAGATATGCTTAATTTGAGGAGGGATTGTTAGAATTTAGAAGGGCTAGATCCATATACGAAAGAGCATTAGAGGTTGATCCTTCTAACATTGGAGTTTGGATGAAATATATCGAAATGGAGATGAGACATAAATTTATTAATCATGCCAGAAATGTATTTGAAAGAGCTATTTATCAAATGCCAAGAATTGATTAGTTTTGGTTTAAGTATAGTTATATGGAGGAAGTTTTGGGCAATTATTAGGCAGCAAGAGAAATATTTAATAGATGGATGACATGGAAACCAGAAGAAAAAGCATGGATGGCCTTCTTGAAATTTGAAGAAAGAATGGGAGAAAGAGAAAATCAAAGATAAATTATGTATAAGTATATGGAAGCATTTCCTAAGTTAAAAGTTTATTTGAAGGTAGCAAAATTTGAAATTAAATAAAAAGCTTGGGAGTCAGCCAGAAATATTTATGAAAGAACTTTAGAAGAATTAGGATAAGAAGCATTAAAAGAAGAATACTTTATAGATTTTGGCAGATTTGAAATTAGAAATAAAGAATATGAAAGAGCTAGAGAAATATTTAGATTTGGATTGAAAAACATAGCCAAAGATAAAGCATATTAATTATATTAAGAATATTTGGCATTTGAAAAACAATATGGAGAAAAGGATGAAATTGATTAAATCATTCTTAATAAGAGAAGAATATTTTATAAGGAATTGATATCATAGAATGCATATAATTATGATGCATGGTTTGATTTAGCTAATTTAGAAATGAGTACTAAAGATGTTAATAGAATAAGAGAATCTTTTGAAGCTGCTATTAAGAATGTTCCTCCAGGTAATGAAAAAAGATTTTGGAGAAGATACATATATTTATGGTATAATTATGCTGTATTTGAAGAATTAGAAGCAAATAATATTCAAAAAGCCATTGAAATATTTGAAAGAGCTATTTAATTAGTTCCTCATTAATAATTTACCTTCTCTAAATTGTGGATATTATATGCTTAATTATTAGTAAGAAGTAAAGATATTGATAAAATGAGAAAGGTTTACGGTTTGGCTATTGGTATCTGCCCAAATATTAAAATATTCCAGGAATACATCCAAATAGAATTGCAATTAGCAAATATTGACAGAGCTAGAATATTATATTAGAGGTTTATTGAAATATTCCCAGATAATCCCATTCCTTGGATTAAATTTGCAGAATTCGAAAATGATTTAGAAGAATATGAAAGATCAGAAATGATATTTGAATTAGCATTGTAGAATAATCAAATGAACATGCCAGAAACTATATGGAGAGCATATATCGATAATTAAATTAAGTTGTAGAATTATGAAAAAGTCAGAGAGTTATATGAAAAACTACTTGAAAGATCCAAACATGTTAAAATTTGGATCAGTTATGCTTAATTTGAATTATCAATCAAGAATATTACTGGATTTAGAGCAGTTATGTAGAGAGGAGAGAAATGCTACATAGGAAAGCCAGAACTAAAAGAAGAAAGAGCTATATTGTTAGAGTAATGGAAGGATATGGAAATAGAAATTGGAGATGAACAAGAAATAAAGAAGATTAGTGATAAACAACCTACTAAAACAATCAAGAAGAGGAAAATCAAATTATTGGGAGATGAAAGTGAAGATTTTGGTAAATTTCTATTATTTATTTTTAGGTTATGAGGAATATTATGATTATATCTTCCCAGAAGAGAATCCTCAATAAAAGAATTTAGGAATGCTCTTAAATAATGCTAAGTTATGGAAATAATAGTAAGAATAAAAAAATGGTTGATAACTTTAGAATTTTATATTATATAATGATAATTACAAATTGGCATCTTAAATCATACATTAGAGATTATACAAAAATTGATTAGTTATATTTTGGAAGTATTAACAAAAAGAGGAGTGTGGAATCAACAAAAATAATCATATCTGCATAGAATGCTAGACTATTTATAATTAGTATAAAAATCGATGTGGATTGCAAATTTATATTAGTAAGCTTTAAAATATTTCAAATTCATTTTCTTTTGAGTTGATCAATTTCTTTTTTCAGACATTGAATCAACTCCTTTTATTATTGTCGGATTGATTCACTTTTGAGAAAGTTTTCCTTATATTTATCATTTTCTAACAACTCTTATTTTAATTATGTAATAGTTGCTTAGGCTTTTTTTAATTTTTTAGACAATTATTTAACTTCAGATTGAAGCTCTGTATTTTTCTATTTCTCCAGAATCAAGGCTTTGGCATTTATTTTTTCTTGGGATGTTTTCTTAAGACTTTTTTTTTGTTCAATTGATTATTTTTTATGTTTTGAGGAATTAGCTTTGACTGGAGTAGATTTCCTTTGTGTTTACTTGAATGGAGTGAAATCATCATCTGAATCTTTCACACCTAAAGTTGGAAATGCCCTTTCAATAATTGATTATTATGAACCAAGTTGTTTGTCTATATTTCGTTGAATGTGGGATTCAAGGGATTAAATCTTATTATGCAAATCTCGTAAATCACTACTTTTAGATAATTGTTAAAGTTCTTAATCAAGAAGTGTGTTGAGGAAATTTAATTTGTCTTAAGTTATCATTATTTAAAATAAAAACGTTTATGAAGCTGATTTCTTTATGTCTAATAGGTCTAGCGATATCTAATAACCTTATGCTTTAAACAGCAAATCATTCAGCCTTTTAAGAAGTGTTGGACAATTTGCAAATTCAAGTGATTTCGGAAATAAATTATTTGGAGAGCATTAAGCATTTATTTAAAAGGGGCAACACTTTAGGATTTGGAAGAACATGTGGAAGAATTAAGAAAACATTTAGCTGACGATTAGGCAGAAGATGAAAAATACTTAAATGAATAACAACAACCTCTCGAATCTGGATTATAAGGTTTAGTCAATGAAGTACATGAATTAAAGGAAGCAGGGCAGCTAAAAAATATCAGTTTTGAATCAATAATAATAAATTATTGATAATCTCTTCTCTTAAGATTAAACATCATATTAAAAAAGACTTGCCAATTAAAATGTAAAACTAGAAACAATATCTCTTTTGATTGAGAGAGTACATGCACTTTCAACCGAAGGTCATAGTCTCATTGAAAAGGATAATCTTCTTGAAGAAATTAAATAAATGGGCAGAGGAAAACATGTTGAAGTATTGGCTCAAGTATATAGATAATCAAATGTAGATAACTCCTCATTTAGATACTGAATAAGTGGAAAAGGTTTTAAATCTTTTAGGCAGTCTTAACAAGGCAGTGCTTGCTAGTTTAGAAGCTGATGAAGCCTAAGAACAAGAAAATATTAGATTGTACAATAATTGACAGGAGATCACTGCGTATTTATTTAATGATGTAGTTCTCTTTCAGACATTACTAGCAATTGGATAATCATTTTGAATAAAAAGATTATGAACTAAGTGTAGGAAAGGAAGGGGTTAAGGAAGTTGGGCAAAAGTTGTAAGATAGAAATGATTCGATGTAATGCATATAATAATTTAATAGACAATTCATATTGGATAGAGTTAGGGAAGCTTAATAATTATTAAATGATAATTTGGATAGAATTGCCAGATGGTCATAAGAATGATTAATATATAAATATTATTTGTTTAAGTCAACTCTTCTATTAATCTTATAATTCTTTGAATTTCTACTCCAAGGCTTCTTCCTTCGTCTTCAACTTTTATAATTCTAAATCTTTTTCGGCCAATTTCTTTTTTAAATCTTAATTTTCTTTGCTCAATGACTATATCATTTATTGTTGGTTAGCCTAATCTGTTATTGCAATAAATTACTGGGATTGCACTTTGAGGTTTAATATTAGGTTAGGGTGCACTTTGAGGTTTAATATTAGGTTAGGGCATTGTTCTTGTATAGGGTTTATTTTGGATTAAGGTTTATGGATTCTATCCCTTTGGAGTTAAATTGTTGGGCAAACTTCCTTGCGCTCTTTGAGGAGGGGGATTTGAGGGTACTGTTTTTCCAGTGATTCGAGCTTGGGGAGTTGATGGTCTTTGATATGGATTTTGAGGTGGAATAGGGCCTCTTTGACTTGTGGGCAGAGATGGATGAGGACGATAAGTATTTTACTAAACGAAAGGGTTGGCGAAACTCATTGTAGGGGAGGATGCTTAGTAGAATTGACGAGGCATGACTGGAGAATTGGGGACACCTTTGAATAATGGATATCTTTAGGGTGTTGTTAGGTACATTAATATTTTTATTTATGTATTTATTAATTTATGTTGTTGATGGATGAATTCGATTCTTGTTTGAAGACTCTTCATTGTTATAATAATTTAATATGCATAAAATCAGGATATCAATTATGGTTAAGCACTTTTCTTTTTGTCACTTTCTTCTCTTTTTTACAATGCTCCTTTGATTAAATTTGTTTTTTCTAACAAGTCCTTTCCTGCTATTTCAAATCTAAAGTTAAATATTGATTCGTTACTTGATGTCACTATCACTGCTTGAACACTCCAACAGACAAGTCTCTATGAATTTGATAAAAAACAATGGAGCCTGCAATTTAAATTGGTCGTAGCTGTAAAATTCTGGAAGGGGTGTTATTCCATCTGCTCTCTATTTCCATTATAATTAGAAAACACAATTATCCTCAGTTATTTACAATTTTATCATGGCTAATTTGTCATCTTAATTTGCATAGTGCTAGGTTACTTTTCTAATAAAAATAAATAATATTATTTACTAAGTTAATTCCTGTTACTTTAACGAGATTATGCTGCCAGTTTTATGATTCTGTTAATGCATATTGACAATCAATGCTGCTTATGAGTTTGAAACTACATTAGTTTAATTGGAGATGTTAGAAGTCTAATTTTCATTACTATTTTGAGTGTTATTATTATTAGATGCAAATTGAATGGGGTTGATATTGCCATTCTCAAGTTGACTCTGAGACAATGTTTCACTGATTTCTGAATATTTTTGATCTACTTTTTCTGCCTTTTTCTCCTTTTTATTAGGATCAGGAGGTCTAGGTCCAGCCACTCTTTTTATTGCAGTTCTGGGTTACGCTTATGCTGTAATTTATCTAATTTCATCAAGTTTCTTGTCGTCATATCTTTCTCCTGTCAAACAGAAATAGTTAAAATCTTCAATTAGCTCTTTGTACTTTTTTACATTCTCTTCTACTTCCCAAGTCGTTTCATCAAAACCTTTCCATTTCACCTAATATTTAAGTTATCCATTTATGTGTTGTTTTTTTATGATCTTCTCAGGTTCTTTCATCATTTTTTATTTTTATGTTTCAATTACAGGCCTGAACCTTTAATATGCCAAATATCACCAGGAAAATTAAAAAGTAATTCATAATATTATTAATTTCTTAATGGCTTAGTAATTATGAATTATTTTAGAATCAACCTAAGATCATAATCAAGAAGATTTACTACTATCTATGTCTTTACTCAAATAGTAGTTTCAATCAAATTTAAAAGAAATAAGGAAAAAATAAATAGGAATAAAAATCCTATGAATTCCTATAAATTTGAGAGAATTTTTAAACCAATCTCCAAAATTCTAAAATATCTCAAAGTATAATATGGTTTTTTAAACTAATGAGGATTTATTAAAAATGACTTTATAAAATCTTTAAAAGAATTTAATAGATCAAGTTCTTATAACCTATTATGGAATTAAGTTCCAATATTGAAATATTATCACAAAATTAATTATAATAAAATGAGGGGACTCTAATAATTCTTTTTTTTAAGCGAATTATTATTTTTGATAATATTATAATAAGATAAGAATCAAAATCAAGCAGGTGAAAAATGACAACTTAGTTTAAGTGGTTGAGATGTTTCAACTGGTATCTTTAGTGATTTAATGGCTGACAAAGGATCCTTTTGATAAAAAGTGCCCGAAAATTATGCACTCCCCCTTTTTGCTGAAAGAGGTATTTCATTCATTAATGAGTATCTTTTTAAATCATTAATTTTAGAATTCTATTATTATTCATCATTAATTTCATTTTCACTATTGTATTTAGATTCAGATTCTGCTAAATTTAATTAATATATGGCATTTTTTGTTATATGTAACCCACCAGATTAAATAGCTTAAGTGCTAAAATCACTATTCGAATCAAAAAATTAATGGGATAATGCTTAAGCAGCACTTACCCTGATTTTTGGATTCTTGTTTAGCATCTTTTTCAGAATATCCTATAATAGCAAATATTATTACTAATGATTATTCTGTTATATAAATGCCATCCATTGGTAAATCTAAATCGACATAGCAGGTTTTATTGGAATTCAAGACTTCATCAAAGTTTGACCCCATGAATAAACTATGTCCAGTAAGCAATTTATAGAAAATGCATCCAGCAGAAAATATATCTACTTTACAATTATATCTTTGGTCGGATCTAGAGCTCAAGACCTCAGGAGCTACGTATCCTGGAGTTCCACATTTTGGAAATAAATATCTAATTTTGATTGATAATTATACTTATCAAGAAGTTCTGAAGTGGCAAGTCCAAAATCTACGAGAACTAATGATGTGTAATCATTCTTTCTAGAAAACATCAAATTATCTGGCTTTAAATCTCTATGAATAATCTAAAACGCTATATTAATTAAATACTCGATGAGAATGTAAAATTTTTAAATTACCTAACAGCTTCCTCATAATTGTCCTAACATTATTTATAGGTAGTCTTCTATTAGGCAAGGTCTATGTTTGACATTTAATTTTACCTTTGCTTTATCTAATTCTTCGCTAAGACTCAATCCCTCTAAATACGATGTAACTACATATAATGTATTGTCCCCCTCATATATTTCTTTAAAGACGAGAAAATTGTTTTCATATTATTATAATGCTCTGAGAATTTGAACTTCGGATTAAAAGGCACGCTAAATATGTTGAATTTATTTACGAGTCCATTTGCATTTTCGGAGATCTTAAGAAATGCTTTTTCTATGGCTTTTACAGCATATACTCTTTAATCTAATGCACTCCTTGCACTATATACCTAAAAATACACAAATAAACCATACCTTGGCAGAGCTTCCCTTTCCTATCTGAAATAGAGGCTAGTATAAATCTCCAATGCCTTCAAAAGTTACTCTTCCTGATAATAGTTCTTTGAATCTGAATTATAGAATTAACTTACTTAGATAGATCATCTGGTTGGGCATGAACAACCTTCCTTTTATTTTAATGATCAAACTCAAAGTAATCAAGTTCTTTTTTATTCTTTCGCAACTCCCAATTTATTTTTGTTTCAAGATTCAACTTTAGTTTGTATTTGGGGTTTTGACAATCTGAAGTCTATAACATTGTATTAAATTTCTACTGTCCCCATGGTGACCATATCTTCAAATACTGTTATATGATAAGTGACATCCTTAAAGAAGTGCTTACGAACACCTTCGAATTTGAATTTAGCTTCTTGGTAGTCAATTGAATCCATTTTAATAAGAGTTTGGTATTTTATAATAATTTATCCAAATTCATTAGAATAAATTTACTCATATACTAATACCCAATTAATTAAATATGATTAAACATTCCCACTTTTCATTAATTCTGAGAATTCAAAAAAACCAGAAATATAATTTACCTGAACCCTAAATCATATATTTATACATGAAGATTTTAAATTTAAACTTTAATATCCAAATACCATAATTAATATATAAATATTATTAATAATATACGGAAGAAAAACATTATATTCATTAAATGTATAAAATAATTTAAAAATTTGCACATAATATTTCCAATTTTATTTACACATTAATTAATTTTATTTTCCATAAAAATCTTTCGATTTTTCTATTTCTTTGTAGATATTAAGATTTAACTACGTTTTGCATTTTAATCTCTTACTTCAATATTACCATTTATCTCAAAAATCAATTTAATACAAAATTAGATCCTTTGTTTAATTTAGACTAAAAGACTTATTAGATTAATAAACTCTAGTGGAATAACCAAAATTAAAATAGTCTCTTTTAATATATACAATAATCTACTTTAAAATTAATTATATCTTATAAATTTTATCGGATTATTTTTTGGTATTAATAATTTCATAATTCAATCAAAATACAAATTAAATAGAGAATTAAATAAACCTAGGAATTAGAATTATCTTCATAATTTTTGGGACATGATACACAAGATTCATCTTTCCAATAATATCGAGCATCTGTTAACTTTGAACAGGTTTGATTGGTGAAATCTTTGGTGTCAATTCTATCAATACATGTTGGATTCGAATCATCCTTCCAATTGCAAAGAGTCAACACTCCCCAATAACCATCTTTTACATATTTGCACTAATCTTAAGATGTAATATCAGAGCATTTAAAAGATGAACAAATACCAATTGAGGTTTTACAATTTAATTTACTACAGATATCTAACGGTAACCCTTCACAAGAATTTATGCTATAGCTTTAACATTGTTTAGTTGAATTTAACCAACAGAATGTTTGCCCGTCTTCATAATTATTAGTGCAATTTTCAGCTGCTAATGAATTACAATCAACGGAAATATAGTTTTTACATTAATAAAATCCAGCGTCATTTTTTTTATTTTGAGCAGCACAATTTCCTTTTTTTATCATGCAATCAATTTCGTCTTTGACTTAATACTCCTAACAAAATTGAGTCGCTTCACATTTTCCTTCAGGATTAAGGCTACATTTCCCCATTAAGTCACATTCAATTTCATCAATATTAGAACAATCCTTTTGGACACAGAGATCATTAATCCAATCACAAGTTTCTATTCCTAAACAAACTACTTCATCTACAAATAATGAGCAATCACATTGGTATTTAGCAATAAGTGCTCCTAAAATATTAAATATGAAAATTTGTATGATTGAGATTAAATTTATCATATATTTATTAATTAAATTAAATACTGTCATATATTTTAGAATATTGCCAATCTGATTGCCATTATGGAGTTTAAATAATGCTTGTAATTCTAATAAATTATAAAAATATTTATTTATAATTAAATGCGAATTTAATATATAAAATAAAATTTTGATTACAAATTTGAAGTATCAATACTGTTGAAATTAGTATATAGATTTATTTGCAATAATGCTTCCAGACAAATTTACATATAAATATCTTTTTATCTTAATTTTTTCTTTCATGAAAAAGAATTATTTTTTTAGGAAGAATATCACACTATACTAATGTTGTTTTCATTCATATATTGAGAGTTTATTAATATATAATCTAAATGAAGTTATTTAGAATCGAGTGGTTTCAAGTTCAAAACATAATTAAATTAATTAATGGCATCGAATTCTATTCAACAATAGAAGGAATTGAAAATTTTCAATAATTAGTTTGTTGTCCTAAAGAAATTAAGTTCTGGATCATTCGGAGTTGTATTTTAAGGAGAAGACAAAAAAACAGGTGAATAAATTGCATTGAAGATTGAGAAAGAAGAGAGCGACGAAGCTAAGTCTTTAGATAGAGAAGTATATAAATTTTAGAATCCATAGCTTAGTCATAAATTTTATAGCGGTTGTAAGGTATAAAAGGAATTCCAAAATTGCATTGGTCTGGTTCAGAAGGACCTTATAATATTATGGTCATTTAATTGTTGGGAAGAGATTTGGCTTATTACGCAAAGCATCTAAAACGATTTCAATTGAAAACACTGATAATGTTAGCTGAGTAGATGATAACAATTTTGGAGCAATGTCATTTAAAGTATGATAATCAAAAATACTCATAGATCAATTGTTCATAGAGACATGAAACCAGAGAATGTACTCGTCGGGCGTGATCATAATGAAATATTTTTAGTTGATTTTGGAATTTCAAAGGTTTTTAAGGATGCTAATGGAAATCATGTGTATATAATAAAATTGAAATTATGATAGACCCTTCAGGGATGGAAAACCCTTTATAGGAACAACGCGATATGCTTCGATTGGTGCTCATAAGGGTTTTGAATTAGGAAGGGGAGATGATTTAGAATCTTTGGGATATATGCTGGTATTTTTATATAAAGGTTCGTTACCTTGGTAAAATTTATAAAATGTAAGTGATAAAGAGAAAACTAAAGTAGTTGGAAAAATGAAGATGTAAATCCTAATTGAAGAGTTGTGTAAAGACATGCCTAATGAATTTTCAAAGTACTTTGAATATGTTAAAAAATTGCAATTTAAATAAACACCTGACTATGAATATTTAAAATAATTGATGCGGAAATGCGCAAGTGATAACAAAATTGAATTAGATTATAAATATGAATGGGCATTATTGGAACGAAAGTCATCTGATGTAAATTATTTATCTAATTATTGAAAAGTAGTAATCCCAACACAACTCATAGAGAAATATTAAAAAGGATTCATCTCACAATGATCCAAATAAAAAATAAACCAAAAATAATATCAGTACATAAAGTAAGTTGAAACCAGAAATTGATAGTGAGAAAGTATCAAAATCGAAAAGTCCTGCTAAGAACACTAAAAGATAATCACTGATTCCAGAAATGCAATCATAAAATTAATCATAATCAAGTCAATTTGACTTTCTTCGACCTCCCGATCCTTATGCTAAGGCTAGAGCCATTATATAGAGAAGTCAGGAGAGACACAAATCTGTATCATCATTAGCACCATCATAATATAGCTAAGTGAATACAGTCCAATCTAGCATTGCAGGAAACTATTAAGCTAGTCACATAGATATGTTTGCAACTGACAGTCAATAATAATAATAATAAGAGACAACAGAGAAGAAGTAGGATATGATTCAAGCATAGAATTTTGGTTTTTAACCTTTGGAGAGTAATGATACGATTGCAATGCTAATAGGGGAGGATGAAGAAGGTCCTTGTTTCCAATACTAGGAACTGCTAGAAAAACAAGTTTAAGCGTAAATATACAGTTTATCATAAGGCAATTTAAAGAAATCCTAAGAAATGGGAATAAAAATAGGCGAAACAGGTGATTTTAATAATATATATTTAATATATCTATTATATCGTTCAATTCTTTTTTAATTCTGCAAAATATTGATGTAGCATAGCATCTTTTGGAGTGATTCTTTCTGCATGATCGTATAGTAACATTTTAGACAACAAATCAATGGCATCCAAACTACACAAATTAGCATTGTCTTAATTAACAAAGGATAGCCAATCTTGTTTCGGATAGCAAATAAATAGTATGAATTTTATACTTAAGTAAGAGTCCATTGTATGCATTATCCAATTTAATATTGTATTTTTTTATATATTATTTTAAACCATCTGTTCCTAAGACCTTAGCAATCTTTACTAATTGGTCATAATTATCATTCCCTTGGAAGAACGGTTCCTTTTTAAAAATCTAAAATTCACTATATCACTATACCATGGAAGCAAACATTGCACCAGTACTCCATATGTCCAAAGAATAATCATAATATAAATAGTCCACCAATAATTCTGGTCCTTTAAAATATCGTGATGCCACTCTAACATTATAATCTTGTGAGGGATGATAAAATTCTGCCAATCCCCAGTCTATAAGTTTCAAGGTTCTAGTTTTTGGATCGACAATAATATTTTATGGTTTCACATCTCTATGAAATATACCTCTTTAATGAGCATAATCTAAAGCCTATTTTAAGTTTTAGTTTACTTTTAACAATTCAAATAAATAATGCTTGATATCATTATCTGTTAATTTAGGGAACATGCTTCTAAAATCTGTATTCTCCATATAAGGGAAGATCTAGGTTAACTTGATTCTTTTACTAAAGTTGGGATTTTTAAATTTTCATCCCTGACCACATCATAAAGATCAATAATATTAGTGCCTCCTTTTAAGATTTAAAGAATGCGGATTTCTCTACGTATTTTTCTTTTTTTAACAGGTTTGAGCACTTTAAGTACTACCTTCATTCCATTCTTATTGTCTACTCCCTCAAAGACTTCGGAATATTTGCCTCTGCCAATTTTACAAAGTGCCTCATAAGGTTCTTCTGATCTGAGATATAAGAATTAAATTATACCCATATTCGATTTTAGCATTCTCATAGTCCCAATAAGATGGGGGTTGAGTCTGATTGAAGGTGGCATAATATTTAGGTTAAACAACAACAACTCCTTATTACTATTTCATTAATTAAATATAAAATGTAATATAAAATTTGCAAATCAAAATCACTTAGAAATCAATTCTTATATTTTACCTCTTAGCTCTTCCACTTGTCTGTATGTGCATCTATTTTATTTCTAATCAACCATCTAATCAATTTTTAGCATCTTTGAGAATTTCTTATAATCATTCATATTTTAGAGAGTACAATGACAGATAAGTAAGTAATTGCTAAGTTACTGACTCACAAAATAACTAAAATTATACTAGGAATTATAGATAAAAAGAGTACTTCTTCTGGTAAAAAAGCATCTAGATCTGAACTCTAAGTTGGAAACTCATTTTTCAATTCTTACAAGGCTTGTCTTAGATAGGATTGAGTAATGAAGTAGAAACTTTCAAATTCACTCAGGTCTTTATCAAATAAGGCCTCGAACTTCTTATCCTGAGGGAGACCTATATCAATTACACAAGGCGTTACTTTTGTTAACTATCATTTAATATGTCTTCTCGAAATATCGTTTATAGTTTTCGTTGTATTCTGCAATTGCTTAACTAAATTTCTAAAAGGATTCGGCTTTCCTATATATATCAAAATCCTCTAGTTAGAAGGTGTTATCTTTAGAGTTCTCCTTATCAATAATAGTGTGAAGCTTAGAAATTTTCATGGCGATGTTCTTAGCCATTAAGAATAGCAATTTCTCTTTTAAACCATTGGATAAAGTTAATTACCTTGAATTAATGATTTACTATGAGAATTTGTACAGAAACCTGCAATAATTAATTTAGGCAAATAAAATGTCATTATTTGACTTAAATTTCATAGGTGATTGAACTGGTGTAGTATTTTAAGAGACTTGAGTTTGCACATTGATAGATCGTCTAATTATAATTAATTAAATAAATACTCTTAAAGTACAGTGTTGTTTTTTTTGAAACTTCTTTTTTCAAGCTAATTCTCTTGAGTAATGGTTTTTCGTGATTCTGTAATTTGCTTTTGACTTTTGGACCTCATAGGATCAGAAGTTGGAGGTTCGATCACAGTTGTAGGTGGATGTGGTAGATGATACATTTCTGATGGACATCTCTTACTGACTTTACTATCATTATGAATTTGAGTCTTATATGTTATTCTTAAATACCTGACACTTAGGTCTAGATTGGAAATCTCTAATTCCCTGGCTTTATGATCGATCTTTATTGATGATAGGAGTTCTGGTGGCGGGTGTAGGAACATTGGATGATTGTTGTGTTTAGAGAGGGACTGGCTTATAAATGGGTGGGCAATATTGTGAATAAATTGGATGAGTTGCCATATCTTTGACTCTCATTCTCTGATTCTCATCTATACAAAGACATCTACGGATGAAGTCTTTGGAGGCATCTGAAATTGAAGGATGTGAAGGAATTACAAGATGATGATGCAGAATTGCTGTTAACAATCCTTATTCTGTCTGGGCTGTAAATGGTGTTTGTCCAAACAGCATCTCAAAAAACATTACACCCATAGCCCAGACATCTCCTTTTTCTGTGTGGCCTTGTTACCTCAAGGCTTACGGAGACATATAAAGGGGAGTTCCTACGTTATAATGTCTGCCCTATTGTTTGACTTCCATACTGTTTATTTAGACAGCAAAACCAAAATCCGCTATTTTCGGAGTTTGCTTCTCTATGAGAATGTTTGCTGGCTTAATGTCTCTGTGGATGTATCCTTTTTGATTAATCTCCAGTAGTCCTGTGATTATTTCATTCATGATTCGCAATACTTCAGGCTCATCTATTCTTCCTCTCTTTTTTATTACACCGCTCAGATCTCCAGAATCGCAATACTCTGTTATGATGTATGTATTATTCTGTGTTTAGAAAACATCATGCAATTTTAGTATGTTCTTTGAGTTAAATGATTTCAAAGCATTTATTTCATTCTTTAGCAAAGTGGCATGAATGCTCTGTTTAACCATCTTCATATCAATTACCTTGTCTTACAAATTTATATCATACTTTAACAGCCACTGTCATTTAAGTATTTTCATCTCTTCCTCTATAAACTTTGCTACTAAACCCTCTTCCTATTTCTTCATTCAGAGCGTAACTGTAATGATCGATTGCTTTACGAGTTTCAGGATAATAACAGCGATTGATTAACATTCAAATAATAAATTAACGACAACATTCATTTAATTATAATGCATAATATCTAAATTATTATAGTCATTCATATTATCTCTGCTCATCCCACTATTTAAACTAACACCTCAATCACCATTTTTAAATACCTTAAATTAATCTATTTAAAGAACTTATAAATAGATTTATTTTTATTAGAAAATCAACTATATTTTCTCTAAAGACCATCCTATTAAGAAGCTTATAAAGCCAAAAATCAATAATATTATCACTCATTATGGATTCTGAATCTGCATGAATATCAAATAACTGCAGAATGGAATAAAAGTTCGAAACTTGTTTTAAAAATTTAAACTTCCCTTGCAAATAAAATTAATTTAAGAACTATACTTTCAGCAAATGATCGATTAAATTGTCAAAAACCATCTGATGAAACTGAGCGGTAATTATCGGTCATTGTTGTTAAATCAATAGGCAATATTTAAATTTACTCTAAGCAAAAAATAACATTTATTGGTAGAGTACAAGGGCATTTTAAATGGATAATCTTAATCTGTAGGACTAGTTGGGTATTCAAAATTTTGAGAAATCTGATTTAAGAAATTTTAAATAATACTATTAAGCAATTGCATTGCATTTTGAATAAAATGATTTAAATAAAAATAACTACTAGTTCTATTGAAATAAAGTTCATTTAAGAGTTGATTTATGATAATACTCTAATTGAATTTAATAATTTTTAGAGAATTCATTTAAAATTTTTAATATAAACTAAAACTACAGAACTAACCTTAGGTAACACTTAACCTCCAAAATTTAAAACTCGAAAGAATTGTTGAAAATGAATATGAATTAAATGAATTTTATTTTATAAAATTCGAAGGAGGATTGTACGATGATATTTATATAAATATAAAAATAATAAGAGAACTTATTCATAATAATGGAATGAATACCGTTAGCTGAACCCTTTTAGCCAGCAATCTGCAAAGATGACTATTCCAATTTAAGTGGAATGTCTGATTCGCCTTCATTAAGGTTCAAATAATTTAGAAAAGGTATAATGATAAAAACAACTGATAATATATTTAAGATGGCAACATTAATATTTACATTATTATTGAAATATCATTCTATGCAGATTAATCTAACTTTTCATTTTCTTTTAGAAAATATATTATTATAATTGAAGCCATTAATCAATTCATTATAATGAAAAGGAACTTTATTATATGAAGAAAAGCTTCAAAATATCTGTTCTTTTTTGATTTTTACCTTAGCGAGATCACTTTTGATAATATTTAGATTTTTACGAATGTTAAATTTGAGATATCTATTTTTATACTATGCTTAGATTTAGATATTGTTTCATGGTTAATTCTAGATATGGCCATATTTTAAACAGAGTTTATTTATTTTAATAACCCTTCTAGTTAACCATTTCTTAGTGTGATCTCTGCATAATTATTTATTTAATTAAATTATGTAACCACAGCAGAGAATGGGGACAGCAGCCATGCGAGTACCAACTCGTATGACTACAGCTATGAGAGTAAATTTCAATCACTATTTCAATAGAATGATCCAAATTTCTAATCAGTAGCAAATACAACCAATTTAAAATTTGTGGATAGACCTGTTACATAGCATGGAATTATTGGAGTCAAACCTACGACAGCTGGACCTGGTCGACAAATATAAGATAAATCATATTATTTAAATCAATTGAGAGAGAAGCAGAAGGAAATATTTAATGAGATTGAAAGATTCAAAAAATAATAGGATGAAATTTAAAAAGCCAATACACTTTATGTTTAATTTGAAAGAAGGTATTATTTCTATTTACATCATAGACATGAAGAATTAACAAAGGAAGTCAGAGATCTAGAAGGCTAATTGGCTGATTATAATCTAGCATTCGATAAATGGAGAGCAAACACTAGACCAGAAGATATCAAAAACATATATGAAAGAATCAAAGTTTACTTATTGATTTATTGTAGATTCAAAATGAGAGACAAAGATCCCAATTGGATGATATCTTCATTGAAAGAAGAGGTTAGGAAGATTCAATTAATTAAATTGAAAATAGATTAAATGAATTATAATCATTGGCTGATATGAAATTACAAGAGTTGGATCCAGAATAAAGAAATGAATATATGAGTTTGATTAATGAAAATAAATCTCTTTAATAAGAAATTAACAATCAAAAAGCAGAATTAGAAGAATTAAATGCCAGAATGTAGAATGCAGATAATAGATTGAGAATGGATGCTTAGAAATTGAAGGGTTAAATGCTAAAAGAGTAAATCAATGAAATGGACTCTAAAAAAAATGATTTAGAAGTTCAATTAAATGAAGTCCAATCTAACATTCCCAGAAGCCAGAGATAGATTGTTAAACAAGATTAAAGATGACAACGCTTTTATTTAAAATTCAGAGAAAAGAGTACGAGAAATTAGAAGAAATATCGAAAATTATGAAAAAAGATTAAGAGAATTATAAACTGAATTGGAAGACAAGAAGTCGCAAGAACAAGACAAATAGAAATATGAAATATTATATTAAAGAGATCAAGAAATGACTGATTACATCAATAATTTTGATAAAACAAGATAATAAGAATTAGAAAAAGTGAATGCTGTAGAATAAGCTATCGTAGAATTACTAGGATAATCCTCAAGAATTGTTTAAGATATCAAGACTATACCATCCTTGACAGATTATGCTGGTCTATCTGCTGAAGTGGATTACAAAGATAACTAAGTCAAAGACTCTGAAATGACTCTAAAAAAGTTATAAGGAGTTTATGAACAGACAATCTAAGATTTAAAAAAGATTGAAAGAGCTGAAGAGTAATTACCAATTGAATTACAACAATACAAATAGAAATGTAAGTAGATGTAAGATGAAATCGATACGAAATTCAATAAAATTGATGAATATAAAGTTAAAGCTCAGGATAAAAAACTGAAACTTGAAAATCAAAAGAAGGACTTACTTAAACTTAAGGATGATTTTACTGCATAAGTAAATTTATAATTCAATTATTTAGAGTCAAAACATGAAACACGAATTTGATGTTACCATAACCTGGTAAAGACGTACACTATGCATGAATAATACAATACTTTTGGCTGATTTAGAAAAGAAGGTGTCTTAATTAGAATCACAAGCTAATACTTTCTAGATGTTTATTGAAACTAAATCAAAAGATATGAATTTCGAATAGTTAAAGAAAGAATGCATGGATCTAATGGATAAAATTAATAAGGTTCTGTGTAAGACTTGAAATCATTTATAAATATGGAATCAATATATATTCAAAATTAATATAAAAATGTAATCAAAACTATATCTCTCATGCTTTTTTGCAATGATTTTCTAAACTTATTTATACTTTATTTATAAGGAAAGAAAGTTTCAGATGCTATACTCTTCGTCACTGATCTAGCAGACTTTATTTAAGAGAGGCATTATTCTTATGGTTTTTATCCACTAAGCTGACAAAGGTAAGGAGAATTAATCAAAGAGGAGCCACAATTAAGTAAATTATACTCCTTTTTTAAGGGCTTTTATTCATCTCCTAAAGTTTTCAGAATCTTCATTGGCTAAAGTAGCAAATTAGAAAGGGAATTGTGATATTTGCTGTAGGCAATAGTTGGTAGTATGGCTGAGGATTATGTTTTGCTGTTGTTTAATTTTTATTATAAATAGAGTTTTACTGATAATCTCTATTTATGTTTCTAATCTATAATTTAAGCTTGAATAGATTAAACTTATTAATTAAAATTTCCTTTGTCATCATTAGGAATTTAAGAATTACTATATATAATTGGGTTGGCTATATGATGTGACTGGCCTGTAATAAAAGGTTAGTTTTCAAAAACCTTGGTTTTAAACCTAAATAGTCTTTTTGCTCTTTCTTATTATCTAATTTTTTTCCACTTCCTCAAGAGATACATTATGCAGAAAACTGCATTCTGGAATCTCTTTATTAGTCTTTGTTTTCTAATTACTGACATTTTGGTTGTGAAGCTTATAAACTTCTTTTATAGATGTTTAGTCTTCCTACTGTCAACTCCACAATCCAAGCAACAACAACTTTTATTATCTTGAAAGGACTCATTCAGTAATGTCTCAGTACTATATTTACAATATATTTTTCGATTACCTAGATGTAGTGGCTAAATCTAAATTTTTTAGAGAAGATGGTTTGCCCTTGAAAACAACAGGTTTCAGGGCTTTTGAATATATCTTTTCTTATATTTTGAGATTAAACTCCCTTTTCTTATTAGAAATTAAGGAAATTTTTAACTTTTATTGACTCTACTACTTACGAGTTTAATTCATTCCTTTTTTGAGATTATTAGCAAATATTTAATTATGGATAATAATATTGAAAAAGACCTACTTTTAAAATCCTAAACCCATGCGGATAGCTTACTTAAGATGGTAAAAAAACTCAAATCAGAAAATTAAGCTTTATTAACTTAAATCCAATAATTATAAAAACAATTAAGTATATTAGGGGACAACTCCTTATTTTAGAAGATTCAAAGCGAAAACCTAAAGCTAACTTAAGAAAATGAATAGTTGGTTGATAAATATAAAGAATTATAGTAATAAATTTATGATCTGAAACTTCAAAATGCTAATCTCTAATAACAATTAAATCAACCTAAACAAGGAATTCCAAAAATATCAAGCTCAATAACAAATGAAGAATTATATTCAAAATGTTTATAATTAGAGTTTTCATATAAAAAATCATAATAAGATAATGATCAATTAATTTAGAAAAATTCTCAATTAATGAATGAAAAAAATCAACTTTTTGAAGAATTATAAAAAGTGGAGGAACTTTATAAATAAGCAAAAAGCTAATCAAATTTATCTATGTCTATGTCCATGCAAACTATGGAATTATGTATAATTATTTCAAATATTATATTAGCACAATAAATAATTGCCTAAAATGACTACAATAAATCATAGATCATACATACCAAATAAAAGGACTGTGTAAAACTTATATAAGAATTTTATATAATTTCTGTGCCAATCACTTCAATAAAATATTAAAATCCTGAACCTATGGTCCTATTTAAACATCCAATTTAATGTGATTAAGAGCTTAAGACTCTATTTCAAGTTTTGCCTTTGTTTGCATTTCCAAGGGGGATTAAATGCTAGACAACTCAATAAGCCAAAAAAGATATTTTAAGGTATAATAAATAATCATTAGAGTTTTGTAGGATGAATAATTATTGGATTTTTCAATTTAAGTTTTTACTCCAAATAAAGATTCTGGAAAGGATATTAAAAATGAATTCATCCAAAACACAAATCCCGATCAACTTCTTTATGCTGTCATTGTATCATCACCTGACTTTATTGCAGATAAAAAGTTAACCAATTCACATGAATTAGTATAGTAAAAGAAATTAGGAAACCCAGCCTAGAACATTTATTTATCTAATGTAGCTTTTGTCATATTGACCTATTATCCATACCATAAGTTATTCTATTAAATTGTAAAAAATATAATAACAACCTTAAAATATGAAAGAAATCAACTATCCAAACAAGCCTTTGATTAAGAATATGATTTGAGATCAATAGATTAGTATTATTTTACTAATCACGAAAATGAAATTAGGAAATATTTAGATTAAGTACAACAACTAACTCTCACTAAAATAATACAACCTATAAAATTATTTGATAACACAGAGTTTATACAAAATACTTAGTTGAGTCCAATTTTATATAATTTTGAATTGGCCCCTAATAATCTATTGTAAGGATGGTCAGCTTCTAATTTTGTCTTGGCATTTTAAGCAGTTATATTGGAATCTAAAGTAGCCATCATAAATCGATCATAAAAGTATATTGCTTATTTAATGATTTTGCTATCATTCTGTATCAAACCCTTAAATTATTTTCATCCTTTCATATTGGATGTACCAGAAAAATTAATGCCACTTTTAGATGCACCAGTCCCAGTATTTTTAGGGTTATAAATGGAAGAATTCCGATAATTCAATGATGACGTTGTTTATGTTAACACAATTTCTTCTAATGTGGAGATAGAAAATGTAGAAAGATTAAAAAGTAATTTGTTAATTGAATTGGAAAATCAGATAAAACCAGTTTTATGCAACTCCAATATAATTTTAATTAAAAAAATTGAATAGCTGTTGAATATTTTCAAAGATTTCATGAATTAGGCATTAAATAGAATTAAGAGTAAATAAGCAAAAGATTTATTTTTACAAAAGATTGAAGAGACTTAAATTTATTAAATGTATAAATGATTTTAACATTTGCAAATTAGTTAAATTAATAATTAATATTAATGGGTTTATGTTCTTCATCTTAACAGAAATAGCCAAGACCATTAATTAGATTGGTGAAAGTTGAGATAGACAGCAAGAACGATGATTATTAGTAAACTTTAGATCTTTGGAGAACCATTGATAATTAAATACTCTAGTTAAACAATAGTCACTAAATTTCACCAAAGTTATTAAGTTAAATTGAATAGATTAACACTTTTTTAATATTAAACTAAGGACAGAACTTAAAAAAAAACTTATAGACCTTTTTTAAACTATTTGATGATTTTTAAATTTCATTTACATAGGAAATAATGTAAAATGAATCAATTTGGGTAAATCATTCATAAATATTCAAAAATCTTGATTTATTATGTGAAAATTTTGCCGATATTGGTTTTTGTTCAAAAGGTATATAATGAAGATAATATATTAGTTTAAACTTAGTCCTTAACTAAATATTGATAAAACTGAGATAAATTTATTTGTGTATAATGATCATCAATTTTATTTCTTTTTCTTACTTGTGTTGATTCTGAGAGGAAAATCATAAAAGGGCTGCAAAGCAGAGGATTTTAATAAAGCAGTCTCATAGTTTTTAACGCTTTTATTTTTTCTGAGAGCAGTTTATTTGGGAGAAACAAAACCACTAAAGATAATATCACATTATTTTTAGGTTCTACATTTTTATTATTTTAATCTTAGTGAGCTTATAGAATCTAATAAAAGGGAAAATTTACTTGTTGATTCAGAATATCTACCCATATCACTTAAGATGTGACCAGACTCAATAATCCTTTACTTATTATTGCGCTAAGACTTCATCTCTTGCACCTTTGTCTTCGGTGTAGAGTAACCTTTAATTAGCAAAGGCTTAATCCTATATCTTCTGTGTTGTTCATAATATCTATTTACTGACTTTTACACATGGGAATTTTAATCCATCAGTTCTTTAATCAATTTTTCATATCTTTAAGTTATAATTTCGACAGTACTTTCAACTGGAATATATACTGATTAAGTATTATCAGCTGATTTATCTTTTAACCTTGTTATGCTACTTATTAAGCTTATAAATCCTATTAATTATTAAAAGAAAAGTTACCTCCTCCCTATAAATACAATATCTTTGTGTTATCATCAATGGATAATACATCATACACATTTCTATTACTATGTCTACTGACTGTATAGCAATATTTAGTATGTAGATCATTTAAATATCTTAGTCCATACACTCCGAGAATCAATGGCTCAATGTAAAATTTCTCATTTCTATTGCATCGGTCTTCTCTTGATTTTATATTGGTTAATACTATTCATAATTTAGCAGATGTGAAAGCTCTTGTTTTAACTTTTATCGCTGAAAATTGATTATAAATTTCAAAATTCCCACTAATGGTTCATGAATTATTTATTGAATCGTTGTTCTTAGATTTGGTTAATTAACAATATCCTAACATAATTATTACCCCTATTTAGGAAAATATATCTAACACATAAAAATATAGAGTACTTATGTCTTCACTAAATAATATTGAGCTATCTTTATGTATTTTTATATAATTTTTGGGAGGAATAGTTTGCGATAACCTTCCCCTAAATGTTTATATAGATGATTTTCAAGGTTTTCTCTTTTCTATTCTCCTCTATAGATCTCATCTGACAATTCCCTCAATATTCCTATTTTAGTTCGATTATCTTCGTGCATCTAATGACCAATTATTCTTATCATAAATATCACTTCTTCTCGAGCTGCCAAAATACTTAAAAATAACTATAAAGGATTCTATTACATTTAATTAATATGAATAATTATTACTTAATTAAGCTTCATTTTTAACTAATAGATTATTACAACTTTTGATTTCTGAAAACTTAAAAAAATTCACATTTGGACTAAATGGACAATCAAGAATATTCAAGTCTTTAATTTATAGAGGTCATTTTTTAAAATACTAGTAATCCAGAATATTAAATAATGTCATTCAGAGAGAAACATGTAAATTAATATCAAGTTTAGAATTGATAAAATTATTTTAGCAAATTCATAGATATTTTAACATTTTAGATTGAAAAGAATGAATAATTTATTGTTGTATTAAACATAAATTAATATTAATTAGAACTTTATACGTTATGCCTATTATATATTAATAAATGTAAATTAATATATCAGAATCTAAAATGCTTCGATTGAATAAATTTCTTCATTTTTACCTTATGTTAGTTTCATTTACTTTGATGAAAATTTCTTCTATTTGAGATTATTGTATTTAGATAACATAATTATTCATAACAAAAATAGTAATTGTAAAATTATTTTAATTGGCTTTCATAAATTATACAATCTTTAATAGTTAAAAAGAGTAATTATGTAATGGCGCTGTCCTTTTCACAACTTATTTAGAAAATATTGTCATTCCACACTTTAAATGAAACGAGACTTTATTTATTCTAGTTTTCATCTTAAAGCCAAATAAATATTAGTTCTAGATAAAATATAACTTAATAGGATATGAATTGAATATTAAATGCTTCAGTGTTTAATAAATATAACAAAAACTTATTCCTATTTCGAGAATTAATTAGTTTGAAATAGAAAATGATATAAATCTAATTTTGAGAATAGATGAAATATATTTATAATATAGAATTGGAAATTTTAATCAAATATTCTATTTACTATTTATTTTGTTCTTTATTGCTTAAGTGAGCTCATTAAAATTGTACTAACAGGTAAACTTTATATCTAAAAATAATTCTGAAAGACTTATTTAGGCTTCTAAAAGTACTTATTGGAGTAGATATGCAAATTCATCTTTACATTTCTGAAGAACTTCATAATTTACATCGATTTTTAGTGGAAATACATCTCTTATAATTGATGAAATAGTTTCATATTAATAATCCGAAAAAGAATCTGAATTTAAACCCTAATTAATTAATAGATCATTAATTTCTTTGTCTTTTAAAAATGGCATTTTTTTTGATACAAAATCATTGAGATAAATAGTCTTAAGTTTTTGTTCATTTTTAGAACATTTATTTAGAGGCTATTCCAAAACTTTATAGGTTTGACTTATTTTTTTTGAGATTGATTCAATGGTATTAGAAACATACTTTTTAGATTCATTACTTATTTAAATAGCTTAGTAAATTTGGTCATAAAATATTTCTAAATTGAATAAAGGTATTTTCTGAGCAAATTCATCTTAAATAAACTAAAATAAATTATAAATTAGTACTAATCCTTTATTAGAATCGATTAATAGTATTAATTAATATTTCATCTTTTCTATTTCTTAATAAATAATTTATTAAGATTCCTAAATCTTTGTTTCAAATTTTTTATAGTTTTAAAGGAATTAATTTTGATATTTTTAGAGTTTTTTGTAACCTTAATAAGTTTTGTTACTAAATTCAATTTTTAGTTAACCAGAAGGTGTAGATACTTAAGGTAATTAAAATTTTCTAATATTTTTCTCACTTTATGTATAATGGCTAAAACTTTTCAGATGGAGTTCATTAGCCTTGTTATCGTTTAAAAACAACACAAAATAATCAAGACACCTTGTTTTTGGTTTGCTATAGTAAATATTTAAGGCATTCTTGAATTATTAAATTGATTCTTACCTCTAAATGTAATTGAAAATCCTATTTTTGATCATATTAAAGTATATATCCAGAATACTCTGGGAAATACATTAGCATTATTTTTTCCAAAGTCTAAAAATCTTCCTTTGATCTTTCGACCTTCCAATTAAATGGTTGAGTCTCAATACAAAATACCTAATTTGTAAAAATTAGTTTTTTAGTATTTATAGTCGTAACTTTAAAATTAAGTTTTACATTCTCTTCAATATACTATCTTTTCTTTTGGCATTCATATTATTTCTCATATTCAGAAAATACAATTTAATTTTCCTATGCTTAGAGTAAAATTTTACAAATTAAATTTAACACCTCTCCTTTTAAATCTAATCTAGAATTTACATTTAAATTTCGCTAAAGCCCTTTTATTATGCTTATTCCTTAGTTATTGAATTAACAAAAACTGATTTAGATGTTGATCTTTTAGGAATTAATCTACTTTGTTTCTAAACGTGAGTCTCAACTTTATCATCTTTTTTTAAATTTTGATCTTAATTTTATTAATTGTTCTATAATCTAAGATATATTTACTTTATCTAACTATTCTTGAGGATTTAGCTAATCTTAATTACCTGCCTTTTGATTTTATAATTATTAATATTGTTGGACTAATTAATTTAAATCATCAAAATTCCACTTATACAATTCATCTTTAAAATTAAACAAAAATTTACCCTTTTCAGGAAATCTTTCAAAAGCAAAGCCTTAGAAATCATCCTCGCTATACTATTTATTTATAATTTCATTGATGAGCAAATCTTGCATCTTCTTAAGATTTTAATCCATATTCAAATTTTATAATTTATTTATTAATAAATATCATAAAATAGAATTAAAATTAATAAATTCAATTCAATTTTTCTTTTACCATCTCATATTTATAAACTAAATCCTACCATTGCTCACACTAATTATTAAAAAATCTTATACATATTTTTGACAGAGTTTCTACTTTGAAGAAAGAAATCCCCCAAAGGTTGTAACCACTTTAAGCTTATCAACTCTAAATTACTCATCTATAGTCTTCGAATATTCTTATAGCATATAAACTAACTGATCTTGAAGTTATTAATTTTACTGAGTTTCTTGAACATTAAGGAACCCTTTCAAGTATTCAGAATCAGTTAATAATTTATCACATTCTGATTAATCAAATTTATTTTATGATATTATTTTTTAAATTAATGTTTTCAAATCGCTATTTCTAATTAGATCATCCTTTTTTTTATTTAGTATATTATAATCTTAGACAAACTTACTTCTAATATCATACACATTTTCATATAATCTAATAAAAGACTTATGACTTCTTAATAATTTTGCAAATGTTTATTTTAAATTTTTATCAAGTAATGTACAGGAATCATTTATTTCTTATGTAATTTAATTAAAATGATCATTTGTCAAATTGATGTACTCAATAAGTCTACTTTGTTCAGGATATTTTGGTAAAGTACTTGTTAATTCAATCAAATTTTAAGTAGCATTTCCTAAAAATTCTTACGACTTTTTTTGGTAAGCGCAAAATTCATTGATGTTACAGATAATTTCGTTGAGAAGATTAATCGCAGTGGTTGGATAAGATGATTAATCTAAAAATTTTTTATATCCATCAAAAGTTAAAGAAACTTTAATGTCTCCTGTTTTTGTCTATTTTTATTGTAATTTATATCTCTTTTCTTTTTATAATTCTTCTTTTAGTTTTTTTTAAAGTAATTATTAATTGTCTTCGTTTATAAACCATAAACAAGGCTATATTGTTCTAATTATAGGGATTTAATTATAAAGTAAGAGTAAATTCTAACATTTTATAACAATTTACTTTTATTGAAAGAATGATGTTCTCCATCATTGGTTGCATTTCATCCAATTTAGTTAATTCTCCATAAGGAAATCTAGGAATCTATTTATAGATTAATATCATACTATTTTTTCAGGAAAATATTGACAAATAACATTTCTCAGATCATTAAATTCTTATAATGTTCTTGATACCTTAAATTGCATTGGAAACGTCTAGATTGAAAAAACAACAAAATTTTTCTAAGTGATAAAAGACCATAATCCTGAAGCTCTTACTTCCTAAGGACTAAATTATCATTTTTGTTTACTGTGAAATCTAAAATTATAACTCGACATCCTTTTCAATGAGGTATTTCTCTTACTAACACTTTATAACTTTTTCATATGGATCCAAAGAGATATTGTCCTACATAGTTTATCAATTATACAATATAGATTTTATGTTAAATTGAAACAATTACTGAGTATAATTTCTCATCAATATTTTAGAATCCATAAATTTCTCCTTCTTATTTTGGAGTTTGCTTTAAAGTGTTTTTTGAAGTTTAAAAGTTCTCAATACACAACTTTAAGTCTTCATAATTCCACTTTGAAAGATCATCTAAGATCAAATTTTAAATTTACCCTTATCTGGTGCTTAGACTTAAACATACTACTCAAAGTCTTCTTGACTATATTGTTTATTTATGATTTCTTCAATTAAAAGTTTCTATAATATTTCAATATTGTTCATTATTATTAAGAGTTATTTAATTAATTGTTAATGGAGGTACTTATATCAGTTGATGTATGAAGTATAGATTGAGCAAGAGTAGACAGTAGTAATACGAGAAACCAATAAAAAAAGAGAACAATTCCGACATGATTTGAGAAGGAAAGCTTTAAATGAATAATTCAAAGTAAAAATCATATTCTAAATAAAAGAAGAAGAGAACACCTAAAAAAGAACTAGATATGCTAAATTTACTTAAAAAACTTAGGAGCAATGAATCTGAACTAGTATTAAATAAATTTATTGTTTTAGTGTAGAGTATTAAGATTAATGTAAGAAGCAAATCTTGAAGAAAATGAAGATATAGCAATGTTTTTGCGTGAGTTAATGTAAGAGAATTTGAATTAGGAGATAAGATTATTGTGTAAATAATTAATAAATCTTAAATTCTGTTGCATACCTTAACATTTAATGAAAAATCGATAACAATATTGAATGATTTGTATATATATAGCACTTATAAATATTATATTTTGAATCCATAAAAATATGGATTCAAGTGCCGACTAAAACCAACTAATAATCTAGATAAATTGAACCTAATAGAAAAAGAGCACATTTTTTCAAAGTTAAATTATTATGAAATTTAATCACAGGTGCAAATTTGTATTTAAAAATACTAATTAAATATTTATAGAAGACTTACATAATCATTTAGAAAAGGAATTTAAAATTAAATTAACAATCAAGATATATTAGTTCCACTCAAACAATGAAATTCAATTAATTTGTATATTATAATATTATTTTTAAAACCATTTCATCAGAGGTTTACAATATTCGTATTCTTGCTTAAGTTTTAATTTAAAATGAACATTAATATAAATTAATAAAATATTAATTAAAATGTAAAGTATAAATAACAATTTGTTCATTTTTAAAGAAGATCACTTTATATTATGGTTCGATTTGATTTTAAACTATTAATTTTATGATAAAAATTCAATTTTTCGATTTTAATGTCCTTACTATTTTATATAGTTCGATATATTTTATTAAGCAAATAAAAGAAAAAGCTAGAACTATTGAAAATACGATAATGAATCAGAAAAATGTTTCTTTTTCAAAAGAGTATTAGCTTTTAAATGGTTCCAGCTTCCTATAATTAAGAATATTAAGATTCAGCTTAGTTTAAAAATTTAATTTTGAAATGTATAAATGCATCATCTCTTATATATTCAAGCCCAAGAATAATCATACTTTTACTATAACTCAAAATCAAATTTCTTAATCAATTATTTTTTATCCTTCCTCGTTTACATCTATTGTTGTTGATTTGATATCACTGTAATTTTATTGACAGACATTTATTAAAGGAATTTAGACTCAGAAATTGATTATTAAACTTAGTATTATTTCAAAATTCTCTCCTTTTAAACTAATAATATTTTGATGATTTACTTTTATAAGAAGTTTCAGTTTAACATGTATCACAAAATGGTATTTTGAATATGCCTTTTAAGACACAATAGTCATGGAAAACATGTGAACAGGTAAAAGCAATAGCAAGTTCAGAGTCGACTATGTGGTTCTAACATCTTTGGCAAATATGATTGCAGATCCATGCACTTTACTAAAACTTAATGAATTATTACATTAATCTCTTTCAACTATTATATGATCTGATATTTCTCATTACTCTAAATTAATGAGGTTTCTTTTAGTGTTCTTAAATCATCATGAAACTTACTCACAACTCTATAAATAGTTTATCTGAAAACAGATACTGGCAATTCAGGATATTTTTGATTTAATAGATCAAATATTTATGAAACTTGGACTCTATCGCTAATTCTTGCTAAGTATTCACTTAAATAAAGGCTTAATAGATCTTTTACACTTTAAGGGATATTTGGCATGATGAATGTTCTTATTTTATTTTAATTTATGTATAAATCTACGAAATACATCCATAAATTCTAATCATCATCATAGATATTTTAATTTTATTTTAAATCTTCTAAGATTAATTAAATAATTGTTTCTAATTTGTATTTCAATTTTTCTGTGCAAATACTATCTAGAGTTTATTTTTTCATTAACAAAACTATTGATTTTTTGATTTTCTTTAAAAATGAATTGATATATATATCCAAAGCTTATTTTATAGATCCACTAATTTAATGGATATAAGCAGCTGCCTAATTGATTTTGAATTCCTTTGTCAATTTCAAAGCTTCATCCAATGGAAAACTCATACTTTTAATAGCCTACAACACTTATTTAGGTTAAGTTTCACATAACCTTTTAAGATAGAGTATTTTGGTTTAATCATTAATTAAAAACACTTTTTAAGATTAAAATAAGTAGGATATAAAATTAGCAAAGTATTTTTAATCTTCAAAATCTTTTTAAAAACAAGTCAAAATTTAAAAGTGTTTCTAATGAAAATACTTTTCAATTAACTTATATGTTTACTATTCATCTATTGTAATTAAATACTTCAAAATTTCTAGAATAAAATCATCATTTTGTTAATTCAAAATCATTGGCCTTAATTCAACCAATTATTAAATCCATGGAAATATAAGTTCTCTGATTTAAGAGTTAACATTTTTAAAAGCCTCAAATGCTTTTTGATATTGTTATTATTGAGAATATATAAACACTAAAGCCAGAGAAAATTTCTTGACAATTGAAGCTGAAAACTCTAAATCTGACAATTGCCTTTCTGTAAGTTTTTTTGACATCATGACTCGGATGATAAATTGATTAACTAATAATACATCATTATTTAATGATAATAAAAACTCGTAGTTCCTACATAACGTATAGATTGTGTCATATGCCACTTAAGATGAAAAAGGAAACTTTTGTATTAATAGTTTGGCTGTTAAATAAGATATCCAAATATCTGATTTATTAAACTCTAATTTTCTAACTGATAAATACATTTTTCTATGAACAGAGCTTCGTACATTAATTTCGTCAAAATCAAAAAGAAAACCTTCAGTCTCATCTACCTGTACTTTTAATACAATCTCTGCTCTACTATCCTCAATACAAGCTTATGCTTTGCCAATATAAAATTAATATATTATATCAAATGCTTCTTTTGGATCTTTATTAATAAATTTTAATAAATTTTCGCTCACAAAAAGAAACTAAATCAAACTACGTAAAGCATTAGCAAATTCTTCATCAGTCAAATTCTTTCCTTCAAAAGACCTGCCTTCCAATATACTCAATATATATTTCTGGCATTCATTTTATAATTTTTCACCTCCAAACAATTTAACAAGTGGAGTGACGAAATCTTGGGATATTTAACAAACGTAGATCATTTCATTATACATTTTCATCTATTCACAGCAAGAAATTAATATAGCACTTGATATTCTACTAAAATCAGTTGAGCAAACTAAATGATGTACCATCTCAACATTTTGTTAATTTTAATACATTTTGCATAATTCATATAATTACTAATCTGGTATATAAGGAATTTAATGCTATCGAAGTAAACTTTCAATTGTCTATAAAAATACTTCTTTGCATCCTAAATCAGAAGCAACATCACTAATGATTGTGAATAAATAATGTTCTAATTTGGCTTTGATTAAAAACTTAACAATCTCAGATAAAGATTAAACTGTTAAGTTTTGCTATTTACCCAAAAACAAGCATTCAGTAAATGCTAATTTCTAGAGTAATTCTGATAATTAATCTGAAGGTGCAACTTTGATCAGTAACAAATCTCCATTCATAATCCTAATGGCATTTTGCATAGCCTTCCTAAATTCTAATTGATCAGCTTGATTTTATAATAAGGTTCTACAATCTTAGAGAGACAAGAATTCAAATGTGTCTTCAGTTAAGCCTAACATAAAATGGCCATTGAATTTTTTGATTTTCAAAGATTGATTGAAATAGTTCAACTTATTTTCGCATTTCTTGAATTCAGTTGCATGCACTAAAGCAAACCCATCATCAAATAAAACCACAAATATATCAGAATCGCAGCATTCCAATCCATTTATTTTTTTATCAGTTTCCAATTGTTTAACTCCGATTTCATCAACTGTGATTGCACCTCCCTAAATTTCGTACATAAATAAATGGATGACATTGCCATAGCTACAACAGAAGGAATTTCTAATTTAACTGTTGCTATCCTAACAAGTCGATAGACATGCCCATCCAGCATCTAATTGATCATTCTACAAATTATACAATTAAATAGGTGCTTCTTTGTTAATTTTGTTAACTCTAATAATTGAAATTCGATTGTGCATTTGATATAATAGGAATGCATAATTTTCATTACTACCTTGCATAACTAGCAATTCATAAAGAATGCTGAATCCTGGAGAGACAAAATTTTTTTCTTTTTAATCTATAATTTACCCATTTGAAGTTATCTCTTGGGTTGAAAATTGTACATTTCTTTTATTGAAGAGCTTAAAGATGTTACATTTGATTTTAGTGGAATTGCCCTTGAGGTCAGCTATCACAATTTCATACCAATCTAAAAGTTTTTAAGATTCATGTATCACTCTGAGAAATGAAAAAGGAACTTAAACTTATCCTAATTTATGGGTTCCAATAATTGAAAAATCCTTTGAGATTTCAATTAATAAAATATGTTCTAGCTATCCAATAAAGAGACAATCTTCAGTTTCTTAGATCACAAGTGAATTTTATATATCGAGCTTCTGAATCAATTTAATTTCACTCCTGAGATCAAAAACTTAGACTCTTTTCTGACTGCCCAGGTATACGAATCTGTTTGAGCAATGCATAATGTTGATATATTCTTGAAAGGGTAACTTAACAGATTGCTTGACAATTATCGGATTAACAAATTCATTTTCGAATTAATATTCTTATAGCGGATGTTTAATAATTTCTTGATATGTGACTTAAGGATGTGAATTTAAGAATTGATGAAATTATTCAAAGTTTTTGTATTCTACAAATTTAAACATAAAATTTTTATAAATAAAAAATATTAAGCATCTTAAATCAATTAAGAATTTTGTGTTCGAAACTTAAATATATTATATGATACAAATATTGGATTACTCATTTTCTGTTGTATCACTATGTTCATGAGTGTCTAAGATATTTAATTAAAACCACAACCATTTAATAATTATTTAAATTATTTAATTAGTAAAAATGTAGTTAAGGTAATTGGATGAAGACGACGAGGAAGAAACATATTTTTTCTGCTTTAAAATAAAGCGAAATAAATAACCAAGTCGAAGTTCGAAGACCTCATAAAATGACAAAATGAGCATGTAGTATTTATCCTTTGATCATCATATTGAAGAATCCAGAGGATAAATAATCGAGGATTCAAAATATAAATTGACAGACTCTGTCTTAAAGATCTCCGACTACCCAAAAAACAAATTATTTTTCTTAAGGAATAAGGCTAGTAAGGAAGAAATCATAGCCAAAATTACAGAAAAGAGATTTAATACAAATGATTTGTCTAGCTCTACTCTGAGTTTGGATTCTTCAAAATCACCAATACAAGAGCAATTACAAAAGATCGAACATACGCCTGATAATATTGCTCGATATATAGCAAAGAGAATGAAAGAATTTGTTATCATTACTGATTTAGGTTGTGGGACTGGAGGTAATACGGTTCAATTGGCAAAGGAATGCCACTATGTAATTGGAGTGGAAATAGATAGTAAATTCATAGAGTTGGCGAAGAAGAACTGTCAAAACTCAATTGTTAATGTCGACCTAATTAATGCTGATATATTTACTTTGAATAACTTATAGACTGATGTAATATTTGTTAATCCGAGTTTGAATCCTGAAGCATTGTATTCCAAAGATTAAATAAAAAACTGCAATCCTGACATCAAGAAAATATTATTGAATCATTAGAAGAATACGAAGAACTTTGTTTTTCAATTGCCTCCTCAAATTGATATTTCTCAATTACCTTTGTTGCTTAATATTAATTCTCAATTTGCTTATTTTAGATAAAATTTCCCCTCATTTTTGAGCATCGAAGTTGAATAGATAATTCTGAATAACCAACTTGAATATATAGTAGTGTATTGTGGAGATGTGTCTGATGTATTTATTGATCATCTAAACTTATTTAGATTAAATAATCAGAGATAATTAAATTTCTTACTAAATAATTTCGCAAAGCACAACCTGATTTCAATTCGATCCAGAAACAGCATTTATTCTGGCTCTTTGAGTTGATATTTAGACACATAGGAATTTAACATCTTACTTATAGAACAGTAGAGGCAATTAAGCAAAAAAAATCAATAGAAAACTTTTGTAAATTTATCTAACAACAATTTTAAATTCAATAAGATCTCTACTAAACTTATATTAATCAGTAAGTGTTTATTTAACTTAAGCAATAAAAATATTAAAGATGATATTTACTCAGCATAAAAACAAGATATTGATCAACAAGATATCGATAATATGAGTCCTAGCAATTTTTCATATAAATAAATTGAAGTAGCTAATATGAACTATTCTTATACTAATGAAAATGTATTTGATGATGAGGAAGTAGAAACACAAAACTCATTTGTGATGAATTTTAAGCATTGAGATCATAACATATAAATTGACTTTTAAATTTAAATTATAACAATGATTATGTATTTCTTAGCTTGTTAATAACGAAAAGGAATTGATGATATAATTATGCGTATAATTAAAGAGATTTTATATTCTTTTGCTTTCAATCGCACATAGCAATATCACGAATTGTAAACTTTCCATCCTCATTGCTTTTCGCAATTCTTAAGTATTTTTCTATTTTCTAAACTAAATAAAATCATCTTACTTATCTACAAATATAACAATTTTTCTATTTCTCCAACCACTTAATAATGCATTCCTCGCACAATCCCCCATGTTGACATGGCAATAATACAATATTAGGTTCTACATCATAGCAGATTTGACATTTTTCTTCAATTTGTTTAATTAATTCTAATTCCCTTTCAGCCGCAGGAGATTATAATTGCTCAGTCTTTCCAACAAATTCAAATGCCTTTAATTTTGTTTTCTAATGAATCACTGACTGATTGCTATGATTCACAGAGATTACATTCTTCTAATAGCGGATGATGTCAAAATAGGTCGATGAAATTTGGACAATTTTGTAAGGAATGTCAACTTACCTGAACTTTTGAGGCTACCTGGTCTCATTTTTTTCATTAGTTGTATTATACCTGATTTCAATGATATATTATCTCTAAATACTTGAGATTATTACTTAATGTAGGAAAAAAACAGTAGCAATCCTAATAGTATTATACCATTGTAAACAATTAGTACAAAAAATAGAGTTTGAGTTGTGTTTGAATAGTTGGCTTCTTCATGCCAACTTACTTCTAAGAGAAACCACATGGGCAAGATTGAAAATGAATTCATGTAAAATGACAACCATAGACCTCCTATCACTGTTGTTATAATGTAAATGTACATTGCGATTTTGTTGTGCGATTTCTAACGTAATCCATAATGGTTTCCCCCATAGAGAGCAGAAACACAAAATACACAATGAAGGAAATTATCAACAATCCCCAGGATATGCTGAATACACTGTACCAATTCCAAGTTATAGCTTTTGTTCGCTTCATTGTTATCAACATGATTTGCAATACAAATAGCAATTTGATTCCTTAAACAATCTCTTATTTATATAAATGTTTACAAATGAATATTATGATATTTATTAATTGTTTGATATTTTACGAACATTCTATACAAGTACTCTAATGAAATAGTATGCCATAATTGCATAGCTAAAATACTAAATTTAGAATTGCTAATAATATTTAACATTAATCAGAAGTAATAATTTGAGTGCACTTCCAATCAAAGTATCCATAATTAAATTATTTACAATTGCTTTAAATCTACATTAAAAATAATGTACTTTATTTTCAATAATCCCAAAGCTGTCAACATAAAAATATCAAGCATCCAGTATTATGACATCAAATACAAAGGATCAAATTTCCAAATGAGATAGGAAAGATATATAATCTGATATGACTACGATATTTGTTACAGAAACATCAACTACCATATTTTCATATTAACATTGTTTGAGTGCTCATCTCTCATGATTTTATAATTATTAATTAAAATTGTATAAAAATACTATAATAAATTGATTTTGTTAACAAATCGAAACCAATCTTGTTCTCCAAAAGAATTCTTAATTTATTCAATAGACTATTTATTATTTTGAAATTTCGTTCTGTATTTAATTGAACAAATATTTTCAATAAATTATAGGATTAATATAATGGACAAGTTTATTCGATTCTTAGATAATTGATTATATTTTGTTATGTAATTCTGTTTATTTATACATTATCAAAATAATTTTGCTTCATTTCTTAATTTCTGTATGAGCACATCTACATTTTCTACAATAGCTCCTCCTTTTCTTATAGCAGGAGCCTCAGTTTTAGTGATTTGGATGGAATTATGCAATTTGCCCAATTTGTCAAGTGGGATAGTTTCTAATGGTTTTGATTTGGCCTGAATGTAATATATAAAGTAATTACTTTCATGATATTTGGAACACTGGCGAATCTTGGTTGATTGAGTCTTAAATCACATGTTATCACTCCAGGTAACTTGAATTTGACAGTCTATAATCCTCCATCAATTTCTCTGATCACCTAAGCAATGCCATCGGTAATTTAGATATTGGAAGCAAATGTTGCTTATGGCCAATCCAATAGTCCAGCTAACATTTAACCAGTTTAATTAAAATCATCGTCTATTGATTATTTGCCCATTAAGACAAGATTATAACTAAAATTACATATTGATTTACTTATCTCTTTCAACTAATTTGGCTAAGATGTTGGCTACATCCAATGGCTACACAGCTTAATCAATTCTTGCCTCAGTTGTGACATGAATGGCTTTATCAGCCCCCAAAGCAAGAGCATGTCTTAAACTCTCTGCTCCTTATTTTGGCCCAATGGTGACTGCAACAATTTCAGCGATCAATTTCTTCTCCTTCAATCTGACAGCTTCCTCTACTGCTATTTCACAGAAGGGATTAATTGTCATCTTAACACCTTAAAGGTCTATGCCATCTGGCTTGACTCTAACTTTAATTCCTGAATCTACTACTCTTTTGACAGCAACCAATACTTTCATTTAATAATAAATTAATTTATCAATTACACAATAATTACGACATATAATTAATTAAAATACATATTATACTATTTCTAATTAAACAATTATCTGGAACAAATACAACAATTTTATAATTCTATGAATACAATCATACTCAATCTTAATCATCCCAATGTCCTCTATCTGGCATTTTAGGTCCTCCTGCAGGTTTAGCGATGATAATCTAATTTTAATAGGTGATATTTACTTAATCTACTCTCAAAATAGTAACAGCAGCATCAGTTGCCAATTTGATAGCCCACCATTTAGTTTTAAGATGATCAAACACTTTCAAATCTTAGGATGGTGATAATGTAGCTGTCTATAATACTATGATTGTTAATAATACCGAAATGTTAAGTGAATGAGGCTTCTCAGAATTTAATTTATGCATTTAAGCCATCATTTCATTTTAAGCAAGACCAGCATTTTCAATCAAAATTCTTGGGATGATTTCAAAGGCTTAAGCATATTGTCTATAGGCATATTGGTCAATTGATTTAATCTTATTTGCTTCTTATTCTAATAATTATGCTAATTTCTAAAGAGATATTAAAAGTATTTTACAATTTCTGTTGCACCACCACCATAAACAAATCTTGCATCTTTAATGAGTGATCTATAACAACTAACACCATCATCAATAGCTCTTTCAATATCATCCAATAAATTTTGAGTAGCTCCTCTCAACACTATTGTTGCTAATTTACAAGTGTCACTTTGTTTTTCAAAGATAGTCACTTTTTGACTACCAATCTCTTGTACATGTACTCTATCACATGTTCCTAACTCATCTGGCATAGGTGCTGATAATCTGGATAATGCACTAGCTCCTATGGCTTTGCATAATCTCTTTAATTCAAATTTAGATTAGACTTTCACAATCATCATTTTATATTTTTCAACAAAATGTAATACTAATTCTGAAATGCTACCTCCTGCAACAATAAGATTGACACCTGCATCAGCAATACTCTTAACAATCTTCTCAGCTAATTCCTCTTCACTTTTAGTGTAATTCATTAATTCTGTTGCATTTTTAATCAAAACAGTTCCTTTAGTCTCCTGAGATTATGGATCCAATGGAGCATTGAATACACAAATCTTTGGATTATCCAATCTGTTAATTTATCCTTCTACATTTCTAGTTACAATAAGTCCTGAGAGTACATGACTGTCTAATACTGATCCACCTAAGATTTTTGTGACTCTGACATATTCTGAATCGAAACTGGTTTTTTCTTTTGGTAAACATCTTATACATGCTTTAGCTACCAAACCAGCAATTAAATTGGAATAACTTTAGATTATTAATTAAATATTACTCTGATAGTTTACTACTCAAAGATGTTCTAATAGCTTAAAGAACCTAGGTTTCATCAGCTACATCTGTGATTTCCCAAACCTTTTGTTGATCTAATAAATCTAATGCACTTTTAAGGGCAGTTTCATAACCAACCACAATTTAGCTAATTAATGATAATGAGTATTACCTTGGATGCAATCCCAATTTAATCAAACTTTCAGCTTATTACAATAATTCACCAGCCAATGTGATCACAAAGTTGGTTGCATCACCTTATTCAGTTTCTTACATTTTTGCAGCCATAAGAACCATCTTAGCAGCAGGGTGTTAGATTTCCATCTCTTTAAGGATTGTTGCTGCGTCACTTGTTACAAATATTTTGTCTATATGATTGACGACCATCTTTTTCATTCCATTGGGACCTAATGAGGTTTTGGTCATATTTGAGATTTCCTTGCATGCTTGGATGTTTTTCAGTATGGCCTCCTCTAATCCCTGATAATGACGAGCTCCCTTAGGAATATCAACCAACTTATGATACTTCTTTTAACATGGATTGGAAACCTGCGGCTGTGGATAACATAAATTAGATAATTTAATTTTTAAATATGCGCTATACAGAATATTTATTATTAAATGATTAATTAGGAAGCTTTAATTACTTTTAGTTATTTGCTTCCAGCTTCGATCAGCGTCCTTTATATTCTAGCCATGGGAGCTCGCTTTTATGATCTTCGTTCCAATATACGAGCCGAACCTCTCCCCTATAATTATTCTATTATACTCAGAATTTCACTGTTGACTCTAGACATTAGTAATAATTCTTTTATACTAAGAGCTGCTGAATTCATCGAGATTTTATTGGTTATCTTCTATTCTGAAACTAAACGGGACTATTTGTCTGGAGTCTTATTCGTAAACATCTCAGCAATCATTATGCAAATATTTTTGATGGTATTTAATTCATTCACCAATATTAGTGTTACGAATACAAGAAGCGAGTCCCATTGTTCTTTGCCCACAAAATCTATTGGATTCTTAATTGGCTCTTCTTATTGGTATCATTTGCTTTGCTCATTAATTACGTAAACTCCCTGCACCTTACTCTGAAAGGACACATATATGAATATTGTCTGTCGCTCTTCAGGATTGTCGATTACACCGTGCTCTTGGTTTTTACCCTCTTCCTACGAAGATAGGATCTTAGCGAATTCGAAAGTGTGGGATTTTGGAGAAACGAATTTCCAGACATTGATCTATCAGATTCAGAAAGGAGGGCCAGACTCTCTACTTTGAATGGTATTTGCTATCAATTATCCTAAGCCAATTCGGGCTCCCTCTTTTTGCAAATTGATGTGAAGAAGAGATGGAACATTGTTAATGATGATGTCGAAGTTAAATTAGAAATGTAAAAATCATTCCATATATTTTCAAAGTCAAATCGTAGGGTTAGATAAGCAATTTAAATTGAAGAAATCTGTATCTGAGATTTTCGAATGGCACCAATCTTATATCTATGAGAATGCTGATTACTTTGAGTAACATCCAAATGAATTGTTGTCTCTCAACTTCTTTGTTAAATAAATTTAAGATAGCCAAGACTTGCAACTTATCAACAACATTTAAAGATATTTAAATGCCATTATAAGCAAATTGGACCTGATTACATAATCGTTTATGGATTTTATAGAGTTATCACAATAAGAGAAAGCCTTGGTGGATGAAATAAAATAAATCAATAATATTCAAAGCAATCAGAAATCTTCATTAGCAATTAAATAGATCCAACCTATTCGAAAACAAAAATGGGATGTCTAATCTGAATATTTACCATATATGTAAGTGCATATCACCGAACACTAAACTATAAAAAGTAATAATCAATCATTTTTACAATATACTCTTGTAGTGTAATTTGATAATGAAACCTTTGTTGTGTAAAAGAGGTTCAAAGAATTTTTTGAGTTTTGTGAGCAAATGAAGAGTCAATTAGAAACTAAGAATTTTCCACCATTTCCTCAAAAAACATTAATCAAATTAACAAATGAGGAAATAGAGGAGAGGAAACAAGAATTGGAAATATTTATGAAATTACTTCTGAATGATAGGCAATACCATATATCGTTGTTATTTAGATTTATTGGTATGCCACAATAGATTGAAGATCTAGTGAGGAATATGCAAAGATAAATCATAACAGATAGTGAATAAATTGTAAAATTATACATAAAAAATATTGGTTATGAGGAGTTCCATGGCAAGGATGGAGAGAAGTTCTTTAGATATTCATTTTAAATAAGTTTTGGGGATTAGAAGCACATAATATGGAAAAGATTTAGTTAATTCGATGAATTACATTACTTGTTGAAATAAAGGTACATATTATATATATAATTAGATATCAATAATTGCCATAATTACCATTTAAGACCACGGCTGCATTATAATAAATTAGTCCGAACTTAAGGAGCTTAAACTTATAATAATATTTGTAAGATTTAATAAAAGTGCCAGCCATTGGTGAAAATGTCCATTTAAGATAATTTTTAGAAATGAAAAATTTTTAAGGAAACCTTGATATTGAAAATGTTATTGGATCATTACCATAATTAGAAAATATTTTAGAAAAATTAGATAAAAATAACAAAGATATAGATTAATTAGATAATATGAAAAGCAGATTATGGTAATGATAATTTATATAATAATAAATTCATATCTTTAATGTTTAGATTCCATCGAATTCCAAAATATCTTCTGTCTCTTCATGAGTATTAAACAGCAGAATTTTTCAAATCCTTCCAATTACCAATACCTCCTGGGAGGATCTGTAAGACTGCAGACGAAGCATACAAAGCAGCGGCTAGAATAATATAGGAAGGATCTGATAAGAATTCATTCACAGATGTAGTTGTAAAGGCTCAAGTGCATACAGGAGGTAGAGGCAAGGGATACTTCAAGGAGAATGGATTTAATAGTGTATTGATGAACATATACATAGGGAATACATATAGCATCTACTCCTGAGGACGTGAGAGAATACGCATCTAAAATGCTAGGAAATACATTGATTACTAAGTAAACTGGGAGTTTGGGGAAGAAATGTGAGATGGTTTATGTAGTAGAACGTAACTTTTTGAGGAAGGAGCTATATTTATCAATACTACTAGACCGAAACACAGGAGGATTGGGTATTGTGGCATCGGAAAAAGGAGGTATTCATATTGAGGAGAGTGATCCAAATTACATTAAGAAGTTTTCGATCGAAATGCCAAATGCAGTTGAAGAGATTGATTCCTCTATTTACGAGAGCGTTTCGAAGGTGTACAAATTAAATCCAATTTAACAAAAGTAAATGACTGAAGTAACAAATCTATTAATTTCATAAAGATTTTGAAACACATGTTTGATATCTTTTTGTAAACCGATGCAACTCTATTAGAAATTAATCCACTTGGTATTGATTTACAAGGCAATTTGATCATATGTGATCAGAAATTAAATATCGATGACAATTCGTAATTTAGATAACATGCAATATTCCATATGGAGGATGTAAGATAGAAGGATTGGAAAGAAGTAGAAGCTTAAAAACATGGACTTAATTATATAGCCTTAGATGGAAATATCGGATGTATGGTAAATGGAGCAGGATTAGCTATGGCTACAATGGATTTAATCAAACAGTATGAAGGATCTCCTGCTAATTTCTTAGATGTAGGAGGTAAAGCTACAGATCAGGAGATTGTATCTGCCTTAAAGATCATGGATAAAGATCCCAATGTTGAAGCCATCCTAGTGAATATCTTTGCTGGTATTGCAAGGTATCTAAGTCATCATTATTCCAAGGTGTGATCAAATCGTTTTGGGTTTACTTAAAGGATTAACTGTATTGGGAATGAAAAAGCCGATGGTGTTGAGAATGAAAGGAACAAAGGTTGAAGAGGCTAAGAAGTTGATTGAGGAGTCTGGATTTAACATGATGTTTACAGAAGATTTAGATGAAGCTGCAAAGAAGGCTGTTAGAATGGCAGCAATTCTGAGATTGGCTAAAGAGGCCAATATTAATGTGAACTTAACGAGTTGATATTTCATTTAAAAATATTACATCGTTATTCTACTTGATAAATAATGTTCGAATTATTGCAGGATTTTATAACAAATCACTAAATCAATCCAATTATTTAGTTCTTCATATACTGCCAATATTTTATTCGAATCAAATCTAAATTCTGAAGATTCTCACATATTTCTATTGCATCTTTATAATTTCCATCTTATAATAGATATTGAATCTTTAGACTTAAAGCAAATCTATTGGTTAATCCCACCTCGTTTAGAAATTCAAGCAAGTTAAAATCTTTCAAATTGAATTGAACGTATGTCTTATAAGGGTTTTCCTAATCATTTTTGAATTTAAACATTTTAAACCAACCTCTCAAATAGTTCCATGCTGCTTCATTATCTTGTTTCAATCTAATTGCATTCTTTATATATTCTAATTCTGCATTAAAATCAAGAGGCATTTTAGACAATAAAAAATACCTGTAATTCCAAGCAGAATTATTACCGATATCTTCATCCAAATAATATTAGACATCTATTAGTTCTGCATCATATATTTTGAATCTGTCACACAACCAAACTCGATAGGACCATCCATGATAATTTTTATTATCTTCATCAAAAATTTTGTGGAGAAATTCAATCTCACCTTTGAAATCATTCAGCTCCTCTATCACCTATCTTCTATGTTCCCTTAATAACATAAAATGTTATCTTACCAAATTTAATAAACCTTCTAATTCGCTATTGTAACCTCATTTATAAATTCCATCTCTCTATTTAAATCTAACTTCAATTATCTCAAACATTTTCTTCGTATGAAATACGCATTATAATTTGATGGCAACTTATGAATTATGATGCCTGTTAAATCAAAGACTCTTTCACTAATTTCCTCTGATTTGACAATGGCTCTGAAATAATCCATGATTTCCTCGTAGTCTTGATCATACTTCACATTGAGCAATTCCACCTTAGATGTAAACTAAGGTACTCTCTCTACATCAGACCAAAGTAATTTATTAAAATTCATAATAATTATTTCATCATAACTAAAAATTCCTCATAACTCACTTCGCCATCTCCATTAGTATCTACTTCCTATATAACTTCTTGCCATTTCTCATCTGTGATGCTTTCATTACCTTCCAACACTTTTTTTATTTCTTAAACACTAATTACTCCATCACCATTTAAATCAAATTATTGAAAAGCATTTTTCAAATTACTTTCTGTGAGGAGTACTTTTCTCTAAGAACAAGCCATAATAAATTCTGAATATTCCAAAAATCCATTGTTATCTATATCAATTTATTCCATTAGAATACTGGCTTACATTTGTGCCTGCAATTCATCATACATATATATCTTTTGCAAAGCCATAGCCAATTCGTCACATGTTAATTTCCCATCTCTATCTACATCAATTTCATTGAAAATTCTAATTAATTATCTCTCTTCCTCTGGAGTCTGTTGGAATGAACCCATAAACGAAAGAACAGCCTATTGCAATTTATTCTTAACTCGAAACTCGATTAATCTACTTACGCTCTCTTAAAAACAAGTATTGAATTCTTATGAAGCCTTTCTCTCTTTTTTCAATTAAAAAAATTCATGATCAAGCAATTCTTTAGCTGAAGGTCGTTTTTCTGGATCCTTATTAAGCAATAATCTAACGAGATTATTAAGTTCAGGAGAGCATTTTTAAAATACAGGTAAATCAAAATTCGGCTTAGTATCTAAAATTTTTCTTTGAATTTCATCTGCCTATCGAGCATAAAAAGGTAAATTTCCTGTTACTATCTCATACAATAGTATGCCACTACTCCATATATCACATTTTTCATCATAACATTATTTAAATACTTCTGGTGCCATATAATATGGCGTACCCACAGTTGTATATAATTTAGATCCATTTTAAAATTAAGTTGCGCTATTTTATATTTACTTATTAATACATTCCCCAATCAATCATTTTTATCAAAATACAACCATCTTCTTGTTTTTCAACTAAAATGTTTTCACTTAAATTAATTTAAATTTATTACCTTTTGATATCTCGATGAACAATTTTTTTAGAATGTATGTAATGCAAAATAGAAAATAGTTGCTTCATTATTTGAGCCATGTCATATTCATCAATTTCATCATGTTTGCATAGATATTCATACAGATCTCCTCCCTCCCAATAATCAGTAATCAGACAGTATTCATTATTGTCTTCATAGAATTCATATAATTTCAAAATATTTGGATGATCCAACTATTACAGTATCTTAATCTCATTTAGAGTTTAATCCTTTGGTACTCTTTTAAGAGTTCTTTCATAAATATTAATTCAAATTACTTTCTAATTCCTTAATGTTCAATTCTCATAACTCTGCTATTTGGACCTTGCGATAACGATTTTTCTTATTCAAAATTTTAACGTTTTGATTTTTATTATTTAAAAGTGTTTGAAGAAATTTTAATCTCCATTAAAATCAATTTTTTATAAATAACAATCCACAATAAAATTAATAAAAAAACAGAAATCAATTCTTTTTAAAAGCATCCTATCCACTGTTTAGTACCATAATTTTATGTGCCGAATCAAATCAAAATCTGTTTTGTTTTAACATACAAAATTAAGTATTTAGTATTTTTAATTATTATTGCTATTTCAGAAGCTATTATCACTTCCATTATTTCAAAGATTCAAAGGTGATTAGATAAATCTTATATTTTATTAAGAAAAAATCCTTAATAAATCAATGATATTGATATTATTAATTAATTAATCCCTCTATAAGTAGAGATTAAGTTTAGGTAGATGATTTATTATGATCTCGTAAAACTTATACCGAATAATTACGCTCCGCTAACTAATATAATTGATTCTTTTTAAACAACTTGAAAATTATAGAAACAGGTATTAAATCAAATTCTAAAAGGAATTATATTTACCTCCTTAGAAAGATTTTATATATCATTTATATTTTCTAAGAAATTCAATAAATTAATAGATAAAGATAATATAGATTGAATTAATTAATTAAAAAATATCTTTCTTTTAATATATTTATTACATTTTTTTTAATAAATTTAGCTTAAATATAAATATGCTTTATTCACTTTTTTTATCAAAACTCTTAATCCCATATCTTTTGAAACTTAAAAATATATTATTAATCCCTCTTGTAGTTAACAGATTTCAATTTAATAGTTTCACTTACTCTAAATTTTGTTAGAATTTGCATACAACATTTTTATTAAAATAAAATTCTAATCTAATTCATTATCTTATTATGAAAATAGGATATATCAACCTCTTTTTGTAATATTTTTGACAAACAAAATATTTATCCCATCTTTTGAAATTAAAAGCAACATTTGTGAAATAATTTTTATATTAAAGTTGTCATAAAAATATAATAAAATTTAGTATTTCTAATCATAAAAAGTAAGCCACACCTTCTAAATAGGAGCCCCTAATTTATTCATAGTATAACAATGTAAACTTATTTTTTTTGTTAACCAGAAATTTAATCTTCATCTAAAATTATTTATTGTCTTTATTACAATAAATAATTTCGAATTACTTATGGAATTCAAATAAGATATTCATGCATTAATTTAAATTACAATATAATCTTTAACTTATTATCAAATCAACTAGAATTAGTGGTGAGACACTATATAATTCCTATAGCCAAGAACTTAATAAAAAAATTCTTTTGTTTCTATTCTATATTAGCCTTCCATTATCTCTTTAAGAAATTTATTTTGACATTCAAGCCTTTTCTTACATTGCTTTAATATATATTTTTATGAGTGTTTGAAAATGCAAATTTCTTCTTGCTCTAATTCTAAAACATCAGGCTGTTCTTGTATTTAATCGTCATTATAATCAATCTTTATTTTTTTTCTTATCATCTAATCGTTAGGATGAACTTTCAGTAATTCCATATACTCATTTTCAATGTTCAAAAGTGAATTATAATTCTATTACTTTTTAATTGAATTAATTTCGTTGAAAATTGTTTAAACAAGGTCCTCAGGATCGTCTTGAATAACTAAGGTTTCATGCAATTAGTCTGTCTGCTTTGGTGATGTGCATTGAGATTAGCGATGACTTTTTAAATCTTTTAATTGTCCAAACCATTTATCGCATTTTAAACAAGAGACCTCTAAGTGTTCTAATTTTAAAGTCATGACTTCATCCTTTTAGTAAAAGTTGTAGTTCTAGTACTCTTTTCTGCAATAAGGGCATTGCTTTTTTTTCTGCATCCATTCACTGATACATTTGCCACAAAAATTATGCCTACGTTAAAAATGATCTTATACCCACACTATGTTATTATTGGCTTATAGAAAACCTGAAGACATATCACACACATATATTCAGAACAGTCTACCGAATGTATTTAGATATCTTCTCTCATAAATTAATTAATTAATATAGTCATTTATTTTTTTAAATCTTATTCCAAATACTTTTCATTCCTTATGCAATGTTATTCACAGATTATTTCAGTTTGTCTTCTTTGTTCGCAAAATTTGAAAAATTTTACTCTTTTTTAATTTCATTTTCTAAATGAGTTTTTTATCTCTCTTTAAAATACTCCTCTGCTTTTTCAGCAAGATTGATAAAGGTGTGAACATTTTTGAATTTTGGGTCATTTTTAGTTGCTTGTTTGAATGCTTAAGAAAATTAGTTGAATTGGCCACTTTAAAACATTTTCATAATTTCTTCAGCCTATTTTTACATTTGTTCCATCTGCTCTTTGGAAAATTACTAATGATTGGCATTGCCTTTAATAATGTAATAATTTTAAACTTCTGGAAGAGTGTTGCTAATTAGATTGATTGTAACCATAAGAATTCGAAGTGTGTTTAATGAAATCTGTATTATATGTTCTTGCAGCATCATACTATTATTTTCTATGTTTATCTGATAAAACCTATCTACATATTAGAAATATACATCCCAAGCTTCTGTTATTTGTTTGAATTTTTCTTCATTGCCTTTGTTGATATCTGGATGATATTATTTAGCTAATTTATAATATTCTTATTTTAGTGTTTGTTCTGAAGCAGTTTAAGTGCAATTCAGTACTTTATAATAATCCTTATTAGCATCAAATAACGGTGGCTGGAAAAAATAGTATCGGGGAGTTGGATAAATTAATTTTTTCCAGATTCTTTTATTAAAAAGCATATAAATTAATGAATAGTTGATAAATAATTCGAAATTATAGAACCTAAAGCAGAAACCAAGAGAGTCATTTTAAACAATATTTTCTATTTATTAATGTAATTTTTAAAGTAATTTCCATTAATAATCTTTATTATTATTATCTGTATATTATGATAAAAGTAATAAAAATATATATTGACTTAATCAATAAGAGAAGTCGAAAATAATTGAGCCAAATAAATAAAAATGGATTTTTTAATAACTCAATATACATTGATAAAATTTTAGAATAGTCTTGAATTAAATAATCATGACATTTTTAGTTTTTTCATTAATATATTAATAATGAATTTGTCTGAAGAATCAACAATTAATTTGGATAGCAGAAGGCCAAGAAACAAAACCGAAACTAAGTGCAAGTCTTAGAGTCCTCAAATAAAACCTCAATTTACATAATATTAGTTGCAACATAAGAAAAGCAAAACCAAAGAGAAATTAGCTCAAAGATCTGAGTAATTACCAAATGTTACAAGAAAGTTGAACCCAAAATCAATTAGTTTCTCAAAAAACCGGAATCAATTTAAGCCAGCTTCTCAAGATTTTAGTTTAAAAGTATTTGTAATGTAGTAACAAGTATTTTATTGGATGGGGTAACAATGAGGCCTTAGTGAAAAGAATTATGGCAAAAAGATTATAATGGAAAGAGACAAATGACTCAAGCTCGATGCTCGTAAATTTTAAGTGGTAACAAAGCGAAAGAGGTTATAGATATGAAAGACTTATTTTAAGTTAAAATTATAAGTAACTTGTTAATCATTTCGAACATCATAAAGAAATATCAAATAAATCCTATCTAATTAAAAATCTGTCTATATATTGCGATGTAAAAGTTATTAAAGATATACAATAGAAACATAAGTTAAATGTATTTGATTATACTCCATTAACATTTGTCATTGACTTTAGTGATGAGAATTGCGATTACAATATAGCACAGTTTCTTAAGACCTATGAGTAATTTGCCCCTAAAAAGCCTACATCAAAATAGATGTTAGATGTAAAAAGAAGATTAAGAGGAAACTTTTGTAATTCATATTAAAGAGAACCTGCCTCATAATTCGCCAAAATATAATTGAACAACACTTTCTTAGCAGAGGAATCTACATATATGTGGCTATTGAAACCAACATTTTTAAATAGAGGAAGAGGAATCTAAATTTTTGATAATCTAGAGACTTTAGTTAAGTTGGTATCTCGAGTTTTAAGAGGGATTAAAAGAGAAAGCATTAAATTAAAAAGATGAATCATCAGGAGATGAGGATATCCCAAAATAAGTTCAGAGTGCCTAAATTACAAAGAAAGATGCTAATCAAAATATCAAATAATAGCCAGCAGGACAATGTATAATAAAATCACATTCTTTTGTTATTCAGAAATACATAGAACGCCCTGCATTGATTAATAAGAGAAAATTTGATATAAGAGTGTGGGGTTTGGTAACTCATGATTTAGATGCATATTTCTTTGCAGAAGGGTATATTAGAACTTCATCTGAAGATTTCACATACAACATAGAAAATACATTTGTTCATTTGACAAATAATGCTATTCAGAAATACTCCCAGAATTATGGTTAATTTGAGGATGGAAATCAATTGTCTTTTAAGAATTATCAGGATTATTTAAATTCATAAAATATTAAATGCAACGTTTAAGATGTATATAATCAAATATATTTTAGTTAATTAATAAAATGAAAGAGAGGATATGGATGGTCTTTAATTCTGTAAAGAATAAGATAAACTTTGAAGACAGGAAATACTGCTTTGAGATATTCGGATTTGATTTTATTTTAGATGCCGATCTTGAGGTATGGTTAATAGAAGTTAATACTAATCCTTGCATAGAGGAATCAAGTCCATTGCTAAAGATGTATATACCAAGAATGTTAGATGATGGATTCAAGTTAACTCTTGATGTCTTATTCCCTCCATAAAATCCTCTAAAACAATCACTGCCATAGATCTGTATTATTGATATCTCATATTTGCAGATTAATTACCTTAAATAAAGGAAGAGTAACATTCTGACTATCCAGTTGTTGGCTACCCTAATGATGAAAATATGTGGATGCTATTGGGTTCATTAAGTGATAGAAAAATTAAGAAGAAAAAATGATTATTATTTATACTATTTAAATTTACATTTTCACATCATGAAAATCTTCGATTATTTATTTAAATCATTCGAAATCGCTATGTTTCTGTCTATTTCATTTATAAACTTTGATAAATCTCAATAATTTTTGATAAAAAATTCATAAATCGGATTAAAATTAAGAAATCAAGAATAATCAAGGTTTGATCCAGGCAATAAAATTTTACAATCCCTAATATAATCTAACATCATTTATGTATTTATCAATAAATTAATAAATAAATTATTAATTAGATGACTCTCTAGATATATTCTTCTTCTAATCTGCTCTTTTTAAAAACAACTTGATAAAATTTAATAATACTATCTATATATATATAATATAGTGGACAGAATCCTTGACATTAAATAAACTAATTAGTATTATGATGATTAAAAAAACGTCTATTGATAGAAAAGCTATTTATGATCTATTCCAAAACATAGACGCAACATTTACACAAGCATTATTATCAACTTCATTTCCATTCATGCATGGCATACCTGACTAATAATAAATTGATAACATCTTGAACAGAGTGGATGCTGATTAAGTATCAAATAAAGGTATATGGACAGATACTTAGGATTAATATTTAAAAATAATAGTCCTTGGAACTTGTTTGAAGACAAAAACACGACCATTAGATTTGGTAATAAATAGTCTCTATAAATATAGTCAACATTACAATGGGATTAAATCTCTCGAATATTCAAATTTCATAATTGGAAGGCTTGCAGAAATAGGTGGTTAAATGAAAAACATAAAAAAGTTAACTGGACTCCTTAGGAGGATTAAGCGCTTATGCAATTACAATCATTACATCCAAATAAATGGTGCGAAATAGCAATAGAATTAATGAAAATCTGTTAAACTCCTTATGTGCGATTAGGAAAATAATGCAGAGATAGATGGGTCAATAAACTAGACCCTAAAATACTTAAGTATGAATTTAAAATTTAATAAAAGTATACCATGGTATAAGGAAGAAGAACTTAGGTTATTTTAAGAAGTTAAGAAGAGGGGTAAACGATGGGCAGACATATCAGCTTAAGTATTTAAGTTTAGGAGAACAGAAAACACAATCAAAAATAGATTTTACAATTTATTAAAATAAGAAGAGAATAGATAGAGATTAGGCAGAGTACCAAAGGATGAAAGGGATATCTTATTAATTGATTCAGTTATCGAAACATTAAAAAGAGATTTGAATAAATGTGATAAGTCGACTAGCCAAAATGAACTTAATATTGATAACAAGAATTTTGAGGTTTTGGAATTCGATTCATAAGAACTGAAAGAATTAGTCATAATAAAACAAAAGAAAATTTAAAAATTAAATAACCCATGATTGTTTTTAAAATCTATTTATCATTATAAATCCTTTTAAATCATCCACGAACTTGGATGCAATCATAATTATAAAAGTTCCAATAACTTTGTTCATAAACAAATTTCTTTCTCTTATGCATGTGTGTCATTAATTTAAAAAAACGGATGTAATCTAAATTTTTAAATATTATAGTATAATTAATTTCTGTTAATACAAAAATCGATTGTTTAAATTATAATACTTTAATATATTCATTTCTCGTTTTCTTAGTTATACCATTTTAATATCAAATTTTTCATCTTATTTTATATTCCAGTTTTTTGTTTCTTATTTCAATCCTCTAAATAAACAGAAAATTTACAATTAAGAGGAACAAATTTTTATCTTTGAATGTTCCATAGATAATAAAGAATTTTTTATGACTGGCTAGTTCTTTAGCTATATAACTGACTTCATATTATAGTTTAAAGAATGAATAATAAATATGAATGCATAAAAATAAGGCATTATTACAAATCATTTACTTAATTTAAATATTTGCTGCTCAATCATTTTAGCTTTTAAATATTTGTCACCTTAACAATCACATGGATGATTTTTTTAGAGTGATTAAAAAAAAAATTAATTACTCTGAATGTCTTACATTGCCAATTAAAATGTACTGTTATTATTATTAATATAATAAATTATATCATTTTAAGTTCAAAATGCTATTAATACTTTATTTTTCAGATATGAATTGTAGTAATAAACTATCAAAATTTTAATGCTTGCATATAAATATTTCAACTTATCACAATATCAATTTAATAATAAAGTTTCTTAATAAATAATTTATATCAAGAAGAAAGATAGATTTACTATTTAAGACTATAATTGATCTGGTTTATTATTAATAATTTAATAGTATTAAATATATTCAAACATGTTTGTTTAGGGATCTTTTATAATCTTGAGATTTATTTCTATCAATAGTGTCATCACTTTCGTCATCATTAGGACTCATTTTACTTTATATTTCGTCAGCATAAATATTAGATTCCTTATAGTTAAATTTCATACTTAATCTCCATTCGCAGATTAGGGTATAGACATTTAAAATTGTTAAGAGAGAATTTATCTCTTTATCAATTATGGTCTTTTTTCTATTTTAATAGACAAACTCTTTTTTCCTTCTGAAGCCACTAAATAGTTCACATTGATTAATCTTGGGAAACAAACATTTAAGAAGGATTGAGATTTTTAGTAGAAGGTATCCCTTTCCTCTTGAATCTCGCTAATAATTTCATTAAAGGAACTGATTAAACTTCTTGCACTGTCTCCTCCCTTTTTCCAATAATGTTTTTTCTAAGTATAATCAAATACTAAAGTTAGAGATTCATCATTTGTTTCGAATTTTGATCTCAATTCATTAACTAGTCGATTAGTAATTTTGAAACTTTTAAAGTACTCAATCAATTTGATTTAATATTATTCATTTGAATCTAATAGGTCAAATAAGTCATCCTTTAACATCTCATACAAATCTTCAATGTTTTCAAAATCTGATACTAATTTAAAGATTGATATTGAAATTTTGATTAAAATCTTAATTCCTTTTTACAAAAACAAATTCCATACTTATAATAACTATATACATCATGAATTTATACTAATTTTTAAGGCAAATCATAACCGAAGATTACAAGAAACCATCTCGTTGTTATAATTCCGATGTCAATTTTGTTTAATAACTTAATTATTAATTTATATTTACAAACTATGCAGACAGATTTGGAACATAATTTTTTAAAAATACTGCCACAACAAAATTCAAGAATTTTAATTAACTAAATTATTCAAGAAATATTGTTGCATATTTCATCTTTTTCAAAATATAATACATTATCCAGAAGGCTTATTGCTCACTTAAACCACTAATCAGAAAGCAACCTGCTATTTAATTCAACCCTTGAATATAGCCTAATTCCTCATAGATTTTAGATAATGCTATTAGTATTCTTTAGAGTCTTTATCTATTATGAATTTATTTAAAATATTGATGTTATGAAAATGTTCTATCAATATCCTTCTGTATATTTGCTGCTTCATTAGATTGTTAACAAGAATAGTATTTATATTAATGTGAGTATTGTAGATTTAAGCGTTTAAAGTCAATGACGGAGTCCCAATACATAAATTGTTAGCATTTTTAATCAATAATAAATTAGGAGATTAATTTATGATCTAATGGTTAAAGTAGTCTTTGAAAAATTACCTTCTTAAAATACTTTTTCCATCTTCTAATTTTAAATACTTTAGAACTTAGTTGAAAATTAATTAGTGATCCTGTATCAAGGAATGAAGTTAAATCATTAAAAGTATTTTAATCCAGAATAACATCAATGAAGGACGTTCCAAAATTTATATCATCTCTGTCCTCAAGAATTTTTGGATTTAAGTTAGAAGAAGTATATTTTTTATTCATATTTTATTAATTTAATTAATAATTGAATTAATGAGATTAATTAACTCAGCAATTATAAATGCATTTATTTATTAGTGCTACTAAATTAGAATTCAACTGATTATAAACTACATATATAATATATACTATGAAATTTGAAATGGCTGAGAGTAATGACATTATTTAGTTTAGGAGAAAATTCAAAAATTTGATTTAACTTGGAATAATATTTTGCAAATACGATTGCTAAAAAAGAAATAAGTATCCTTTATTAATGATTTGAAAGGCTTTATAAATAACAACTTTTTCTCGCAATTCATACAAATTGCCTCATTATCCAAAAAACATAATAATATTACAATAAAATATTACTTTTAAAATTTAAATTCAAATGAGATATCTATGTTTTAATTCCTAATATTGAATCCTTAATTTTTATAGAAGAGGATGTATAATCAGAATTATAGATTTATGCTAGTTAGTTAAATGATCACAAAAAAATACTACATTATGCCAATAAAACTATAAACTAATTATGATAATCAAAATAGACTGATGAAAAGCTTAAAATCTAAATTACACTCAAGATTAATATCCAAGGCTTTTAAACTCTCATTAGTTATTCGACCATTTTATGAGAGAAATTAAAACATCAACATCAAATATTTTTCAATTTTATACACATCTGGCTCTAAACAAATCGCAATAAATTCTAATTTAATTAATTAAATATCTTACAATAATACTCCAAATCTTAATATTTATACTTAATCAAATCCTCAATCTCTTATTTAGTTAGTATTCCTGATTAGGATTTGTTCATAAATAAAAACCCATTTTTGATATTAATTATCTCACACTGATCCAATTATGTTGCTAAATACAACAATCCAATTTATTTAATTTAATGATAAGTCTGCCATCTCTCTATGTTTGCTTTTGTTAGTATAACTTCCCCTTGTTGCACATATTAAGAAAGCCAGTCATGCTTTAGAATTTATTCTAATCCCAATCGGTATTAAGAGGGCTTTAACAATTAACTTATCAATTCCTTAACTTGAAGTGACACGTTCCTCCACTCTGGACCATCGAAATCATATTTGCCTTTTTAAATAGAATATAGTATCTCCTGCTCTGTCTCACCATAAAAAGGAGGGTACCCACATAATAAGACATATAAAATCACACCAATTGACCATAAATCGCACTTATTATCATATGTACCCTCTAAAACTTCTGGAGCCACGTAATAAGCCTAGAAATATGTCTAAGTAATATGTACAGTTCCTGCTTTAGTCCATTGTTGCAAGAGTCCTGGTTAGAATATTCTCGCCAAACCAAAATCAATAATATAAAGAGTATTAAGATCGTTATTCTTCTGAAATAGAAAGTTTTCTGGCTTTAAATCTCTATGCACAATATTTAATGATTAATAGTAGACTACTGATCTAATAATTTATATGAATATTAATAATGCTCCTTGTTCGTCGAAGTTTCCTAATTCTAAGACCTTGTCAAAAATATCTCCACCCTTACATATTCTAAATTTAATTGTTATTTTTATACTCCATTACTACATAAATATAGTCATTATCCTCATAGGTTTCGAATACTCTAATCACATGCGGGTGATCCTTAAAAAATCTCAATTTCAATAATTACTAATAATTCAACTGTTCTCAGTTCATTTGTAAGTCTTTCTTTCTATTTTACACTTGCTTTGTGGATGATCTTCACTGCTCTGGCAATCCCAGTAGCTCGATGAATTGCTCGATAAACCATTCCATAAGACCCTTAGCCAAGTTTCTAAATTAATGAGTTTAGCATACATCAGTCTTGCTGAATTCATAAATATCTTAAAATTTCTTATTTATGCTAGAGTATTTGATAAAATCAACTTTTTTGATATGTTTCATTTATAAAAAATAATAATTTAAATTCTTAATAAGCATTTTCAAATAAAGAGAGGATCATTTTCATCATACAAAATTTAAATGGAGCTAACCTTCTATAGATACAACTCTTAATTTGTTATAGATTAAAAGTAATTATATAACAGCCTAAACTGATAAAAATTAATTAATTTTTAATCAAAAGCATTATTAAATTATTTATAATTTATTAAGCAGCGATTTATGTAGGAAACAAAGAATGAAATATTTGAAATTCTATAGAAATAAGTAGATGAAAGGAAAAAAAAGAAAAAGTAAGAAATGTTTTAACTAAAGAAATAAAAAATAGCAGAGATCAAATAAGACAAAAAAAAACTTGTAAATAATGCAATTTACTATTATTTGGATAGACTGATGGTCTAGCTAAACATCCTTAATAATTTTAACCAGGAAAAGGAATCTGTTAGTTTTTCTAGAAAAGTGACTTTCTCTTGCCCAAATAACCAAAATCAGGTTTAGAACGAATTCAAAGTGCATGGTTACCAACTTACACTCATTCTCGTTTAATGAGTGCTACACCATTAGACACAGAGCCATTTCCTCGTCCTCCTTCTGTTAAAGAGAAAGTTTGGAGACCATTCTCATCTCAACCGAATAAGCTGAACATGATATAATTAGTGCCTCATAGTCCAAAGGATGATGCATTAACTCCGAAGAAGAATTCATTAGCCTTTGATATAGGTGAAAAACTAGTTCCAATGAAGCCATTTCAACCAACCAGAAGAATATTTAGTGCATTTCCAAAATGATATAACTCAAAGTCAAAAGAATCTAATTACAAACTTATAAGTATATTTAAAGATTCAAATATAATTCTATTTTGAGAATTGAGATTTAAATGTTTTATAATTTGGTAGTTTTAACATGAATAGACTTTAATCAAAAATCAAGAGAGTAAAAAGGAATTGGTTTTTCTTTGCTGTTCCAACATTTAAAATTGTAATTTGCATTTCTATCTATGAACAATTTGTTCTTCTAATTTAGCAAGTTCTTCATTTTTCGCCATTCTTTTTGCTAATAATAAATATTCTTGCTCTTTAGATTTAAGTTTCTCTTGTTCTAAGTATTTCCTTTCACTTTATTGATTTCGAAACAATTCAGATTCTTTATAAAATTGTCGTTTTCTATCAGTTTCCAAATTCTCTCTTAATTAAATAGCTTATTAAATTTTAGAGATTTCCAGTTCTCTTTATTTCTCTTCCAACTCCAATTATTTCCTCTTCCTTTACATTATCGATATTAAGACTTCATTCTATTTGTCATCCATTAACCATTTGCTCTTTAATTTGTTATAATGAAACTCTGTCATTTAGGATCTAAAATTAGTTAAGTAAGTAATACATGTTGTCCTTATTACTTGATGATTCAACAAAAGAACATTTACTTTGATTTGTTTTGATTTTGGTTGATGAATATTAAGATGAATCGACACTTTTGTTACTCTTTTTGTTTTTATCCTTATTAATACTTGATTTCAGCATGAAATAATTCTGATATGCTTTTCTGAGAAATGCTTATTTTATTGAACTGTTTTCCCCATATTTCTAAATGAAGAGATCCTTGTCCATTTTTTGTATAAATAAATAAAAATAAATGGCAATCAATTAACAAAAATCAATGATGGACCTTAGAGCCTATTACCAAATTTCTAACAAATAGACAAGGCTAATCGTCTTAATTTGGTATATAATCATCATCATATTCATTTTCTAAGGATTAGACTTAAACATCAATAAATTATTTGTAAGAAGCAAGATTTCTATTTGATCCCTCGTAGTGATTCATTTTTGAAGTATTGAAGGAAGCTATCGTTCCAACTGGACTAGAAGCTCCCTCAATTATTATAGAATTTCTCTTTGGAACTTCCAAATAAATAATGTTTTTCCGACTATTATCTAATCTACCATTTATAAATTTGGTTTCTTATTATGGCACTTTACACATTGAATTCTGCAAACCAGGTTAGATATCAATCAAATCATCAAATTAATTTGAGTTTGATTAAACATCAATAGACACACTCAAGCTCTCTTTATCTGAAAAGAGTCCTTGTATTTTCTCCCAATCAAATTTAGTATCAGTAGTTAAATCATCTTATAAAAGTTTTTTTAAGCCTATATAATCTGGAGTCTATTGGAATTCGTATGATTTTGATATTTTTAACATTTTTACTAGAGACTTAATAAATTATATGATGTATACTTTTGGGAGCAAGTCATTTAACTTGTCCAAGGAATTGTTCTATTTCATTTATAAGATTTTCTTATATTTATCTTCTTTGTTTACTACCTGTATATTTTACCAAGGCAATTCCCCCAGATAGAAATAAATGAGCACGTACACTAGTGATTCAATATCATCTCTTCTGGATTACTCATTTCCTAATAGCTATATCTATTGTATATATAACCTATTAAAGCATTCACGCTAGCATATCTGGCTGTACCAATCAATCCTTTGTTGCTGACAAATGGAATGTGCTTCCCATTACTATCTCGATAATACTTAGATAATCCGAAATCAATAACGTAAATTTGACAACAATCTTGCCGACCAATTGTGAAATTTTCTGGTTTGATGTCCCTATGAATTAGGTTTTTTTCGTGAAATGCTATTGTTTTTTATTTTAATACCCTAAACTCTTTCTAACAATTGGAGACCAATCTTCAACACTGTATTTTGGGTAAATTTCCCACCACATTTTCTCATTAGCTATTCTAAGTTCATTCCTAAATAGGATTCCATAAAGAAGTTGTAATGGTCGTCTCTGCCATAGAATTTTAATTATGGAAAGCCTTCGTAATTTCAAAAGTAATACCCTTTAATCCTTTTACATCCTACAATACTTTGATTTCTCTAATGAGTAAACTTACACCTTTTTAACTCTCATCCCTTTTTTCAAACTTAGTTGCAATCAATTCCCCATTTTTTAAGTTTTAAGTTTTAAAGACCATCCCAAAAGATCCTGCTCCAATTTTCTCCAATAATTTATATTTGCCTGCAATAACTGTTCCTGGATTTAATTTTTTCTGAATCATCCTGCTATTATCCCCATCATTCATTTGATTTGTTATTAATAATTATGAAATTTCGAGTATTTATTAAATACATTACTTATTTTTCTATGATTGCTTAACTATAAAACTAGAGTTAAATAAAAGTGTTCATGAAATTTGATTAATTTTGTCGACTTTGAATTATAAAATTCGTCTCAGTCTTTTGATCCAGTTGGAAAGTCCCACAAATTGACATCATGGAATGTTGATTAAAATTTGATATCAAAATAATGCAGATAGGCTATTGTTCAGGACAATAAATTAAATCGAATAATGTCTTTATTGTCAGAAACTCAATAACAAATCATATTGATTCTACATAGTAACTATAAATAGTGTATTAATTATAATAGATTGGACAATAAATCAATTTATATTTTTTATTATTATTAGAATTTCTTCTCAATGCAATTAGATGAAGAAGAACAACCAATTCTCCATTGTAGCTATAATTATGGAGAGACTTCTGAAATAGACTCCTCATTGCAAACTAGATTGAAATTCATAAAAAAAGTACATTTTTAGCTAATTCTAGGTATATTTAATCATCAACATCTAAATATTAATTTCTGGAACTTTATCATTATTATAAATTTCTTTCCGAGACTAATAAGAAATAAAACAGCTGGAATATTTGATATTTGCAATTATTGCCATATTTGGCTTTTCCTTATTGTGCTTCCTTCTTTGTAAATAGAGATTTGCAAGAAAAGCTCCTAACAATTATATTTTATTAATCATCCATATGTTAACCTCTGGTTTTTTAATCTCAGAATTAATTTTCTTTGTTGCTGTGTCAGATGATAAAATTCCACGTAATAGATTTTATATAATTTATTAGATGACTTAATATCCAAGGCAATATTAATGACTTTTTTTATCTTTACAGCATTAACAGTACTTTCTTGGACTACTTATGACAATTTTTCACATTAGAAAAACATTATATTTTCCTTTATTCTTTGTTTAACTTTACTTTTAATATTCTATTACTATTTAGAGATATAAGAAATATAGATATTTTTAATATCTTTAGTGATATTTCTCTATTCAATTTATATCATTAACGGCATTAAGCAGATTTTTGATAAAAAGGTATATTCTATTTATAATATTAACAGAGACATAGTCTTTAGAAAGATGATTACATTCTTGGGGCTCTCTTTTTGAACATTGAATTTATGTATATATACGAAGACCTTTCTGAATATGTTTAAGAATAATTATGTAAAAATAAATGAGAATTAATAAGAAATCTATTATGCACTTAAATATAATATAAATTTTACTAAATTACAACCTTTATCAAATAATTCACTTTTATAATTCTATTATCCATAAACAGAGACCATTAAATTATTCAACAAAAACAGCCTCTTATTGAGATCCAATTTTGCTCTCTGTTTAAAACTTCGATTATGATAAGTACAGGTCTTTTGTAAGATGCTTAATTACAAATGGTTAATTCATTCGTAATGGGGAATTTTCAAATTCTTAATATATTAAAATATTTATACCTTGTAACAGTAAGCCTGTCATAGGTTTACCTTCCAATCCACACGCTTAATATCCTGATTGTGAGTATGATAAAACATTAGCACATGAAAGAAACCTTTTAGTTATATTATGTTGAATCCAAATTTCATGATTTTTTCTTAATGCTCTATCAGCTTTGTCTTCTTGGTTGAGTTTTTAAATTATCCAAAAATCATTTTCTACATTAATACATAGATAGTACCATCTCTTGGATAACTGTAGAGAGAGATTTCCTAAGCCTTTGTTGATTTATAACATGTTTTATGAGAATGCAAAGTCCAACCAGTCCAAAAGTTTCTAATTATGATTGTGCTCCCATAGTTTATTTGAATTGGTTCCAAAGTTTAAGCTTGGGGTTAAAAACCCTTTGTTAAGTTTTCATGAACAGGTAGAAGTTCCCATAAATCGTTTTCATCGCAATTTTTATATCCTGTCACTTCATTATATTGTGACACACTTTCAGTTTTATAAGTTCTAAGATGGGAATGCAAACTATATCCATTATCAATAGATGTAATTCTAACATATTTTTTATCAATGGAATTATCTATAGCGTTTTAATTATTCAAAAATATATCTTTTTCTGGTCTAATCACAAAATAATGTTTTTCTTCATCTAAATAAGCATAACATTATTGGGTGACTTCTGATTTCTTTTATGCATTTAAATTAACAAACTATTGCTATCCATAATTTTGTATCGCCACAACATCCCCTAATCTTAAATCATTTTCAGTGGGTTAATATTTTTGAAGAATAAAGTAAGTGTAGAAGTCATCCTCTTTAGGAGTGGTTCCCAAATAGTATTAATCTAGTTCTTTTTTTTTAAACATAGTTTTTTCAATTACTAAATGAATTGTTCCTTTCAAATATTATTTTGTAGCCACGTGTCTTATTTAAATCAATCTTCCTTATAAAATCTTCGCTTATTAATCCATTTCTTAAAAAAAATGATTTTACAAACAATATTAATGATCTATTTATTTTTATTTTTTAATATTTATTAAACATTCTGTAATCTATAACATTTGTTTCCGTAATTTAAGTGCTCTACTTTCAAATTTTGGATAGTCATAGTTAAAAATCAATATTCTCTTTTTATAGGTTAGATCTCTTAAAAATACTCTATGTTAAGTTCATTTATGATATAAAATTGATAAGAATAATATTATACATATAATTATAAGTATAATATATAATTATTAAATTATCTTTTAGGCATTAAATCCAATTGCAAAAAATAACTCTTTGTCAATTAATCGGATTACCATATCTTATTCTAAAATAAACCTATACATATTAGAATGGTTAGTATCTTTAATTTATAACAATACTCAAGAGTAGGTAAGATATGAAATTAATCCTTTATCGACTCTTGTTTAGATGTTTAATTCTTTTTGAAAGAAATTAAGTTGGTAATACAGAATTATTCCTCCTTATAGGAATTCTTAGAAAATATAAATATCTGAATATAATCCGATTCTATAATTCCTTTTCTCATTTGAGTAAAAATATGACGTCTACTCAATAAAAAATAGTAAGTCAATGAGTTAAAACGAGCAAAGAAATTTTACCTAATCTCAGAAATTGAAAGAAATCTTAAATCAAGAACTACATTAAATCTTATTATAATTCATTAAAAAAGATCAGACGGTTTAAAAAATGTTTATGCAATTAAAATAAAATAGCTAATTTTATTTAATAAAGCGCTAACAAATGATGAATCCAAAAATAGTAAGTAGAGAAGACAGAATATATTAATTGTTATTATAATTTTATAATGTTTCCATTTATTTAATGGTGGTGCTCAGAATGTTGAAACTTAGCAAGAACCAAGAATCATATAATTAAATGATAGCTTTCATTTATAATTAGAATCTCAAACTTCGCTAAGATACAAAATGAATCACTTTGAAATAATCTTAAATATGTTTAATTTAAAAATTATTGTAAAATGGAAGTGCCATAGGTTTCAAGAACAAGATTGAGTTCAAAGAAGTTAAGTGAAGGAATCAGAATTGATAAAAAGGGTCATCCTATATTGAAAGGGTATAAAATGCATTAAGTTACATTCATCGATGAGATTGTCAAGGGAAATAAAATACATAATATAATATTAGTAGATTGTTGGAAAGAGCATAATTTCAATAAATTTGATTCTGAAAATTAAAAATGCTGTTTGATTAGTTGAAAAAATAATCAGTATTATTATGATATATATACTTAAAAACATCTTTTAAATTATTTTTGTTCGATTATATAAATTTAACATAAAATAAAAATGTCTATTCGGGTTAAAGACTAAATGCTTTCACCTTAATTTAAAGAAATAGAACAAGAATTGTCCACACAAGAATGCCGAAAATTCTCAACTATTTCAGCTGCTGAATTTAATACTCCTGAAACCAAGTATAGATCTACGATTGGACCTAATAAGATGGATTTATCAAAAGACACAAATTAAATGCACTATAGAAATGGAACGGCTAAATTTGAGGATGAGCAATATAAACTTTGTGAGGAGATCAAAGCTTTATTTTTGAAAAGATAATCCTTAAACCCAGCACTTTTCGAACCCAAAATTTTATTGAAGACTGAAAATAATCCAAAAAGAATTATGTATATTTTATTATCATGTTTAATTAATTTTAGCATTAAAAGAAACCATGTCGCCCAATCGGAATCTAATATTTTTGATTAAGTTATTATTGACAAAATTTATCTTGCTAATCAATAGAGCTTAAAAAATTTATTCACATATCAATTTTGATATAAATAAATTTATTTTATTCATTGAAATTTATAATTCCCCTTTTTAAAATTAAGTATGAATTGGTATTCAAATTAATTTCTATCAATATAAAAATTCAATCTGAAAATATCATAGAAAATCATATTTTAAACTAAAAAAAGATTAAATATTTTTTCTCAATCTAATTAGTTGTATAATTTGGATGTTTAAGATGTAATTTTATGTTTCAATTTATTTCTTTGATATGAATTCATGGATTTAGAGTATTCTTAGATAAAATCAATTCATATTTAAGAAGATAAATAAAAATACTAAATCATTATGGTAAATCGATTAGTAAGTCAGGAAAACTTAAAGGAAATTATTTTCAATCTTTGTCAAAACAATTTACACGAAATTATACAAAGAGTCTGTTTACTAAGTATAATAAGTGTGCACTATATTTAAATGTTTCATTTCTAATTATAATAAACTCGATTAGAATTAGCTTCTACATCTAATTTTTTAATTAATATTTTATAAATGAAACAATTATAAAACCCGTATTTGTGCCTTATTGGAAATTAGAGAAGTCTTAAAACTACACTTTTATAATATTTCACATACTACAAAATAGTGGATACATAATTGTGTGTTTATTTGGTCTGTTCAGAAGAAAAGTTCTTAGCTAATACATCTTTATTCGGAAAATTGATACCTGTTTATTAAGAAACATTGTAACAAATGAATGTTAAATTAATTAAGAGCTATTCTGAATACTTAGCTGTACTGGGTTCTTTTTCGTATTTAGATAATAATTAGTACGATATCTTTATATTTGATGACATCTCTCATTTTATAGGAACTGATTAAAAAGAAAAAAAATTGAATTTAGTGCTGCATTTAATTTCACAAATAAAGCCAAGATAGCAATTAGATGATTTTCAGATTATTGTAAATTTATAGAGTGATATTATTGGTTAATTGATTGACTTAATAAATTTAATTCGATATCATAACTTTTTGATTTGTGAACTAAAATTAAGTCCAAAGTAATAATGCAGTACTTAAAATTAGATTAACAATACAAATAGTTGATATCATAAAAATAATGGATAACTACTAATTACAATACAAAACAATAATTATGTCTGATATTTCAAGAGCAATTAACGATAGATTGTGATTATATTATATTTTCTTGATAATTATTATATCAAAATTGTGAGAACATTTTTTTTAGTACACTCCCTATAATAAGAAATACGACACTAGTCAAGAGCAAATGCCATATGTATATATCATACTAATAAGTTGATTGTTTGTTTTTGGTATGGAACATAGCTTTAAATTTCAATTATTACAATTCGGTTGAAAGTGTATCTTTACTAATTCTCAATTCTGCCTAAAATTGTAATAATAATGATGATAATTTACAATTTATTTTTAGATTTAGGATTCAATCTCCTTATTTTTGTCAAAATGTTTCTAGCTTTCAATGCCTGACTTTGGATGAGCTATCAAAGTTTGAGAGACTCTTAATTTAGGTTTCTCGTTAAATTAAGATTTGCTTTACTATAAGTACGATTGTTTTCTTTATTCAAATCTCTAAATCGAAGTAGTATCACTTAAACTCAAGTCTTGCTATGCATTGTCACTAATGTTTTTTTGGGAAGGAGTTTAGGATAGTTACTAAGAGGGTGTAAGATGTTAGAAGGGACTGGCGTATTAATCTATTTGATCTAAAAATTAATTGAGATCATTTGGCATGGAAATTATTGGTTGTTGAACAGTTTTGGTTAGGTTTTAATGATATGATTCAAAACTATTGGTTGAATTTCTTAATATTTGAGGATTTATAATTTACTGAAATTTATTCTCCTCTCCAATGCGTATTGAGTTGTTAAATTGTTAAGACTATAAGGAATTTAATCTTGGTTAATTGAATTATGAATCGGTTTCATTGTTGGAACCTTTCTATTTAAGAGTTTGAGAATTGAATTTAATAGGGATGTCATTATTAATTTATCCTACCTTCGATTCCAAAAATGTCTGATTAATGGATGGCAACCTTTCATATGAGATGAAAGAGTTAGATCTGTTTTCATTAGAAGCAGCAGGCAGAGAAAGAGATTATTTCTACAGGCAACCTTGAACTTTTTCGTTCCAAAACGGTGGAACAGACTTACAATTAGAGTATAATCAAATTACGAAAGAATCAATTTTGCTTTCTTCAAACTCAATGGCATCGATAATAATATCTCGATAATCATTGAAATTTTATTTTTTCAGTATCTGGAAATATTTACATTCATCTCTTTTTAGTAATGAGAAAGTTGGAATAAAGTTATAGGCATTGTGGTCTAATATTCTTACCAAAATTGGGAATTGAGCAATGTTGGTAATTAGAATCTTTTTGCTTTATTCAATAGTTGAGCAGTCAATTTTAAATAGCATAAATTAATTATATTTGTTAAAGTGAAGTAATCAAACACACTAGAATGACAAAATGATTTAAATAATTCTGTATTTTTAACAATGGATTTGGATTTGGGGATGAGTGTATATTTCATATATTTTATATTTTAATTCCTACCTAAGCAATTAAAATTAATTAAAATGCTTGATTATATTCCATTCACAAAGGGATAGAACAATGATGTAAAAGTCTAAAGTAGTACAGGAGGAGGACACAATTCAATACTTAAAAATTAAAAATATACACTTAAATTTCTATAAAATAAACAAAACTATGCTAAAATCAATAAAGTTACTGATTATTAATCACTATTAAATTCTCCAGAACAAATTACTACTAGGTCATTAGATATATAATAATATGAATACTTTTTGCACAAAGATGCTTTAGAAAATAGACTGAAAGAATACAAAATTTCTAAAGGATAATAAACGACTTTAACAAGAAAGCAATTACAATCCTCAATCAAAGTTGAAAATGTTCATTTAAATGAAAACTCTGATCATTACAAGAAATTGGAATTGGCACTCAATAGATCAAAATTTAATCGAGTGGGAAGCATTGGTGAAAGTTACAGATCTCAAGGCTCTTTATCAAGCATATAGAAAATTACCAGATACTAATAATTGCAATAATAAACCTAATACTTAATAGTGTAATAATAAGAGGAACAAAATAGATAGAAGTCTAATTAAGAAGATCAAAGTCTTTCTAGCATTAAAGTTGAAGAATAAAATGTGGATATATCAACAGAGAAGCATGAAGAAGTAGTTCTAAATGAGCCAATAGAAAATGAAAACTCTGTTTAATGCGAATCTCAACAGTAGGTTGAAATTTAAGAATAAACATTATAATAGTAAATTAATGAGAGTTATGCCATTTCATAATTCTCAGTGCCTTAATAATACTCTATCAATAATGAAATTTCGTTGATTAACTATGAAGATGATGATGATGTCGATGAGGAAGAAGAATAAGAATAAGCTCAATCTTCTAAAAAATAAACAAAAAATAAAAAGTAACCTAAATAAAAGGCTTAGAAACAATAAAAATAACAGCAATCCAATTCCAAAGCTAATCAAAGTATTCAATCAATCAAAAAGTCTGATGGAATAAGATCCAATAAAATTAGTAGATAATAATCTTAAATGTCTATATCTGATTTAGATAGGATAGAATAAATAATTCAACAGAATGCAAATGATCTAGATGAAGCAGAAGAAATGTAAAGAGATAAAATGAGAAAATAAATTAGAGAGTTGGAAGAAAAAATACATAAGACTAGAGAAAGATAAGAGTAATTTTAATATAATCCAGAAGACTATAAAGATATGAGTGGAGAATACTTATAAACCAAAAAAAAGGAATAGCAATAATTATAATAATAATAACAGTAGGAATAATATTAATAATAATAATAATAATAGTAATAATAGCAGTAATAGTAATATTAATAATAATAGTAATAATAATAATAACCACAATAATAATAATAATTATAACAGTAATAACAACAATAGCATTAATAAGTTAATACTCCAAAAAAGTAAGGGAAATAAGAGATTAGACCCAATATTTAAACCTAATTAAATATATCTAAATAGGCTAAGTAAATAAAACCTCCAGTAACTTAAAGTTAAGGAGTTCTACCTAATATGAATTAAAATTAAAGAGTCTAAGAACATCCAATGACAGCTAAATCACCTAGACAAGAAAAGATAAATTAAGAAATCAATGAAATAGAATCACAAAGAATATCATAGCATAGTATTGAATTAGAAAGGTCTGTTGTTGAATCATTAAGAGATTTAGAAAAATAATAACACCATTCTACTCCATTTGTATCTGATCCGCTTATAAAAATAGAAAATAAACTAAAGTAAATGCAAGAAGATATGGAAGTTCGTTAAAGGAAGCAAAGTGATTTAGACTTTGCAGATTTTTTGTTAACATCAGGAAATGTTTTCGATACAAATTATGAAGTAATTTGATTATTCTAATCATAGAAATATAAAATATTTCAAGTTGACAAAAAGCCAAATGAACCACCTGGACATTTTGGAGAAGAGGAAAAAAACTTATATCAACAAATGAAGTTTTGGGATGCTTAAAATACTGGAAATAGTAAAAAGATCACAGCAGTTGCAGATATTGTTAGAGGTATTTATACTAAATTTACTTCTGATGTAAATATAAGCGAAGCAGATGTAAAAACATAAAAAACAATAGATTCTGATTGGGATTGAATATAATATTACTATTAAAAGTGAAGAATTATTTGAATTTCTAATTAATTATAATGTAATTACAATGCAAATTGTTAAGATATATATATATCAAATTCAATTAATAAATGAATAATATAAGAATATTAATCAAATCAAAATAAATCTAAATCTATTAAATGTTTCTCTTTTTCATAATTGTATTAATAAACCCATTAGTTTCTCTTAGATATTGGATCCATTTCTTCCTTAAAGAATCTAGGAATGTGTTATTATTTCTTTTCTTCCATTATCTTCCTTCGTTCCCTTTACTTTTCTTCGATTCTGACTTTTTCTTCCTAACCTAGATCCTTGAATCCATATTCCAAAGCTCTCAAGTCTGATCTCATTCTACTATCAGTCTATGGTATACTCTTTATGTAATAATAATAGATTTATACTCTTAAAATGTCTTCATTTAAATGATTTAATTACAAAATATGATGAGAATAAAAGTAATACCATTTACTTTCTGGATCAAAAGAATTTCTTTTCCAAATTAATTCATTATTGGCATAAATTTCTTTATCAAAATACCCACTAATTTGACATCTGATATTACCATTTTTATCTTTGATAGTAGCTTTTAGTTAGTAAGCATCCTTATAATTAATAAATTATACACTTTTTGGCTAGTTCTTTCCTTCAAAGTTAAAATTCCAATATCTCCTGTAGTGTGATTAGTGTAAATAGCCTCACCAACTTATTCAAAATACATTTTTCCAAATAACAAATTCTTAACAATCATATTTGGGAATGAATAAGTCATATATTCATTAGTTTTTTTGTTTCTAAAATGGACCAAACCAGGTAATTTGGCCATTATGCTGGTCCCAGAAAAACCTACTGTGACTTCCATTGTGATTGAAAATACAAAATCATCGCTTTCACAATGAACCGCAGTAACTGGAGGATGATGGCATACTTATTCACTGATCACTTTATATTCAGGAGTGATGTATTCATAAGTTTCTCCTAAGACAGGATTGAAAATTTTCTTTTGGCAATCCATATTTAGGAGACACCTGACTAAAGAAAAAGCAATTAAATATGCCATTCTTTTGTATGGATCATCAGCCCTTGCAGCTTATTTCAATGTTTCATAATATTCAAATGAAGTCGCAAAAAACTGTAAGGCGGATAGAGGCTAGTGAAATAATACTAAATTAGATTTTCATAAGTATACATGGCATTGGAATTCGTGTTAAATCCTTTCCTATGCATTCCTTTAGAAATGGCCAGAATGCAAACTTCTCATCTGGATCTTATTTATAAGGTAAACATTTTCTAGTAGCTTCGTTGGTTATACTTATTCTGGAATAAACCCTATTGAATTTAATGTTATTAAATTTTATAGGATTTGATAGTCTGATAGATTCCAAAAATTGTTGGGAGTTGAGATTTTCTAATTAATTTTATTTTTATTCTTCTTATCTTATTAAATAATTAGATGATTAGGTATTTAAGGGTATTTCATTCTCAAAATTGAAACTCTCATAGATTGTATCTGATTCCCCATACAATTTAATTTTTTCTTCTTCTATTAATGTGCAACACAAAGTTATTCCATTTTTTAAGTATTGTCCTAGATTAATAATTTGGTTGATTTCCTTGTACACAATTAAAGTGGCTTTATCTTAAAGATAAGTAAGTTATTCATCAAACAAGGCAAAATTGCTCCAGATATCTGTTAATAGTTCTTAAATTCTTTAACCATAATTGAACACCTAATGTCTTTGACAATACTCCTAGTTTTTCTTTAAAGCTACCAACCACTTACTTTTATCATCAACATTAGATGCCTTTAATAAGATCTAGCCTGTTCCCGTATTGATAGTAATTCGTAAAGGGTCATCCTTACTTTCATTGATTCCTGCTACTTTAAGATGGATCTGTCCTTTCGATCTACCTCCTGGTTGATCGCAATAAGTAAGAATATGATCGTTAAGTATGAAGTATCTCTTCTACCATCTTTAAAATGGATTAACCCATTTCAATAAATACCCTTCCATAATCTCTGATACTAATTTTATTATGAACTCTTTTTAAAGTACCAATATTTACAATTTGATAAATTATATATTCCTAACTCAGAATATAAATTATTCCTAAAATCAAAGCATATAATATTTTTGGTAAAATCATATTCTTCAAAATTCATTAAGCATTTTTCATATAAGTCAAATGTTAAATTTCTGATTGACATGGAGTGCATATTATCATATTTCTTGACATAATGTAGGAATGTAGTGAATGCTTAAATAGAAGTTCTTATGAATTATATATTTTTGTTTGCTAATTAATTTAATTTATCTATTTTCCATATCGAATCATTAAGTTTGGACAATAAATTTGCCTTGCTATTACAACTAATGATAAAAATGAATGTTTTACAATAATCAAATTTTGAAGTAAATATGTTTTTTTATTCTTTACTATTAATTTATAGTTTCTTTTATACTTTAATTAATTTAAGATGATTTACAGCTGCTAAGTCATTCGAAAACACTTTCTGTTGAATTAGACATATAGGTTGTAGATCCAGGAGGAGAAATTATTAATTGGATTAGAAGTATTGTCTTAATGATAAATGATAGGATCGGCCAGCAAAGTATGAGCTGGATATAAATTTGCAAAATAAAATAAGCTGGAAAGTCAGTGATCAGGGCATAATTTAGGCATTTGGTATAAAGTATCAAAATTCTTGCAAATGGTTTTATGGGTAACCTTCTGATTTGTTACAAATAAAATCCATTCTTAATAATCGAATATTTTTTCACAGCATATCCAACTTTTATACTTCAAACGAATAAATAGGTTCCGGTGCTTCATGCAAAGTACTTCTGATATCAGATATATAAACAAAATAAAAATATGCAGCCAAATGCATAAGCAAAGATTATATAACAAAAAAAAAAACACCTGACAGACTGAATAGACTATTTAATGAGATTAATATATTGAGATCAATTCAGAATCACAAAAATATTGTTAAATTGATTGATATATTTGAAGGGGAGTAAACTTATTATCTCGTTTTTGAATATTTAGAAGGTGAAACTTTGCATAGATTTTTAAAATTATAAACTGATCTCATCCCAGATATTTCTATAAGGATTATATTGCTGGTAAGTTTGAATATTATAAACTACTAGTAACTATTACATGGTATCAATTCATTACATTCTGAGAATTACATCCATCGAGACATTAAATTAGAAAATATTGTACTTAGTAAGCCTAGTGTTATTAGTTCTCTTAAACTAATCGATTTTGGCTTGGCAATTTCAAATACCCAACCTGTTTCCTTTGCTGTTTGTGGCACACCAGGTTATATTGCTCCAGAGATTTTGCAACATGACGAAAGCAAACAAGGGTAGAAGTTTAAGTTTACCTTCAAAGTAGACATGTTTGGAATCGGAGTCATCCTCTATAGATTGTAATATCATTTATCATCTTTATAGAATGAATAGATAACCATTATTTGAATCTGACAAAACTAAAGATTTGCTATAATAAAATAAAAAATGCCATTTTACCAAAAACTATCATAATTTCTATACTAATGCCCTTAACCAAGTCTTATTTGGACTCTTAGAGGTTAATCCAAATAAGCGTCTGTCATCAGAAGAGGCTATTCAATTTCTTACTTCATAATAAATTTCAAAAGAAATAGGAGGATCTTTCGCAACCACTAAAAGTCATTAAAATGAGGCTGATGAATTTGAAGTCGAATAAACGATGGATCATGCAAATCAGCCTTACCCATTCTCTGCAAAAATACTAAAACAAGAACTAGAAAACAGTTATCATTAAAACGATGATAATAGACTACTCACTTCTATGCAAAGATCTTATTACCCTTCTTTCAGCCTGAATTTAAGCTGTGATTTGATTGATAGTTTTACTTAATAAATCTCTATGCGTAATGCATTAATTGAAGATGAGATAATTGAATCAGATATAAAATAAAAATAAAAGTAGAAGTGATTTTGTATGGTTGAAATTAAATCTATACTTTTATTAAGTCTTGAATTATAATTATATTATAATATCTATCAACATTAATATTAAGATATCATTTATATATTAATCATTTATTGCAGTAATTCTTGATAAAAATAAATCATTTTTCTTTATAGGAGAATTATTTTTAAATCATAATGACTTCTTTAAGACTCTGGCCTTGTAAGCATAAATTTAGTATAAAGTTTTATCATATGAAATAGTGTTAGGATGTGCTTCTATTTCATATTTTCTTTAATTTATTACGAAAATAATTGAGAAAGATAACATAGATTGTTCTTTTTAAATAGTTTGACTATTAAGGGTTACTAATCCTTCTTAAAGAAAATTTATAGAAAGATTCATATCCTGCAAATTCTTCTTTGTTATTTTATTTTGCAAATGTGGTTCAATACTAACTTATTAATTGTTATATAATCTAATAGATTCTCTAAAGTCTCTTGTATATATAAAGTATGAATATTTGAGAACATACAAACAAAATTTAGAATATTTAGAATATTTATTTTGCTATAATTAGCCTTAAATATTTGAGATTACTACTGAATTTTAGTTAAAAAAGCATTTTATTTATTTGAAAACAAATAAGCAGTGTTGAACTTTCAACTAAAAGTATGAATTTTTGACATCATAAATTCCGATTAAATTCAGGATAAATTGGCTAAATAGTATTGATTACACAGTTATTCAATAGTAACGATGCAATACATTATTAATATCATAACAAATTTGAACATTAACATGTTCAATTTTACATATAACCTCTCTTAGGTGAGCCCTATGGTTTTTGGTTAAATGAGATATAAATTTTACTTTAATCAGATATAATAAAACAATCAAAATAAATATATATTATTTTTGATGCGATTCTATGTCACATGAGTGAATACATCAGTTAAGTATACATTTTGGCATTGGCCACCAAGATTACAAGTCCTGGATCATAATCAAGTTATTAGTATGATAAAATTTGACTAATATTTTATTTTATATCTTCGGATAAGGTGTTTTCAAAATTATTTTGATAACCATGTAATGATTAAGTATAATTAAAGATTTATATCCTAGTTTATTCATTGTAAATTGGGAGGTTTTTTAATTATTTCATTCTTTTATTCAGTTTTTAGGCTAATCTAGGGAAATAATCTCGAATTTGAGTAAAACAATTATAATGCCAAGAGAAATCTTCACTAGAAATTTCTTATGGAATTATCTAGTCATCTTCATAGTAAATTAAAGAGTTGCTACATTGTTCTCCTAAGGCAATAGCAATTAATTCTTCGCATTACATGATGCAATAAAGTATAAAGCATAAATTTAATTGTTATTTATTAAAATATTATTGTACGGAATTTATTCTAGGTTAATTACAATTAGAGATTCTCTTTAAACATTATGTTAACCAAATATATTTAGGCTGATTGACATCGAAATCTTACCATAAATCTCTTAAGGTATAACATCTCCTGCTACCATAATGGCAAATAAAGTTAAATGTATTTGAATCCAAAAAGTTTTGATTAGATATCTTCTTATAGATAGATAGACTTAATTTCAAATATTAAGGATATGCAATTGATTTAGCTTAGTAATCTAATATGGTTCTATTGAAAATTCTATAAATATCACAAATTAATTTTTATAATTTTTGTGGGTTTAAAAATTATTTTAAAATTGTGGGTCTTTGTTCTCCTTCAAAATGTAAATATTACAAAATGTGTTTTAATTTATGGTGAGTATAGGTTTCCTCTTCAAACTCTTGTATTAGTTCATAATATGGACCTTAGAGGGCTAGATTTTACTTAATTCTTCTTATCTTTTCATAAAAACATGGGTTGGCTTGAAGGATTGAATGAAATTATTCTTTCAGATTGTTGATAAGACTGATTCTCTATTGTTATTATTCGGGCCATGTATAGGGAAGGAGATCGGAAAGAATTGATAAGTCTTGCATAATTTATATTTTAATTGCAAGGCTGATTTGATTTAAAAGATTTAATTAAAAAATTAATATGTATACTACAAATTTAATATTACATGATATGATGTAATAATAATAAGTTAATATAATCATTTTGATTTCTTTTTCAATTAGGAATTAATAACAGAGGCCAATTTAACCATTTCACTTGTATAAGCAGAACTAATTTAATTAACATTTAATTGTGCATTTTCTAATTTGTTTCTCATATTCATGATTTCATGCAGAGGAATCATATTGGTAATACTGAAAAAACTATAAGAAATTCTTACGGCTTCTGGGAGAATGCCAATTTTTCTTAGACTTCAGTCTCAAGTCTCACTGGATATATTCTTCTATCTTCACTAATAGAACCATTGAACTATAAAGTATCGGAGAAAGATCCAATTCTCATTTATTTGGATGGCAATGTAAAATTTAACGTGCCTATCTTAGAAATCCTTTTATTTTTCGAATTATTTACTATTGCTAAATTCCAGATACTCTTTTTGGAGAATTTTGATCAACTCTTGATTTTAATGGCGATATACTTTTTTTATTTGAAAATTCTTTTAATTTAGTTTGCAATAAATCAAAACTTGGATTACTATTGTAGATTGATTGAATACCCTATTTTGATATTCTTTTTTGGAGATATGGGTTGCGTATGCTAGGATGCAAGTGGCGATTTTCCATATTTATCATTAAGTTTTTCTCTGTATACTTTAATATCAAACTCCTCTAGTGGTTTGCATGGAACACTCTTGTCTTGCTTTCAACAATGATATGAATTTTTACTAAATTGATGTAGCGAGACATGTATTATTATTTATGAATAAATTTTATTTAATTACTTTACTGTTATAAAATAAATACTTCCTCAAAATGATATCAATAAATCAACCTATTCTCCCTTTTTCCACAATTCACTAATATTCTCCCCATTATTTGAAATGATCTGGCAATTTTCCAATAAATTGTCGCAAATTTGGCATTGAACTATGTTTGACTTATTGAATTGTTGTTATCTAATATAGGACACAAAGTTATTTTTAGGGTTAACAATTTTAGGCATAAATAATTCAATGATTCCAGTCTGACCATCAACAATTAGTAATCCATATGAATTCGTACCAATGAAATGATGATAATTACCTATGGTCACTATATCCAATTAACCAAAAGCAGCTTATTAATTATAGTTATATACATAATGATAACCATTCTTCTCTTATTAGATTATAATATTATTCTGATTTTGGCAATACATTTCCAATTAACAATTAAAGTCAAATGGTTGAGGCAAGATTTCCATTAGAATAACTTAAGTAATTAGATTCATAGTCATAGCTTCAATGACCAAGATCTTTTCATTAGATCTAAAATATATTGTTGAACAATCTCTGTTGTATTTAATTTGAACTCCTTTAAAGTTAGCTGGGATATCCAGAACCTTAATATCATCAAAGGCATCCAGTTAGACTTATTGAATTTTAGACCCCCCAAAAAATACTAGTCTGTTGTCTTTATTATCATAGCAATCGATCTATTCTCTTATTGAATCTAATTCAAAAACTATTTTCTTCCAGTATATAAGTTTATTATCTTCACTCATGCAGTTTAATATCACCTTGTCATCTTCTACTTAATAAATATAATGATGCACTCCGTATTTATTTGTGAGTAGATCAATTCTCTTCTTACTCAATTAAATAGAAAAGCGAACTTCATTTTAAATATATAATTTTAAGACATCTCTATCCGCTATGTAATACTCATTCTTGTTTCCTGGTATCATTTTAACATATTAAATCAATTCCACATTTTTTTAGTAGTAATCTGCTACATAAGTGATTGTATTCCAAATAGTTATTTCAGAATATTAGGAGATTATCATCAGTTAATCTATATGATTTGATACAACGAACATTGTATTCACATTCAAAATGTTGGTTTGCAATAATTATAAATCAAAGGCTGAATATGTTAACCAAATTAATCTATTAGAAATGATTTAGATTGCATCTGCTGTATAAGCTATAAAATCTATCTAGACCAATATTTCACTTATTACTTTATAGTTTTACTTATCCAACAATACTAAAAATCCCATCTCGCTGTTATCAATCTATTCCTTGATCAAAATTGTTTCAGAAAACATCCAAAAATCTCTTATTTTGTTATTGGTCTAATAATTTATTGTGATTGTGTTCCTAACCTTGCTCTCAAATCTTAAATCACTTTCAGTTATATAATGTTCTCTATACTTCTTAATCATTTATTTTGATGTAATAAAATCTTACACAAATTGTTCATTAATGACTATTGTATCATTTGTAGTTGTAGTAATGTACAATTTATTTTCAGTACTCTAAACCTTTTAGATGGATCTGTATGATTATTTACTAACAATTTTGTTTTTTATAGTAATAACAGAATTTCTATACTCCTCAACAAATCCAGATTGAATATAAAATAAGTTTGAATTGTCTTTAATCCACAAAATTTTCTCATATTGTAAATTTACAATTCTTATTTACTTATTAGTTTTTAAATCAAAATAAACTGTGCAATCTTCCTCGCATATTACAGCTGAGTTCAAATCATTGCTCAAATAAAATCGAGGATTCTCTGATTTTGTTAGAATTTTGAATTCAAAATCCTTATTTTGAAATGTTGCCAAAACAATCTCATTTGTATATCTAATCCTACCCAGGAAATTGGGAGAGTTCTATGAAAATACAATTTCCTCAAACTAATAATTAAAATTCTTAATTTAGTTTTGTCTGTCTTCTAAGTATTTAATATCATAATTTATAATTTCATAATTGGTCAATATTTACAATTGATTTTTTTATAAATTTACTAATAAATCGATTGCATCAACTTATATAAATTTAATGACTTCAAATGGACGAAGACTCAGAATTACAATTGAATCAATAAAAGAAAGCAATACAGTGTCGTCTATTTTATTACAATAGTTATGTAAAAGTTATAATTTTACATTACTTATTTCACATTCATTTATCATCTTAAATGTTCCCTAGTTTATTAATTATAATTTGTTGTTTTTCAAGTAAAAGAACTCACTTTTTTAATTTTCAAGGAATATAAATCTACCTATCAATTGATTTATTGATCCATAAATAATATCATAGATCTAGTTTGTCTCTACATCACTAAATGATATTACTGTGATATCCAAATTATTATAATAGTTTATGGCAACAATTTGATTATCACCATTTATAGTTACATGATTAGTCAAATTGTCAAATTGCAATTAATCATTTTCAATTTAATAATGCATACTGGAGACTTATTTAGCATTAGTTTAAAACAGAATCTGATTACCATACATTTAAAAGTACTTTTTGATATTGTAATGTTTAACAACACTTAAATCAATAGGGATTTAGTATTTAATTTCATTAGTATTTCCATTTAACTCAAATATTGTTGCATCAACATCACTCTTCAATTAAAATAGCATTATAAATTAATCAAATTCTGAAATTGAATGAACATTAGGAATTTTTAATTCTTCTGCTATTATCTGTTCATTCTATTCATGCAAAACATAAACTGATAAACTTGTTTTAACATAAAATCTATTTTTAATTTCATCTATTGAACAAATATCAAATTTGCCTTGTATAATAGTACCACCCTTTAAATTCTAAATACCATTTTCATTAATCAGAAATGACTTCCCAGATTTAAATTATCTTATGAACTTAGGATTGGATACTGTGTTTTTAATTGAATAAGTGTTCAATTTGAAATTTTAGCATTTCATGTTTTTCATGTTATTCTTCATTAATGTTAGAGAGTTAACAGATATATTTGTCCACTCTGATCCTTGAAGATTACAATTATAAAAATGACAATTATCAATAGGGATATCTTTTAATCTAATACCTTATAAATCTAGACCTTTAATCACTCCATCAATACATTGTAATAAATAAAGAGCGTTGGATGCTAATATGCTATATTATTAGCCTTAAGCTGAGGATCTAACGAGTGAGATTAGTTACTATTTAAGACTAAACCTGTTTCTGCATTTTTAAACTAAAAAGTTAACTGTTCCTTAAAAAAATTGATTAGAAATTGTCTTAAACTTTAAAATGCTATTTGCCATCACTTCGTCAATTGATTAGGTTTCCAATGCTTCTAATTAAGTGATTACAGCCTTGGCTACTAAGAATTCTTAGATAATTTTATTCTCAAAAGCATAAATTGAAAATTATTCTCTTAATGGTATGGAACTCCTTAGTAATTTTTTTGAAAATTTGGTATTTTATTAAACATATTCGTCATCATTGAAGTACTCTTCCCATTCAGTTACAGAGCCTCCTACTTTGATTAAAGAACCCTTGCTATTAAAATGAATAGTGAAAATCTCATGTTAGGATAACTTTTATGCCAAATTCAAACAGAAGTTCCATTATTCTTGTTAAAATGCTTCCAAATCAATGCTCTTTTGACTTATTTGTATGTGAATTAATGCAGTATCAAAGAAATTCGTTAGATATTGCTCATATAGGTCATAATGAGTGATACTCATTTTCTCAAAGATTCTTAAGACTTTATTCTAAAATTGTTAATCCTCACCGAAATTTTGTGCTAAAAGTATTTAAATCTTAGTGATTGGTTCATCAGCTTTATAAAATCTAAAGAATGAACTATTAACTAATTGATTCCAATCTTTTTCGATCTGAGAATTACAAAGTGATATATCACAATTGATAGCATATGTATCATTAAAATAAATGTCGTAATATTCCTTCTTTATTCTTTAAATATTTGACATATTCTACAATAATTTGGGTAGTGCTGTATAAAAAACATTCAAAATTTAGGGATTGTCAATAGGTTGTTAAAAGTTTAATTATTCCAACATCCTTTAATAATAATAACAGGATTTTAATTATTCTAAAGCCTTTTATAATTGTTGGAATGCAACTTCATTGCCATTTTTAATTTTTGGTTCTTGTTTCAAAGCATTAATAATTTTGGTTATTGTTGGTTGTGATATTAAGGAAGTTTCCATGCTTAATTCATTAAAATTGATATCAATTTTTTTCCATAAGGATATGAAGTTCTGAATCAATAGATCTTGATGTTCAAATTCACACATTATCTAATAAAAATCTATAACAGTGTTTCTAATAATTAACTCTTAATATTTAATAAGAAATTAATTTTTTTAATCCAAATCAAATGGCATAATTTTAAGATTCCAATAATTTTAGTAGTTGTAATCAACTTCATTACTATCTATCCATCTTAGATGATTGGCATATTTGAATAATTCACTTCTAGTTGCAATAATATATTTAGGAGATTTCTACAAAGATGGTGTTTTCCATTGATTGAGATTATTGGACTTAAATAGATTGATTCCTATTTGATCTTGACTGAGTTTATCATATTCTTCAAAAATGAACAACATCTGCATTTTATTTGAATTCACATCTTTTTATAATTGTTCTATTTGAGCCAAGTCAAATTTATAATTCAAAGATCTCAGAGTCTCTGTGACTGCATTATGAATAGGATCCTTCAATTCTGACAACTTTATGATGATCGGTATAATTTTAATGGCATCATTTCGCTTCCAAACTGATTCCTCAATCATTCTAATGGCTAAGCTTTTACCAGATCCAGCCTCCCCTTATAAAACCAACAACTAATATGATTGTTAATCCTCTAAGAATTTATCAATAATACCATTTTTATTATCCTTTTTGGACAACAATTTCTTAATCTCATTTTTCTTCTAACATTCTAATTCGACATAAGCATTTTTC